CACATATATATAACACACATAAAACTGGAAATACGTAGGACTAAGTGATTATAAGGATAGGTAGTGGGATTTAATTAAGTTTTTAAAAATGGGCAACGATTGAGCGCACCGTATAGAGGTAGGGAGTGAGTTCCACAAACGAACTGCTTGCACGGAAAAGGATTTGGAGTAGAAAGAAAAGAAAGAAAAATTTGGTATCCTCCTACGTTGCTATTCTTGATATATAACACCATAGGGTGTTATACTTCCGTACTCTTTAATTTCCTTGCCATATTCAAATTTTTAAATCGAAATATAGCCATGCAAGCACAGTTATCCCAAAAGGTGAAAACATGAGTAGGACATAGGTACTCACTTTTGTATAAAGTCTTCCTTTGGTTGGGTTTTCCTTCTTTTGAACTATTGTACCTATATGTGCTTTACTCACTTCTTACGACTAGGGATGATAAGAAGTGGTGACACGTACTTCTTACTAGGTATATTGCACACATGACTAACTATTAAATACTACACAATGGATATAAAAATTCCCAAATTTAAAGGTGGGTAATATTTTGTGGAGTTCGACTTTACCATTTGACTTTACCATATACGTCGTGTAGTAGCAAATTCAGTAATAGATACGTCTGAATGGGGAACTATTACCAGTGCAACAAGGGACATTACATACGTATATATAACTATGATAACACATGAAGGTTGCCGTGGGAAACGCAGTACACTATGCTTATGATGTCGTTTGTCTATATGTTATCGATATATTTTAAAATTTTGTGATTAGTTCATATAGTCTCAATGAGTCCGTACGTTGAATTACGCTTTTTTTCGTAAACTTGAATCAAACCAACATCAGCACACCTGCAATGCCTCTGGTGTTGCAGGTGCTCATGGGCGGCGGTAGTTACCATCAGGTGAGTCGCATACTAATACCGCATACCTGTTTATGCAAATTAGTGGCTAACTAAAGAACTATTTTGTCGCTTCTATCAGTGCACAAACAAACATTGTTACGTCATACTAAACTAGTTAACGAAGCTACTAAATAGCGGTAATTGACTGACAGTAGGTCGGCTCAATGCGACACAATGTTACGAGTTAAAGTGATTGACAATTCTTTTACAATTATATATAGGAGTTGCGTTCATGTTGTAATGTATAGTACCAGATACTAGTAAGAGATGATAGGTGAGGATGACGACAGGTTATTGTATTGGTAATATTTTAATTTAGCCACACAATCACAACTATTAGCTGGTCCTCAAGCTATGATACACTAATATAAGAAACCAAGCAATAAATATTTAGAAGCACGGCTCAAAACTTCTAAATGCGACTCAGTTTACAAAATTACGTTTCTTAAATTGGATCTGAGAACCGAATCTCATTTAAGCACAGCAACGTGCTCACCTCTGTGCCGTGGAGGTCGTCAAAATATATTTACGAGTAGCTTCTCAAAATATCGCTTGATAATTTTATTTGCAATGGATAAAGTATAAACAATAAAGAATTATTAAAATCGGTTCATAATCGTCGTAATCGCGTACCATTAGTACGAACAAATAGAGGAGTATTGATAACCTTTGAAACTTACCATATCCTAATCTTTTGGATGTCGAAAATAAGAAAAAACTTGTGAAATAATTTTTTACGGCTACGAATGCAGTCGGTGAATGACCTCACTAATGGCTAGCTGCCAAGAACAGGGATTTAAAGTGATTTGCATAAAACTTTGTTTAGTTATTATAGGTACATTAATTAATAAATTGAAAATACATCAACTAAAAAGATGATATTGTACAATTATTTATTTATTTAAACTTTAATGCACAGTAAAATTCTATGTACATTTGGCGGACTTAACACCGGACGGTGTTCTCTACCAGTCAACCATTTGCAAACCGAGAAATACGTAGGCGGTGCATTTTTGAATAAAGGAAAAATAAATCAATACTTGATAAATTCTTAATTTGCAATTTATACTAGCAAGTCGACATCCACGCGGACCTTTTTAGAAGCTATAATAGTTATTTCCTGTCCTGGTGAAATTCGTCACGATGGGATAACTAACCTAACTAAACTAACAGCAGCCAGCATTTGCCGATAGCACAGGTGAGATTATTATTCCATTATCATCTCATTAAAAAATCTGAGATACGTCCCACATGTAAATATTTTTTTTTACTAATTAGTAACCATTATAAAACTCGACATTTTGACCGTCAACAAAATCCATTCAATCTGTGATTGTATAATAACCCACATTTGCAAATATTCCATATAATTTATTATACCTACCTAATTATGAAGGTTATAGGTAGGTCAATTATTTTCCTGGTTAGTAGTAATAGCAGACTAAAAAACTCTTCATATGTAAGTTACACTTTAAATGAATGTTAAAAGAAATATAAAAATATTGATTTACTCACGTTTATTTATAGTATGTATTTATTATTATATCAGCCCTCAACTGCCCACCGCTTAACATAGGCCTTCTCTATAAGGGGAGTTTTGCCAGTAGTTGCTACGCTTGGGCAGGCGGGTAGACAACTGCAGTTAGGCTTTGGCGATGTTTTAAGAGGGACGCTGCTTCTCATCCCTCAACAAAGTCGCTTTCCGTCTGTCTGTTCCTATGTATGCTTAGATCTTTAAAACTACGCAACGCATTTTTGCGGTTCTTTTTTCAAATAGATAGAGTAATTTAAGAGGAAGTTTTAGATGTATAATACATGCATAATATATAGTAGAGAAATATTGATAATTTTAGAGGTTTCTAATGTGATGTCGTAAATAAACAGTTTTTTTGCATTTACATTGCAAACGTTGGCTTAACCCCAAAATAAAGTACAACAGTATTATACACATTAAGAAGGTCTACAAAAAAAGTCCGCGATGGTATATGTCTATCTCTTAGGGATAACTCACAATAACCATTTTTTTATATTTTACTTTTTATGAGAAATAATGGCTTATTTACGAAGCGATTTTAAACAATACAGCATTAATCCTTATCCAATCAAGTACCTTAAATATATTATGCATTTAATATAGATTAATATGGCCTTTCACATCGTGTAATTTAATGAATATTTTCGAAGATATTACAGATTTAAAATGCAAGAACATAGCGGTTGCGGTGGTATCGGTTTAGTATTAGTATTGCACCCGTGCGAAGACGAGGCGGGTCGCTAGGTATATAAAAATATTTTCATTCATTCCGCTCACACTAACACATGTGAAGTGATTTCTAGGGGCTTTTTTTTTTTGATGGGTGAAAATGGAATGGTATCCCCGCCTGCACTAACGGGATACGCTGGCGGAGCACCAGTGAAGGGTGATAGATGAGAATGAAAACAGGCCAGATAGCCTATCATGATGAATTCATTAGGAATTAACCATGATAGTTTCCAGGGGGAACCGGAGGAGGTCGACCTAGTTGGGTATATTGCTAGCAATGGGATTCTCGGTCTCCATCACTAACAATCCCTTTCCCCCCAATTTCTAGGGGCTATAGCATGAGGTTTTCAAAAAGAGAGTAATAAGGTTTAATTTACTTAAAGGTCGGCAATGTGCCCGTGACATCCCTGGTATTGCTGGCTACGGCAAAGTAAAGTTCCGGGTGCCATTTGTGGACTGTATGTTATGTATGTATGTATAGTAGTATAAAAATTTGCGTAAATAGGAACCAATTTCATACTTAGAATACAGTAAGAACTGTCATACTTATAATATTACGGTTAATATTTCACCTGTTCATAATAAGAGTTCCGTTGTTTCTTGCGCCCGCACCGATAACGTAAGCGGTATTACTATTAAATTTTTATATTTTTTTTATAAAAAAAAAATGAAGAAGGACATAGGCTACTTTTCGTCTAGTTTAATCAACATATTCTATTCACGTGAGCGAAATCGCGGGTAAAAGTTTGTTTCAATATATTAAATTCTATATTAGTTGTATAAACTAATATAGATCATCAGACAACATGCAACCTATAATAATAGATTTTGTTCCACAAAAAAATACTGGCTTCAATCGAGGCAAAACCAGTTATTTTCATTTAGAAACCAAACTACCGGACCGATTTTGATAAGGTTTCTATGGAACCAATCTGAAAGTATATCCTTTCAGATAAAAAAGAATTTTCCAAAAACAAAATCAAATTATAAATGACGAAGTTCTGAGGCAACAAATATAAAAAAGCAACCGAATGGACAACTTCCTCCTTTTTTTAAGTCGATTGAAAAATTAGATCCGAACAGCCATACATAGTTATATACATTATACGAATCGTCATACAATGTAGTACAACGTACTCACGTACCAAAAACACCACCTTCCATTCTTCTGCTAGGTAAAATGAATAACTTCTCAAAAATAATAACAACTAATATATCTACTTATAATATAAATAAATTAATATTTGATACGTTTTTGAAACTTTTATTATAATTCTCAAATAAGTTCGGGGTATCAGGGGCATATATACCCTTTATTGAAAAATAAAACGTTTCACTTTTTTGCCTACCACCTACCTACAAGAAAAAATGTTTTATTAAATACTAAGTATATTCCATTTATAATGGCAATTTTATTAATAGATTTTAATTTATTTAAATAGATATTTATAAAATTGTGATAATTATTATATATATTTACTAAGAAAATAATAAAATATATTTTATTATTTTCTTAGTAATTATTATAGGTAATAATATAATTAAATATAATAAGTAACTATATCGATCGATTCATAATATTACCTAGATAATTTGTGAACGTATCTTTTGTCATATGTTTAAATAATTACTTACATTTACATACATTTAAACCAATTTTTATAGGTGCTTATAACAGTTGCTAGTATTTCTTTATTTACTTAAATGTTGTGCTCAATTAGTTGGAACGATATGATGGTGCCATTTTAAAATTTTTATGAATTATTACTAAATATTAAGCATCATATTTAGTACACTTAAGTTAGTTAAAGGTAAATTTTACTCACCACAGTTTTGATGCGTATTCAAAATTATAAAATGAAACGCACTAGGTACTTAATGATAACACAGATTTAAAATATATATATATATATATTCTATTTTCAAAATAGAGAGATGTTATTGTCGCTATTAAAGGCACACTGAATATGGTGTGGTGGATAACACTCGGCACGTGCACTATGCGGCCCGTCCGCTTTGTATACTGTTCAGAATTGAACTTCAATCAGATCAGAATGGTAGCCAAAATAATTTTCAAATTACCAAAGACGTAGATGTTTATTTACGTACACAGATAACAGGGAATGAAGATGCAAATTTTGAGTATTATTGTTGTTATTACCTTTTAATTCTACGCGACAACGAAAAGTATTTATAAAATCTAACAATGCAGTAACCTTTACCCGACTACTGAAGAAAAGAGGGTAATGTTTTATAGATGTAAGTGTGTATGTACCAATTGATAAAAACAGTTGTAGGTTTTATTAATAGTAAATTGCTTAGTAATTGTTTAATGAGCTAGATGCAATTTCTTCCGATAAACAGCGTCACTAGCGATCAAGTAACAATTTAGGTATTCAATAGGTAACAATAAATTTAGTTTCTAAATTGCTCTGCAGAGGCAGCATCATTATCTATCACGGCGTGTCAACTGACCTGACTCAATCATTACCTTAAGTGATCTAGGGTACCAGTGAGGGATGGTAGGCTACCATTCCTTACCGGTGCCATGCTAGCGTAAATAAATAGCGAAGGCGTTATTTTAATTTTTCTTAATTAAGAAATTAATATATTTAGATAATATTTATAATGTGGATAATTAATGTCGTTTTAAAAATGCTAGCTTGCCATTACTTCAAATTATGATAATATTTTTATATAATTTATTAGTTTCTATTTTCTTATCAGATTAGGAAAAATCGATTTGTATGACTATGTAGTACCTTATTTATCAAGATTTGTTGATTACGCCGTAAAACTATTAGGTAGACGAGCATTTATCTATAAATACAGATAATATAATATTATATTTACAAGGTCTCACAGATACTTTTTATATGTTTTGGAATTGCAATAATGACGACCCACCTGTGTGCGTTTATATAGGGAAAAGTGGTGACACTTTTTTTTCAATGAATGACAATAAAATGGTGACCCCGTTTACGCTACCGGTATACGCTGGCGGGATACCAGTGAGGGATGATAGGTGAGATGAAAAGACAGGTCAATTAGCCTATCAGGAAGAATATGCCAATAATTCAGCACGATGGTTTCCAGGGGGCCCACGTGGAGGTCGACGTGACAAGGTCTATTGCTAGCAATAGGTCTGGTAGTCCGCTATACTAACAATCCCATCCCCCCAAAGTGGTGATTCTTCTTTATGTAAGTGCTTAAATAGTTTGAAAAGTACCATGGATATATATGATATTTATGGTGTTTTTACACCCATCCATGGGTTAATATGTACATCAGCACAGATAATATAATACTATACTCGTACATCAGTCAATGCCACAGGACATCTTGTGTTTCGCGTTGCTATTGCAAACGATAGGTGATTTTCATAATCAATTTGTATTTAAAAAAAAAACCGACTTCAATTGTGGCAAAACCAGTTATTTTGAAAAATAAACTACTGAACTGTTTGTAATAAGATTTCTATGAGCACAATCTGTAAGTATTTCTTACAAATAAAAAAAGATTTTTTCAAATTACAAATTTAATCGGTTTACAAATGACGGAGCTATGAGGTAACAACTTTTTAAATTTAAACTCCTCTGGAAAGCATCAAGTATGATACTTTCCAGACGAGACTGCGTGGAGGTCGACCTGACAGGATATATTGCTAGCAATAGTGCCGTTGCCGCTAGTTCTCATTACTGTCATTCCCTCCCCTCCCCTTTATATAAAGTATTTAGGTACGATTCTCGTAACTGTTAAATAAATGTATCTACTTACATTACTTTGTACATAGGTATTTGATGCGACCTTTGTCAATTTGATCAATGATTTAATTAATTTTACTGCATTGTACCTATCGATTGCATGAATCATTGATGAACTGAATCATCTGAACATTGATATTTATAATTGTGAAACATCAACCTCGTGTTAAAAATTAAAAATAGAAGGGGGAGGAAGGTTTCGTTATGATAAAAAAATAAAAAATGTGATATTTTTTAAATGGAGATGAAATAATATATCCGTCCATGCTATGGTGTACAATGCCCCACCATTTTACCGGTGTAGGAAAAAAAATGAAGATGAGTTAGGTCACGTAGTGGCGAATCCATTAGGAACTGTATGGTTTTAGAAAGTTTCAGAAGAGATCGCATAGAATAATTTTCTTCCATCGTACGGCTCGCCATCGACAGGGAGTTCATCCTCATCGCGTACAGCGCGGTTTCAGAGATGTTTCCTCCCACGAACACTCAGGTTATGGAATGAGCTCTCTGCCGAGGTTTTTCCAAGAGACTACAGTTCTTCAAAAGGAGGTTAAACAGGTTTCTTCAGGGTCGGCAACGCGTGCGTAATACCTCTGGTATTGCAGGTGTTCATAGACTACGGTAGCCACTTACCATCAAGTGGGTCGTATGCTTGTTTGCCACCTCAGTGGTATAAAAAAATAAAGAATATTACTCAAGATATTTGTTTTAATAGGCCAAAATAGAATGGAATGGTAATCTTGCCTGTGTTGTGTTTTCTGGCGGGGCACTAGTAAAGAATAATAAGTGACAATAAAAGTATTACAGTTAGTTCATTGTGACAAATTCAACAATGAATTAACCACGATGATTTCCAGGGGAAATATGTGGAGGTCGACTTGATAAATTACGATTAAGGTTAGGATATAACTTACGAGTATACCAAATTTCATACAAATCCGTTAAGCCGTTTAAGTGTGATTGAGTAATAAACGTACAATAATCTTAACGAACTCTCCCATCCACCATCATTCGCACACTAAATTTTCATTACTAGCAATATTTTTTTTATGGTCGTACCGATATTTTTGATAGAATTAAGTACAATTCTAAGATAAATATCACAGACTTAGTACTTTGTACATCATAATCTAAGGATTATGTACATGTCTCCTTTAGATTACATACGTAGTACGTTATACTATGTCTATGGTGTCTCCATACAAATGCTTCGTTATAAAGATTATATGATACCTACTGGTGAGCCCTTCAATAGGAGCTTTAAGAAAAATGCTAGCTATAAGTAAAGTATACGTGAAAAAGCATAGTCTGATATATAATATTAGCAAAAACGTAGTTATGACATTTATATTTGGAAATAAAAAACCTAATTATTTGCCACCTATATCGTTTAATTTAAATGTACTTGCAATGGGAACTGATTTAAAACATCTCGGACTCATTATTGCAAATAAATACATTGAAAGATAACCAGGACATAGAACGCAAAAGAAGAGTATTTTTATTTTTGATGGGTGAAAATGGTATAGTAACCCCGCCTGCGCTAACGGGATACGCTGGCGGTGCACCAGTGAAGGGTGATAGATGAGAATGAAAACAGGTCAGTTCGCCCATCATGATGAATTCATCAGGAATTAACCATGATAGTTTCCAGGAAGAATCGCGAGGAGGTCGACCTGGTTGGGTATATTGCTAGCAATGAGATTCTCAGTCTGCATTACTAACAATCCCTTTCCCCTCAAAGAAGAGTATTGGCAGTTAAAAGCACCGAGCAACCGTGTTAGGTTGCTCGGTGCACAAGTGAAAACAACATTTTGTCAGGTATTCTATTTGAGTAGCTTGTGGATCAACTATAATCAAAAGACTCTTTGAGTCCAATGTAATAATGCCTTCAGACCCTTGTTGGAGTGTGTCATACATATTTGCGCGAGTGAGTACTTATGATTTTTATGCAATATACGGTGCAAACGAATTGTTTCACTATTAGACAGTTAACTAACCGTTTGAACTAATACGTACGTACCTTTTTTTTAATAGATGACAATGTAATGGTAACTGCGCCTGCGTTAACGGTATACACTGACAGGGAATGAGTGATAGATGATAGGTGACGATGAAAAGGCAGGTCAGTTAGCCCATCGTGACTAATTCAACGATAAATTAATTATGACAGTTTCCAGGAGGAACCGCGTGGAGGTCTACCTGATAGGGTATATTGATAACAATATGGACGAACCTGCTTATTACTAACTATCCCTTTCCCCCTAATACGTACGTACCGTGTTAGCTCAAACTGTCCTTACCGTGACCATTGCCGGTAAAATGGACTGTCCCATCTTAAAACATTGGGTAGGACAGGGACACTCATTTGCTATTATATGTAGGTTTAGTAAATTATATATTTTCTGAAAAAATATATATTATTATTATTGTATTAAGTACTATAAACTATTTCTTCATGTGTGCGTGAATAGAGTTATCGCAATGCATATAACTAAGTAAATGGGAGAAATTATATTGTAATTAATACCATATCAGTATCCACTACTGAACATAGGTCTCGCCCTATTGGGAGGGTATAAATCTAAACACACTTCGAAATTTAAAAGTAAGAAGTTATTTTGTATATATTCCTGTCTATATGAATTACAATTTTTATTTTATCATTCCTTCTAGAAATCTACACTAAGGATGTACATGTGCTTGTAATTAATTGTCAGTGTGACCATTTGTGACAAGATTTCGCTCCTAAATTTTATCTGTGGCAGATCATGCTGATGACAAAATTTCTGAAATCAATCGCTTATCAATATCAACACTTTTAAGATTTACAATTCTTGGATCCACAGTATGTGGTTTACAAAGATTTTGCATCAACTTTAAACATTGCGAAGAATTTTTCCAACATACTAGACGAAAACAACATTCAAAAAGTTGATGACGAACTTCGACAAATTACATTTAATAAAAGTGTAAGAAATTTTTTAGATTCAAGAGCAAGTAGCACCACCAGCACAATTTTGAGTGTAGACAAGTTTTGGGGAACCAATGGAAAAATCCAGGACGTGAATAGGGCTACAAAGTATCCAAATATTATGAATTTCGCAAAAGCTTATTATGCTTCAATCAAACGCTTCGTGTGTAAGAATATTCTCTCAAATGAATTTAAACAAAACAAAAATAAGGAATAGGTCCCTAAACCAACATGTTTCAGCTATAATTACCACCAAAAAGGGAATAAAGGAACACGGTACAGTATTTTCTTTAAACCAACTAAAACGTGATCAAAAAATGTCTTCAAAATGTATGTACTTGAAAAATGAATACGAAAATTTGGAGAAAAATACGTGGAGTAAATATTTTTGTTGATTAAAGAAATTCATATTCATAATATGAATTCAATGAATTCATATTATGAATATGAATCTTTTTTATTTCCTTGTAAGCATATATTTGGTATTTTTGAGGACTAGTGTGGTAAATTTTTCAGATTTTTTACCCTGTCAGTGGCAGATTCGCTATTAATGAGATGGTTATACTGTTAACGCTATCAGTGGGCATTAAGGCCTTGTATCCAGAGCCGTAAAATATATTATTAAAAAAATACAGGTTCAGTTAGGGATGCACATCGCTCATAAAAAACATCGATATAAGAACATCAATATTTTGAAATATGAATTATCGATTTTAAAAACATGTAAGTTATTGACCGATATATTAATTTTTTCGATGTTTTTTACCACCATTTAAATATAAATATATCTATATATGGCGAATAAATATGCATTTTTAACGAAAATGAAAAAATAACTATATTAATAAAAACAAAATGATATTATTTTATGAATTTTTATACAATTTATTTTAACATTTTTTTTTCGGATATTTATTAATTTTTAACAGAAAACAAGTTTTAATTGAACATTTTTTATTTTTAAGTTAATTTCTTTAAAATAGAGTTTAAAAATAACAATTTTAACAACCTGTAAGCGGTTTCTCTCCTAGGTGATTGTCGCTTCAGCTTCTAAGAATAACCGTTCACTGAGTACCGAAGTTGCCACGATAGGCAAATCTAGGCAAAACTAGACTATGGAGCCCCGGAAATAATCCCTTCTTATCATCCAACCTCTCCAACGCGTCTCCTTTTATTAGAGTGACAGGTGATGACATGTTTGTCTGAAGGCTCTGTCTATATAATCTAAGTCGGATCATATATAATATAACCTTTAAATAAAATTTTATCCTTTAAAAATCATTTAGTAAACTAAAACAATGAAATAGAGTATAGTTATATTATTATGGACTAATAATTATCTACTTACGTTCAAATAAGTACACAATTATGCATCAGATTAACTTTACTTTATTCTTTTATTTAGTAAGTAACTGTTTATGTCTATAGATATAGATCACGGACGAGACGGAAAATGACGCTATGATTAAAAGTCGTTCATAAAACATCGCTCATGAAGAACGATGTATCGTCGATGTTTAGACTTTCAACATCGATGTAAAATCATCGATGTTTATGAACGATATGTTTGGAAAAATCGACGTATCGTTTACATCCCTAGTTTTAGTGCTCAGTTTAATTTGTATTACTCGTTTACTTCACGTCATTTATTTTCTGTCCGTGTTTATCACGTGGTATTTTATTTGAGGTTGATTTTAATTCATTTTGTGGTTAAATGTTTAAAATCAATAAAAATGAATTCCAAAAAAGTGGCGCAGAAACCTTCATTGTCTTATACAGCTAGTCCGAACTACAGGAAACCTCCAAAAACTGCTAATCCGGTACCGTGTTATTTACATATTCTTTCTTTTTACATAATATTTATTCATAAACAGTCCCTCACAAAAACAAATTATATTACTTTTTTATTGACTGATTAGTAACTATTCAAAAATGCTTAAATGTAACTTGTAAAAAGTATTTCTCTTTGAAGTTTGTTTCACATTTCATATAATTTAAATTTAATGCTAATCTTTGTGAAGAAAGAAATGAAACGTGTTATTATTATTAGTATCTATATTATATTAATGTTTTATAACAGTAGGTGAGATTTGTAATTAAAATTTTTCTTTGTGTCACTTTTAGTCTCTGCAATGTCTTGGGGCGCCACACATAGACTCGTTCAATTACATGGTTGAAGATGGCCTTAAGGCTGCTATAGCGGATTTAATACCGGCTGAATTTGAAACGGCTAATGGAGAAAGAGTAAAAATAGTCATAGAAGATGCTGGCTTCTGTAAACCCAGCGTTCCGCTCAATGTAATTGGTGTAAAATCAGGAACAGTTTTTCCAACAGAATGCAGGCAAAGAGCAGCAACTTACAAAGGCGAATTTAAGATAAGATTGACATTGAGTATTGATGGAAAGAATATGACATTGGATAAGTCTTTGGGAAGTCTCCCGATTATGGTTAAGGTAAGATTTTGAACAATATTAAGAATATTTTGTAGGAAGAATTAAGACAGATTGCTGTGTTATTATACTTATTCAATATTAAATCTTGATAACTATTCTTATATCCACGTTTTAGATTTTGATTCTTACCAAGTAATTAATATTAACACAAAATAAATATAAATAACATTAAAATAAATAATGTGCCTACATTGCACACATGCATGTACATATACTCACCTTAGTAATATCAAAATGAATGTATGAATCTAACTCAAAATTAACAAAAGAAGTTTTAGCAAAATATTTTTTTTTTATACACTTTATTGCACTAAGTAAATTTTCTAGATTCAAACCTAACTTTCTCAGCAGCTAATTCATTGGGGTCAATTTTAAGCTAGAATTTCTCTAAGCCTATGCCTAAAATTAAAATTTAATTCCACATGAAAATCTTTAAGGATTATAAAACTATTTTTTATTAGATTTGAAAATATTATAAATTTAGTTGCCATCCATAAAACAATAACTTTAAGAAATAGTAGTTCACAAAACTGAAATTAAAATATTAGGTTAAGATAAGTTTAAGAGAAATGGCACTAAAGTATTGGCCCCATTATTAGTTGTAAATACAAATTTTAATTCCAAATATTGGTATTTTTTTAGTCCAAGTTGTGCCATTTAGCTGACATGTCACCTGAGGAGCTGATTAAACACAATGAACATCCAGATGAGTGGGGAGGCTATTTTATTGTAAAGGTAAGATATATAAAAATTTTAATTTTTTTAATAGCTGATAACAGAATGATAGTCCTGTCCATGCAAGAGATTGTTAGTAATTAGGTTTAACAGGTTCATTGTTAGCAATATACTCCATCAAGTCAACCTCCACATAGTTTCCCCTGGAAACTATAGTGGTTAATTCCCATTGAATTTGTCATGAGAGTCCAACTGACCTGCTTTCATTCTTACCATTACACCTTATTGTGTATACCAATAGTTCAGACAGGATTATTATTCCATTTTCATTCATAAAAAAACTGTCCCTATGCTATCATATTTGCTCGCAGGACACCAGTGATGATAAGGGATTTTAGGGATAGTAAGTGAGTATGAAAGCAATTGTTTAATTGTATTGAAATTATCAAGGATTAACCACAATGTTTTCTTGGAGGATAAGAAAGAAACAGTATATTGTATTATACCTCTGTAACTTTGCAATGCCCAAAAACATTACCCAAATTTCTATCTCAAATCTTTAAAAAATGTATTTCCAAAAAATTCTATCAAAATTAAAAAATCAAATAGATTTTTACTGAAATTTCACAAACTAAGAAATTTTTATCCATTATTGCAAAAAAAAAATAGCCAATCAAGTCACCATGCACAGATTTTGAGTTAAACTTTCAGGAACACAACTATGAAAATCGCATCCAATTTGGTGCAGGAATATTTGTATGAAACTGGAACAAATAGACAGCCAAAATTTTTTAAAATATTATGTAGACTACTATTCTTCGTGCAGTTACAATTTTATTGTATTAGTAACAATTTTATCTAACACAAGCTAAAGCTTTTATTTATTATACTATTTATTTCCCAGGGTCATGAGCGTCTCGTTCGAATGTTGCTAGTGACTAGAAGGAACTATCCAGTTGCTATCAAACGATCTTCATGGAAGATGAGAGGGGATTTGTTTACTGACTATGGTATACTGACACGTTGTGTTAAGGCTGACCAGACCAGTACAGTAAGTGTTTTTTTCTGCCTAGTGCTGTGGTTTCAAAGGAATTTTCTCCCACGAACGCTCAGGCTGTAGAATGAGCACCCTGCTGAGGTTTTCTCTAGTGACTACAGTATGGGGTTCTTCAAAAAGGGTATATATATTAAGGTTTCTTCAGGATCGGCAACATACATGTGACACTCCAATAAAATAAAAAAGGAAAAATAATGTTAACTTTTCTAGTGAGGCACCAGTGAGTGATGATAGGTGAAAATGAAATTGGGTCAATGGACCTATTGATACATTTTTCAAGACTTAACAGTAATGGAAATTATAAGAACATTATGTTAGGTTTCTAAGACTCTTTTGTGAGTTATTTAACTCGAAAAATAAAATCATAGATTTGTAACTTAATATCTAAAGAAGAAGTTTGTTTTAATTGCTTGTAGTAGAATTTAAATTTAACAAACTGTAAAATTAAACATCTTTTTTCAGACAAATGTATTGCACTATTTGCAAAATGGTACATGCAAGCTGATGTTTTCACATCACAAAATGATGTATTATGCTCCTTTAGTGTTGATCATGAAATGTTTAGTGGACTCGCCAGATCACTACATATACAGATTACTGCTAAGTGGAAAGAAAGATGATTTGTATTACGACAAGTGAGTATAATCTATTTGTGTTTTCATATTAGCTCCACTAGATATAGTATTATAGGTTCTTTACAAAATATTATACTTGTAAAAAAGAAATACAGCAATTGGTTTAAAAACTTGTTAGATAAGGTAGAGTTATTTTTGAAAGACATCTCTTTTAACCAGCAAGATGAAGTGAGAGAAAAAATAATTAACAAGTAATATAGTGGAGGACAATGACCTCTATGAGGATGATGATAAATTTAGTGGAGGCAAATTGCATATAAGATAAAAAGGAACATATAAGATAAAATAAATTCAAAGTATATAGAACACTAATAAAATAAACATACACAAATAGTAATATTTCATTTTATATAGAATATTTTATTTTAAATATATATAATTTTTTTATGTATATTTTATTGTTTTTATTACACTGTGTACCTTAATTGCAGTTGCATTCGAAATATGCTCCGAGAACTTCATGAAGAGGGTCTCGATACATCAAGTCAGTGTCGTTCGTATATGGGACGGATGTTCAGACAAAAACTGTATGAGCTTCCACCCTGGACTACTGATGAAGAAGTCACTGACTTTCTTCTGGATCGCTGTATTTTGATAAATCTGTCTAATCACGAGGATAAATTCTATAGTCTTGTATTTATGGCGCAGAAGCTGTATGATGTGGTGCAGAATAAATGCAAAGTAAGTATTTATTTAAGATTTTTTGATGTTTTAGAAAATTATTAGATACGAGTGGCTCAAGACCCTTGTGGCAAATATGTGGATTGTTTTTGCAGTACGTTAGTTATAGTAATAATGCCTGCTTAAAATTTTTAAAAAATTGTTTTATCTTGTTTGAAACTTAAACAAAGTAATGGTAAAGAGATTAGGAAAATCGCGAACGAATCAATCGATATGTAAGTTATCGCTATCGTATGCCAGGCAAAGAATGAGACAGTAATGTCTGGCGTCATAACTCTTCTCATGTGTACATAATTTTTAATGTATCTAACTAGAAATTTGTTTGCTACTTGTCTAAGGGGAGCTGGAATTCTACAGAGTTAGGTACAATAATTGGAGTATCAAAGATCATCAAGCTTTTAAATATATTTGAACATTGTCCACACATACCAGTTGCAAATATTCTCCATCAGACAGTGTATCAAATAAACATTAAGTGTACCATTGTGAATTTGTGATCCACCAGGTAGAAGGTGCTGATTCTGTAATGGTACAAGAGGTGCTGCTAGGTGGTCACTTATATCTTCAAGTGTTGAAAGAGCGACTGCAGACCACCATCAACGTAATAAAGATGCAGTTGATGAAAAAAGATAACAACGCCAAGAAACTCAACATTAATATGGTAATATTTTTTATTGTTACCTTAATTTGTTCTATTACATTTTTGTTTTGTGACATAAATATCACTGTCTGTATATAATCAAATACTCTGTGTTATATCGATAATATTATAGTTATATTTTATATAAGCACGTAGTTATATTATAAATAACAGTATAAATAAATAAAATAAATCTAGTACTGAGTATTTGATTATAGTGATATTTATGCCACAGTTTAATATACTTGTTTTTAAGAGATATATGCGGACTATAGAAGTACGATCTACCAGATATTTAAATAATGCTACTTTATAGTGTATACTGCAGTAATATCGCTTGAGTTCCTAAGGAGTAAGGAATAGCAAAAGGCTCCTAATGTCACAAGGGATACCCATAAACTACAGCAATTACGTACTGGCACTTGTTGCTTGATGGCACATTAAAAAAAAGTTATAGTGGTTCATTATACACAGGATAAAATCAAAATCAAGTCATAATGCCATTCGTTATTAAATATATATTAGGAGAGAAATTACGTGTTACCATACTAACTTACAGCTGGATGCGCTTCTTAGTATCGCAGACTTAAAAAAAAAATATCGTTTTTCGACTCATATTTCTTTGGTGAGTTCAGTTTCACTGGTTTAATTGATGCTTATAATTCCGATTTCATCCTAATTAGAGTACAAGTCGTTTTCTACTTTTTACAGTCATCACTTTAATTGATTTGTCGACTATTACTAGTAGAATTAAAAAAAAATTATAATATTGTTCACAGGCCCAAATACCTCAGCTGATCCGCATGGCCGGCAACCTAGAGACTAAAATGGAGATGTTCTTGGCGACTGGCAACGCGCCCTCGAACAATATCAGTCTCACGCAGTACAAGGGACTCACCATCGTCGCCGAGAATATTAACAGAATGCGTTACATGTCACATTTCAAGTGAGTATTTTTGGGGATAATCCATCACATATTATAGATTTACGATTTTCAGTGAATTTTTTTACAAATTAATTATTCATTCATTAATTTATTGCGTTCTACGATATTAATATCAACAAAAGATCTTAAAAATCACTAAAGTACACTGTACATCCTGACGGACATAGCTATTGGAAGCAAGGAAGTCGTTCGAGAGGAGGATCTGTTAGTAAAGTGACAGAATTTAAATAGCAAATTTCATAATAACCATAGAGTGAAAAATTCGAATTCCGCAGCTCCTATCCTTAATTTAAGACTTATGGTCTATGACTTAAGAAACTCGCTATTTTCAAAATGAGAATTAATAACAAAGGAAAAAGGATAAAAGAAAAAACATACATATGTTGAAGTCTTATTGCAAAAAGTTTTAATATCTTATAAAGCTAATGTACATGTTGATGTGTTTTTATTTCTCCTTTACGCTAAATTCTCAATTTGAAATAAAAAAAAAAAACATTGAAACATTTTACAGTTAAAAGAACTTTGTAAATATTTTTAGTTCTTATTCAAAAAAGAATATAATTAATAATAAGTAAAAAAAGGCTTTTCTAGTTCCCTTTTCCAGATTACATTAAAATTACTGGATGCCTTAACAATTGAATTGAGTTATGCCATCTTCACCATGAGTTTAATATAGAATGTCTCCCGCAGGTCGATTCACCGTGGTGCATTCTTCATGTCGATGCGAACTACGGAGGCGCGACAGTTGCTACCCGATGCATGGGGATTCGTGTGCCCGGTGCACACGCCCGACGGCGCACCCTGCGGCCTGCTTAACCACCTCACTATGACTGCACAGGTAACCTTCGACTATCACCTTTTCCCTGCTTTCTCTCTTTCTGTTTCTAGTATACTTCTTTTTCAAGATGGTATAACATCAAGATCCGGGGGGAAAGGGATTGTTAGCAATGGAGTTTAACAGACCTATTGCTAACAATATGCCCTATTAGGTCGACCTCCACGTGGGTCCCCCTGGAAACCATCGTGAACAATTCTTGTTGAATTCGTCACGATGGGCTAACTGACCTGCTTCATCTTCACCTATCATCCTTCACTGGTGCCTCGCCGGTGTATACCGATAGCGCGGGTAGGGTTACCATTCCATTATCACCCATTAAAAAAAAAAAAACATCAAGATCCAGTCCTTATTTGTGAATCAAGGAATATAACAAAGTAACGTAATTTAGTATACAAATATATCTTTCGGGAAAAGTTAAGAGATAATACATGCAATGGGATAATACTGTAAATAAAATATTGGTTAAGACTAGCATTACATTGCATATAGCATAAAATCGGGTCAGTTGCAGGATCTGTGAAAAGGCTTATACCTTGCGATTGGTAAACTTGGACCGAGAAGGAAATGTTATATGTTATTCTTATTGTAATTATACAACTGTATCATTACATTTATTATTTGTCTTGCTTATTTCCTATTTTTTATAATACAAATAAAGTATACTCATTCATGCTTTAGGCCAGGTCTCTTACAGGGTGATTTAAGGAGGAAAGAATTGTTAAGAATGAGGATTTATATCCATACACACATATCCATTTCTCAGGTCGACCTCCACGCGTTTCTCCCTTCATCGTCGTAGTTCTTGTGGATTTTGTCATGATGAACTAACTGATCTCCTTTTATCTTCACCTATTACTTCATCCTACCTCTATCATTCCTCACTGGTGCCTGGTCAGCGTGTACCAATAGTATACCCTATATATCAATATAATCTTAAGACGATACCCATGCATGGAAGATATTTTAGAAAAAAATATATAACCTTAATAAGAGAAATAGCTAAACATTTTTTTTATTTTTGTATATCTATAAGTTTGTCTGTCAGTCTGTCCGTCTGGTTTTCACAGTTGAGTTCCTGAAGGTTTAACATAAAAACTAGTCTATGTTTTATCTTAATACGCTATCTAGAAATAGTCTATTCCATTGATTTTCCTATTTCCGAAATCATAAGTTTAAAAGATGCCGTATTATATGTCGAATTAGGTATATGTTAGTTAAAAGTTAATAAAATTATTGAATGTATATTAAAATATCAAGCATCCTGCTTGCTATGGCTGTGATTTTTTTTTATCACGGATTAATATCATATACAAATTAAATACAAATGAAATCGGAGCTAGTATCGATTGATACTATATTTGAATATTAGTATAGATTATAATAAATTTTTAATATAATAAATTTTATTTACATGATGGACAGATAACGCAGCCTCCTGATCCAAAGCTACTGGTCTCACTGGTAGAGGTGTTGAGAACATACGGTAAGTTTATAATTTATTCAAATTATTTCTTTTTAATAAAAAATCTCTAATGAGTTTAGTAATTTTTAAAGAAGATAGTGTACACTTTTTTAGCCTAATGTTCAGTATTGTACTTGCAATATTTTTCTACACTTTGCATATTTAAATATGTGAAGTATAAAAAAAAAAGAAAAAAAACTGATTACATCTGTCATAAAAAAATAAATTTATGATAAAAAATGTACTGATTGTCATAAAATGAACAGAAGTGACAAATATACATTCTCTTGTGAATGTGGTAATACCGCTAAAATATTTTCTTAAAAAAATCAGCATAGGTTACTAGATTTCATCATTACATAATAGGCATGGTCCCGGCATAGAATAGGCCACTCCTTCCTTTCCTATGGATGTCATTAGAGGCGACTAAGGGATCTTAATAGTAGAGTGATGGGCAGCAGCGTTTCTTTTGAAACATCACTATAAGCCTAACTACGGTTGTAAACCCGCCTGCCAAGCGAGTCAGCTGCTGGCGAAACTCCCTTTACGGGGAAGGCTTATTCCTAGCAGTGGATAGTTAACGGCTGATATGATATCTGTCATTATCTAATAACATATCCATAGACTGCCATAAGAAACTGTCCTGAGCCACCTGCATTCACTGACTCCCTGCAATGCATTTGAGGTCGCCACTCCATGTAATGGAGGACTTCAGGTTGATAGGGTTGTCACAAATTTATTCGTATTATGCTTACTTTAATGTCTTTAGCTCGCAAGGTCTATACTAGCCGCCAGCTCATTAACGTATTATTATTGAATTCACGGGAGGGGTAGGATCTAGTACTACTTGGATACTATAAAAAGAAAAAAAAAAACTAATACTATTTTCGATACAGGAATGGAATCAAGACACACAATAGCTCATAAGCCGCTCGAGTTCGACGTTTACAAATACCCCGTGTTCCTCGATGGCCGAATGATCGGGCACATAGCTGAGGACATCGTCGCCGAATTAACTACGTACCTCCGCACGCTCAAGGTCAAGGGCGAGGAGTTACCCGTCACGACGGAGATTGTCTTTATACCCAAGAAAAAAGTGAGTTCTTAAAATGCCTTATCATTATCTGTTATTGATTATAATTTTAGCTGTACCCGACAAACGTTGCAGTACCGCGTAAAGTAAAATTATTTGTGTAGGTTTTTTTTTAGATCAGCAGCCCACGCGGGCGAACCCAGAACACTTTCCCAAAGTATTACCATATTACAATCTGATCAATGGTTTAGGAACGCATGGAGGATAAATATACAAACATTAATTTTTATTCTTATAGGTTTAATATTATTATTATCGACATGAACATAAAACACATTACAAAAAAAAAAATCATGACGCTGACTATCAACTTCTAATTAATGGGGGGGGGGGGGAGTGTTAATATGACGGGATCCGTTTTCCCCACGCATATTAGAATCGAATATGGGAACACTCATAAAGTTGGACGCTTTTTGGTTTTTATAGTTTTATATTTGTTACTTATTTATTATCATAAGTATTGAAATAAAATTATATAATCAACAGATTTGTTCACAATATCCGGGCGTTTTCCTTTTCACAACCGAGGCTCGAATAATGCGGCCCGTCATCAATTTGATCACAGGACAAATAGAGCTCATCGGCACATTGGAACAGGTGTACTTGGACATTGCAGTTACGCGGGAGGAATACATTAAAGGTAGGATATAAGAATGTAAATAATTATAACTTAATTTTGATAAAAAAATATGCAGTTAGTTGGTTTTTATGCAGAGGCAACGAATTTACAAAGAAAGTGTATTAAAATTTAGAATTGAAATACAGCATTAAAACATTTCAATTCTCTTTAATCAGTTAAGAGATATATTATTTTGATTTAATATAACTTTGAATGAAAAACAAGCCGACGGCCCACTTGATGGAAAGTAGTAACTATCGCCTATAAACTTGAACAGTACCATGGACATAACAAAGTATACTGTGTTGCCTATAATACTCTTCACGAGTTGCCATTCCTGAGGACTACGGTGTTATTCCTCTTGTTTTTAATTTTTTAATAGTAAAGAGTTTTTAATCTACACTCTTATAAAATTGAGAGAAAACTTTTTAATATTTGTTATATATTGAAGTCTTCTCGTACTTACATAGTTGTCATATTAGTACGATTTAATATGAAATATTATTCATTTCTTAAAATTTCGATATTTAAAATATATATGAAAAAAATAGGAATTCGAGTTTGATTTAAACATTATTTATTACATTTATAATTTCAAATATATTTGTTTCTGGCATTAAGCACTTGGACTTCTATGCGTACCTTATTTAGTATTAGATAAGTATGTATGTATTTAGTTTCTTTTACATTCAGTTTCTGTTTTTTTAGGCATAACAACTCATCTGGAACTGTCGAAATCAGCTTTTATGAGCAATTTAGCACAGCTGATTCCTATGCCTGACTGTAATCAATCACCACGGTGAGTATAATTTAATTATTTCAATATTTTTAATTTTATTTATTTAAATTAATCAATAAGGCTAGCCTATCCACATTACTTATATCTTAATCTCCAATACTTTATAAGTATTTTTATTTATATTAGTATTTATATTTTACTTACACACACACCACACACTGAACGTTACACATTTAAAAATTTATTTAACTGTAATCTTCTAATTAAACAATAATTTCTTTTTTTTTTCTTATTTATCATCATGTTTATTATGTTTGTAGCTTAATGTTGTTAGTTCTGCATCAACAAATACAAAGTATTAGTTCTTGTGTGTTGGAAGGAACTGGCTTACAAGGCACAGGTTACCCTAATTTGTAAGCTAGGGCAAAAAACATGTAACTGTGTAACCCTGTATTTGTTAATAAAGTTTATTATTATTTTTTAAATTTCACTAAAATTCTCATCTCCCCTCTTAAGGAGAGGAGATGGCAACTAACCCCCGGCAGAAGCACAGTCGGCCGGGGTTCAGGGCCCCAGGGAGAGAAACCGGCGTACAATGCGGGCAGAATCTAAGAGCACCGCTTTCTGCATCTTTCCCGGGAGTGAGCCGCCTCGGAATCCCAACCGTCTGAGATGTTGTTCCAGACTGGTTGGGATAAGACCGTTCACCGACATAACGATTGGGATGATTTCGGTAGATGTCACCCCCCACATTTCGGTCACCTCGTGAGCCAGGTCGAGATATTTTCTCTTCTTCTCGGTTTCGGCTTTCACGAGGTTCTCGTCATGCGGTATGGTGACATCCACCAAAAACACCCTCGAGAGTGCCCGATCCATCACCACGATATCAGGTTTGTTCGCAAGAACGGTCCTGTCCGTGATGATGGATCGGTCCCAGTAGAGCCTTACGCTGTCGCTTTCGAGGACCGGCTGGGGCTCGTACTTATAGTACGGCAACCTCTCATTCGCGATTATTATTATTATTATTATTATTACTTAGTTAATATTTGGTTAAAATGTAACCTGTAATTTCAATGTTCGTGGTCAAAAAGGAGTGTAACGTTGTTAACCGACTTCGGAAAGAACGAGGTTCTTAATTCATTAGTATCTTTTTCCGGCTATGTTTGCTACTTCATAACTCCGCCAGTTATAAACTGCTTTGAAAATTCTTTTCTAAATGCCTAAACTGATTTAGATGTATGTGCTATAATTATAATCCTTACATCATTCCGAGTGACACTGACTATGAATTTTTGACAAGGCAATGTTTTTTTTTTTATTTGCAGAGCAATATATAGTTGGTATTTATTTATTATTATTTTACAGTAATATGTACCAGTGTCAGATGGGTAAGCAAACGATGGGCACACCAATCCACACGTGGGACACTATGGGCCCCGGCAAACTATATCGCCTGCAGTCGCCAGCGACGCCACTGTTCCGGCCCGCACACTACGATGACATGGGACTGGATGACTATCCAGCCGGGACGAATGCAATCGTCGCCGTAATATCTTACTCTGTGAGTGTTCTGTATCTATATTAAAAAAAAAAAGATTTGTTTGTTTATTTATTTACTCAAAAATTATTGTAACGATTTTAAAAGTTCTTTCACTTATAGCTACATTAAAAGCAAGTAATATGCGTTCTGTATTATTTTCAAAATTCTATCTTTTTGCGTGATGCCGGGTTGCATTGCTAATTATAAATAGATGCGAAACGTAATGTCTAATTATGAAGATATTTTTTTTTAATTAATCAATGTATTTATGCAGTCAACGTATCAGGGAGGTATGATAGGTAATGATGAATTTGTAACTTATGATCTATTTACATGAGTCTTCAATATTTATATTCACATGTTAAAGTACGTATCTATATATATTTATAACGGGAATTTTGTGAGCTTACTGTTGTAAAATATTGTCCCTGTGTTCACAAAATGTGTTTTTTTCTGAGGCGTAATTTCTTTAAAACTATTCTATAGTTAATTTCAATTTGATATATTAGCGAATTCCTTATTCTAAGAATCAATATCAACTGGATTTGTAATAGATTTAAGTCTCAATTAATATAAATTTAATTTATGATGATCCATAAAACAGTAATTTCCTGAAACTCATAATATTAAATTAACAGATATATTTAGAGAAATGGTGTCTCACAATTTATCTTAATATAAAAAAAGCATTATAATATATTAATTTTATTCCACAGGGATATGATATGGAGGACGCAATGATAATCAACAAATCAGCATACGAACGAGGGTTGGGGGCCGGATCCATATACAAAGCGGATTTTGTAGAGCTAAAAAACGCTAACTCATACTTCCAGCGAGACCCTAACAAGCCTGAGCTCAGTCAGTATATAGACTCCGATGGTTTGCCATCGGTCGGTGCCAGGATAGAGCCGAATGATCCGTTTTACTGGTAAGTTGATACAAGAATTTTTTTGTTGCTTCCAAAAGAGGTCATTTTAAATTTATTTGTATTTTTATTACTACTTATTTTTTTTTATTACAAACTGTTATTTAACTTGCAATGTATTTTAGTTTGCTTAAGTCAAATCTTGTAGCCTGAATTAGAATCACTAACTGGTATTCATTTAGTTCAAATTTTGCATACACCTTTGGGTCTGGTGACAGTATATTATGCAAATTATAATATTCTCAAAATGGCCACCGCTACAAAATGGCGGATGGTGTATTTGTCAATTGTCAATCTATCTCTTAAAGAGTAGATAACGTTAAAATAAATAACGTAATTTTAATACACTGCTACCAGTAGTTTATAAAAGCTTGTTTTTGAAAATATATTTAAATAGATGTGTTAGCAATTTAGAATGGTAAGCCACAGTGGTAACCGTTGCCTATTAACATGAGTGGCACCATAGATATATCAGAATATTCTCTGTGACCATAGGGGAATGGTGTCCACTTATTATTAGACAAACTGTAAACTTGATTACTAATGTTGTGGCACTTTAAACAATTCTCTGAATGTTTTTCTTATAATTCTTTATTGTACACTCGCTGTATCTCGCGGCGTCATGCGCGTAAATTATTGTATAAAGTATCCTATGTACTCAGTTGGATCATATGTACTCATGCACCAAAATTCCATTCAAATCCCTTCAAATATTTTGTTTTTAATTTTTATGCAATTTAGAGTGGCAAACAAGCTGACGACCTACCTGATGGAAAGTGGTCGCCGTCGCCTATAGACATGAGCAGTACCATAGACATAACAGAATAAACTGTTTTGCCCATGATACCACCATGCATTGCCATTCCTGAGGACTTAGGTGTTATTCCTGTATACCCTGTAAATAACATATATTCATCAATCCATCGTTATAAACTTTCATATTTATAATAATAATAGGATAAATATATAAAAAATTTTGGTTTAAATATTCCAATTTATTCCCATTAGTTATTATGACGGCGATAAAAAGGATTTTGTGGTATCTCGGTACCACGGTAAAGAAGATGTGTTCGTGGACAACGTGAGACTCTGCGGGGACTTCAACATGAAGAAACCACCTACAGCTTGCGTCGTGCTCAGAATACAGGTTGGTCGGCATAACGGAATGTTTTAAGTTTCTTCTCTTAAACTTCATCAAACTCTTAATTGCTCTTCTAGCCTATGGATCATTATATGAATATATTGTTTATAGATAAAAAAGTTTTGACTATTTTTTTTTTATTTTTTTTTATCAGAAGAGAACTAGGAAATTCGTGATTATAAATTATCTGCACTATTTCTTATAATTTTTTAATTTTTGTTTAGAGTACAAATTACCATTAACTTAAAAAAACATTTAAAAATGAATGAGTTAACAAGTTGTCGATGTGATTATAAACATATTAAGAAATAAATAATGCATGGATTACTAGTTTTGTGCAAAAATTATGTAAGGTAATAATAGTGCTTGAATTATCTTAATACATTAAAAACCCGTGCAGTGATGATGATTAACCTGATAAGAAATAATTAAAAATAGTGTCTCACAAAAATAATTAACTTCGATTCTGACAAAACCAGTTATTTTGTTTTAAAAATTAAATTAGTGCACCGATTTTGATAAACTTTCTATGAGACCAGTTTATAAATATATTCTTATAGATCAAAAAAATTAACTTTCAAACCTGTTTACAACTGACGGAGTTATGAGGTAATAATTATAAAAAAATACAACTGACTTCAAAACTTTCTTCTTTTTAAAGTTAATTGAAAAAATTAGTCAGTTAGTCTATTAACTTATTTTTGTTTTCAGCGTAATCCAACAGTGGGCGATAAATTTGCATCTCGTGCTGGCCAGAAAGGCATCTGCTCTCAGCGCTGGGCGGCCGAAGATATGCCATTCACGGAGACCGGGCTGATACCTGATATACTGTTCAACCCTCACGGCTTCCCCTCGCGTATGACAATCGCCATGATGATCGAGTGCATGGCTGGCAAGGCGGCCTGTATACATGGACATGTGAGTATTGTACTAATATTATAAAGAGGAAAGATCTCTTTTTTTTATATGTTTGTTTATATGGAGTGCATAAACTCAAAAACTACCAATTTAAAAAATTCTTTAACCCGTAGTAAATTGTGTTATCAGCAAATACCTATTATAGGGATATATGTATAAAAGGGATTTTATATGCCCCTCCAAGGGGAGGCTTATGTTCAGCAGTGGACAGTTAAGGGCTGACATGTTGTTGATGATGATGATGATAATAAAAAGCTTTTCCAACAATTACTAATTTGTAATTGAAATATTTGATCTGAAACGCGGTAAATCATAATAAGAAGTAGATTTTGCCTCGTAACAAGCAGTTTGAACAACAAAAAGATTTAAAGCTGGAATCGTTCAATAAGTAATGTGAGATTAATATAGAAGTTAACGCTATTGATTTTAAAAAGAATTGTGGAAATGTAATCGAAAATCTTTAATTGCTATATTTTTGAATCAATTTTTCTCTCTATTAACTTAAGTATAATTTATTTATGTATTAATGTATTAAGTATGTCAAATACTCTTTAAGATTAGGATATGATGGGGCTGACATATCCTTATAATATAATAGGATAAAAACTCTAAATAAAAAGATAAAAAAAAACGTAATCGAAATGAGTAATTGAATTAAGAAACTCTTTTTGCTTACCACTTAAAAAAGTGCGTGAAAAGGTTTTTCAGGTATTGGTATAAATTAGCTTTAAAATAAGAGCGAGCACGACAGGTCATGGAAAGGACGCTGTGTCACAGGTTTTTCTATCTGGAAAAGCTCGTCTCTCAATAATAATAATAGGGTTATGCTTGTTTGCGAAAAAAATATATATATTGAAATTGTGATCGTGTCTCCACTAGGTACACGATGCGACGCCATTCCGTTTCGACGAGAAGGACACCGCGATTAATTACTTCGGGCGGCTACTGGAGCTGGGCGGGTACAACTATTACGGCACCGAGCGTATGTACAGCGGCGTCGACGGCCGTGAAATAGAGGCAGATATCTTCTACGGCGTCATACACTACCAGAGGCTGCGGCACATGGTCTCGGACAAATGGCAGGTGAGTGTGGTCTAAGAATAATATAAGAGCCTCGATCGTATCTCGTAAAAAATAAGAGTAGAATATGAAAAATATGGAGAACATTTAAAATAGATTAGACGATTATACATCGAAAGTATGTTTCTAACTAATGTTACTGTATATAAATTATAATAAGTATTAGAAATTGCATTAGGAATAAACAAATTATCATAAAAACTAAATATCAAAATGGAATTACAATATCAAACTAAAATCTGTGTCGTTTACGCGGTGATAGGACTTTGCGGGAAATTCAAGAAATTATATTTTTATAAGAATAGTGACCTTTCCTACGTTATAGGTATATATTAGTGAAATACTAATGAGCGATTGATGGAGATGAAATCGGTTCAGTTGGTCCACTAATTCACTAGGAATTAATCAGGATAGTTTCCAAGAAAAAGCGTGGCTAACCTGACAATGTCATTCTGTATGTATTACTGTTAATACAGGCACTAGCCCTGTAGGTTCCGCCATAGAATAGGCTATCCCTTCCTTTTCCGTGGGTGACGTAAGAGGCGACTAAGGGAACTTAATGATAGAAGAATGAATGACAACGGCCCTCTTAGAACATCACCAAAAGCCAAACTGTAGTTGCCAATCTGCCTGCCAAGTGTGGCAATTACTGGCAAAACCCCTCTTATAGGGGAGGTTATGTTCAGCAGTGGACTGTTAACGTCTGATAAAATACAGATACTGTAAGATGAAGTTGTTCAATAAAAGTATGGTATCATAACTACTTAGATTACGTAGATAGAGTGTCTCCATACAAATGCTTTGAGAAAGGCGGGTCAAGTTTTTAATATCATATATAATATAAGAGGTCGTTGTATGATTTTGAGATGGAATAAGTTTGGATCATAACTGTAATCAGTAATGTAATGTACATCTATAAAAACGTTTACTTTATCTTACTTTTAAACGATGATACAATGTAAAGTTGGCAAACTGCGTATTGATAAATTTTTGTATTGTTTTCTTTTTAATGGTTCATTTTATGTTTGCAAACTGTTATTGTAACTTATAACAAATAAATAAATATAATTTAGCGTGATAAATAGTTATGAGGATTCCTTTATAACTTCCATATTTATTTTATCTTATAAATTCTGCAGCTTTTTAATGCGCAAAAACTTATTTATTAAATAATTAAAATATAGATACATCAAGATACATTGTGTGCGTAAGTGTATAGAACATTAATAAAAATAAAAGAGTCAGCTAATTGTTAAAAAGTTGACCCGTTTCTGAGATTCGATGCTCTATCTGTATAATCTAAGCATAACTAGTGGTGTGGCGATATGCATACATGGTAGTACATGTGTACGGCAGGTGCGGACAACGGGCGTAACGGACGCGCTCACACGCCAACCGGTGAAGGGCCGTTGGCGCGGCGGCGGTGTGCGGCTCGGCGAGATGGAAAGGGACGCGCTGCTGTCACACGGCGCCACCTTCCTGCTGCAGGACCGCCTACTGCATTGTTCCGATGAGACTGAGGTACTTATACTAGATACCAGAGGAAGACCTTGAACAAAACTCGTCTGTGTGTACTACTGCCCCACTCATGTTTCTGCCCTGAAACTTGAAAGCTGTTCTTGCATGGCTGTGTTATGTTTTATATCTATCGTGTCTTATATACGGTTATGTCGTGAATAACGTGAACGGTGCTTATGAATAAGGGCTGCTATTGAGACCGAAACTGGTCGAGCAAGCTCGACGTTAATATATGAGTAAAGCCAAAATTGAATAATCATAAAGTTGAAACCATGTGACAGCAGTGCTTGCATCTATCTGCTGCTGTCGATTGGATGGATGAGATTTGCTTTGAAACTTAGAATGGCAAACAAGCTGACAGCCCACCTGATGAAAAGAGGTAACCATTGCCTATAGACATGCACAGTGCCTAGTATCACGACAGACCATATTGCAAAGCCCATATGCCCCTCATGACTAACCATTCCTGGAGACTAAGGTGTTATCCCCCCGTATCCTGTAATTTACTACTACATAGCACCCTTCTATTCAAAAACTTTCTTTTTTATAATATTTATTTACCTAAAAAGGAGATATTTAGTTGGTTAAGAAATGAGACTTCTCAATTTTCAACGGACTTCAAAAAGGAGATTTTCAATTAGGTTGTTTTTTTTTTTTTAATTCTGTATATTGAAAGTTGAAACTAAAACACCTCTTTTTGGAAAAAGTGGAAAGTTGCATATAGATTATGTTGATATGCTGCACAGCCACTACTTACATAGCATCAAATAATTTCGCATTACTGGCAATTTTAAATTTATTTCTGGGACTTGGTTGTGGGCAGTAATGAAAATCAAGTATACAGTCACTATTGTAGACATTTCCAATCTTATAAAATATTTAAAAGATATTCCTATATCAGGTTATATATAAAAGTAAATTTTATTTCAGGCAGTTGTGTGTACAAAATGTGGCACACTACTGGCTCCAATTGTGGGCAGGATGGACGGCAGCATGAACACTTGCAGGCTGTGCCGTGAGGGCGATCTGGTCACCGTCAATATACCCTACATTTTTAAATTTTTCGTAACCCAATTAGCGGCTGTTAATATTAAACTTAAGATTAATTGTAATAACAATTTGGCAATAAAAAGTTCTTGATACTATAATAGTATATCGAGATGAAAAGTTAGGCCTATTTTACAAATACTATGTCTATTGTATATAAATTTGAACTTATGTACGTGAGACGTCTCGTTTTAACGAATGCGACTAATATAATTTATACTTTCTGCATTCACAAAAATAAAGTTCCTTTTGTTTTCATATATGTATTGTCTTTTATTTCTAACTTGCGTTTTGCATGCTACTTCACGCACGTATTTTTGTAAATAAACTCTTCCAGATGATGTATCAAAATAAAACATAAAGTATGATGCATTTAAGGTAAAACCTTCAGGAACAAATGTGAATACCGCATTTGATTTATTTTTTAATTCCATTCAGTTCTTTTTGCATAATGTCGAAACAAGCATAAAGATAGAAAAAATCTAAAAATTGTTTTTTACATGTCTTATAAAGAGGTTTTTTTTCAGATTCGGCAACACGTGTAATTACAGTAATTGCATACCATCGGGTAGGACGTATGCTTGTTTACTATCTTGGTGGTATAAAAAATTTAACCTCTTTATACTTGACAGCTCTTGAAAAGATAAATTATTACGACTTAAAAACCTCAGCGGTAGTGGGTTCGTATCAATCCGACATCAGAACTTCTTATAAATTAATAACTAAGCAGCTTTCTTTCTTACAGTACAGGGGAAAAAGTTAAAGTAGGAATAGCAACGTATAAGGTTTGCACAGTACAAGGGACAAGTGGGTCTAGGTTTATGTGGCTTTTATTTAGTTAAAATAAATAGTAAAAAATAATAAACAGTAACACTTTCCGCAGGTATTGTCTTTGCGCACTGAATAGACTACCATTTTATGAACACATACGTAAAAGCCCCAAGAACAAGAACTTACATAGAAGGAATGATAAAATAAAAACTACATCATATGGTAGCCTCTTTTCTTCTTATGAAAATATAATTAGTAAAAAGAAGACGAAAGATACACCATCAGATTCTATTTTTGTCTATTCATAGCAGACTAGTGTATAGAAAATGTTTAATATGTTAATTATTTATCAATAACAAATTTTATATTACTAGATTATATATTCGACAACGTTTATGTAGAAAGTATGCAAGCAGGTTGTATCTGAATTTGGTAGGATTATACGGTCGTAATATTTGATTTACAGTTTTTATTTTAACATTCCTTCTATGTAATTCCTTGTTCTTAGTAAAAGCCAAACTCTGTGTGATATGAATAAAAACACTATTCAGACACTAAATAATTGGGATAGGGTCAGGAAAATGAGGATATATAAAGAATAGTAGCAATACATAGTGTAAAACTACTACTTATTACGTCTATGATAAAAAATAAGCTGAGACGGTGAAAGATTCGTGGTTTCACTCCATGAATGATAAAGAAGGTAGGAAGGTGTCGCCTATTCTATGCCGGGACCATACGGCCAATGTATAAAATAGATTATTATAATACAAAATGTAACCTTAGAATTTACAAATAATTATAATTTTCTATTATTAAATTTCAGTTATTTTACCAGGTATAAAGTATTTAAAATGGCCGTTAATAGGTATGCATTTTTTTTTTATTACTTCGACTAAGGGGAATCCCCAGCCATGGCGACAGTGTTGCTAGTAATAAAATTTTAGTACACATTAATAGAAAATTAAGTTCCTCTGGATTGCTCATTTGTGTTTCTATTTGTGGTGAGGCCACTAGGCTACAGTCTAAGTAGACTACGGTTAAATGAGGCGATGAGCTGACCCATACATAAAATTGGACATTAATATTTAATAAATTTTACCAGTTTCTTTTTTATTTTGCTACAAGTATTATAAATGGAAGATTTTGTTATGCATGAACTTATAGACATTCCTAAAATTCGATTGTACGTATTTATTGTGGTAAACATCATTACAGGAAAAAAAAAGTTACTAGCATATATAAAACTAGTCTCAACGAAAAATCAAAATTTGATCGGTTATAGTTATGTAGAAAACAGACACATTATATGGGATCTCCATAACAATGCCTATTAGTGAATGATCATCATCATATCAGCCATTAACTGTCCACTGCTGAACATAAGGCTTCCCCTTGGGTGGAGTAATAGCCAGGTTTATCAGGTGGATTGACAACTTTGGAGACGTTTTAAGAGGAATGCTGTTGCCCATCCCTTGTCCTCCTTTAGTCACCTCTTACGACACACGGGAAAGGAGTCTAGTCGTTGGCGGGACCAAACAACTATTATATTTTTTTATAATGTAGGGGCATACGAGCATGCGGCCTAATAGTAAGCGACTATAGCCGCCGATCAGAATCCGCAACATCGGAAGATTTGCAGTTGAAATGCCGGCCTTTATAAAGGATTGTACTCTTTGAAGGTTTACTACTTTTTAAAGGCGAGAACAAAAGAACGACGTGATGGAAGACTGTGTGGAAGAAAGTGCCTTGAAAAAACGTACGGTGGAAGATTATTCACTCATCCAAATGGTTAGGATGTAATTTTAGTTTGTGGCGGCTTATGCGATTATTTACAATAAATTATAAAACAAAAAAAAATGCTGTTTATAGAGAACATTTATTATTTAAATTTTTTCAATAAGTATAGATATTTTATACAGTATGTCAAATAAGGAGCGTGTCTAGTATCAGCACGTTTTGAACGCACATAAAGGACCTTGGAGATGAAATTTGCTGCCAAACACATCTACCCAATTCTAATTTTAAAAATACTTTCTTTATGTAACTTACTGTATTTTTCGCACATATAATCATCTTACAAATCACTATAAAAAAATTAATATAATAAAATAAAATTGAAGCTAGTCCTCGTCCATAGCTTCTTGTTCTTCCTTCTTCTTCTTCTTTTTCTTCTTCTTAGCACTAGCTGAGGCCTCGAGTACTGCTTGTGAGGCTTCCTCCAAAGCTTCTTTCATTACTTCTATATTCTTCTTGGGAATGTCACCTGTTTCGTAGAATTTCAATCTATCTTCTACTTGCTGACGGAGCTTTTCACCGAAGATTGTTGTTTGGTTTTCTGTGAAATAACAAATTACTTTATTCAATATATTTTTACTTGAAGATAGATAGATAGATAATTTATTTACAATACAGCACACAAATTACAATAAAAAAACATACACATAATACACAGTAAAAGAGATAAAAGAATGAAAATAAAAAAGTAACAAAACAAAAAAACAAAATATATAAACCAACAAGTGTGCCATAGTAACACAAAATGGTCACAACTCAGTTTATTACTTTGCCCTTAAAAGAGAGCAAAACTGATATTCTGTTGTAGCCATTATACGAAATATATTACGAAACCACAAAAGAAGTCGAATATTCTAAATTAAATCTATATAGTTGATTAAAATTTTATCGTTATGTACAAACTAAAACTTCAACTAATTAGACATTAATTGTTACTAAAGTATGTCAACAAGAGTAAACACTTTTAAAACGAATAATCTTAACTCAAATAAAAGAGCATACATGAAATTTATCTATAATTTTGTTTTATTTTAAGGCAACACTTTTTCAGTTTTATTACATTTTAGTTAAAAGAAGTAACTCTGAAAATATTTTTTTTTTTCACTTTATACTAGAATATTCAAGAGGAAGACGTAATAGATTGTTCGATATCTTCTGTGATCTTATGATATCTAGTACTGCACTAATCCTTTGTATATTTTATTTCTCTGTGAAAACTTGTAATATCGCAATGACTAGACATAACACATTCACAAATAGAATGTGCACGAGTTATATTGCATTTAATTTTGCACAACTGTTATTACCGCAAGTTCATACAGTAACACTTACGATAGATCAAAGTGTGCATATTATATAATAATATAGTTACAGCATATTTTAATTGTAGATAAATTATGAACTATTATCAATTTATCATTGTTTTATGCAAAATAAAATGATATTTGGTGGTCGTTCGATTACAGGTAAATAGTCCCGAAAACATGTGTCAAAAAAACGTAGTTGATAATTTTGAGATACGTTTAATTACCTTATAAGAGATTGAGTGTAAAAATACCAAAACAAAGGTAAAAAAGAAATTAAATTATACGATTAGCCAGCTTTCTTAGACAAGTGGTAAACGAATCTATCGATAGAATCGTCTTGATCGCCGTACATATGAAGAAGAACGAGATACAGGAAGTTGCTATCTCATTCTATTTCATTGGCGCTAACCAATAACGATTCTGTGGATAGTTTCTTTTGCGACTTGTCTTGAAGAGTTGTTTTCTTTTTCCTAATAACTGTTAACTTTTCCTTTTTTCTTATATGTTCTCTCATTGACGACTTACCTGAGAAGCAGTCAATCCTGGAGGCTATAGAGCACTTATTGGCGAGATACCGACTGATGCGGCCCTTGTTCTTGAGGCCGGCGCGGCCGATAAAGGTTGAGTGGTACAGTAGACCATACTTGGGGGTGTTAGATCTGGTCTTCAGCGCTCGGAATAATGCTTTTTCAGCACCTATCATATAAAAAAATATTATTTTATATACTAGTTTTATTACAAATATATTACATTTTAGGTGTGATAATAAAATAATTAAATTATAAAAAAAAATTAAAAGAAAAAAATTATTAATATTTAGTTATTTTTGAAAAATATTGATTATTACTATTTTTAGTTTAATTCTTTTAGAATATTTTATCAATGCCCCTATTCATATTCCATAAGGGTAGGTCGATAATAAAGATCTTTAATTATAAGATACCATTTTCAGACATAAATTTATTTATATATTATATGTGTATAATTAAAATATTATGATAGATAAACTTGTGAAAATATAGAATGATAGAGTTGATATTAAGTTATCTTTATTTATACTTAGCGAGAAGATAGGACTGATATTAGAATGGTCTGGAATCCTCACAGGGTATTTCACTGGCACATGTCCACCTTTAAGTTACTATCTGTAACTAAATCTAAAAACTAAATCGGGAAATACCTAAAACATGATTACACCTTATTTACACAATTACACCTATACTGTACTAATATTTACCCAAAATTTGCAATGTAGATGCTGGGTACTTGGCAAGGCTGGTTAGAGATCCAGCTTTGGAGATGAGCCGAGCGCCCACCTGGTCTCCCACCAGAGTAGTGAGGTTCGGAGCCACGCTGTTCATCTTGGTGTGCAGATACTCCGATATCTGCTTTCTGTACAAATTATATAGTTGTATAATTAGTGACAGGTACTATTAAGTTAACTTGGAAACATCAAGTTTTGTAAGAACAAATTATTGTTAAGACAACCTTGTCAGTCAAAAATAAGACATATCCCAATGAGATAAGGTTTAATTTAATAACAGCAATTGTTGTATGCACTGGATTAAGTCAAGCAACAATTGCTATGTTGTAATAATAATACATTATTTTATATGAATATATAAATTGCAATACAATTTATTATTGACAATGTATCAAATAATCTACAAATTAAATTTAAAAAATGAGTACTAGTATGATAAAAAATGCATTACGGTCACCTTTTTGATTGTAAGTTGCTGCGCTCAACATATATATAATAATAATATTTTCAGTAGACACCTATTATAGCATTATGGAATGTAAATATATGAAAATGAAGAAACAAGTCCAATCCAATGAGGCATAAAAAAGCAAATATTCTCTTAATTAAAAAAAGAACTAACAAATATTTACCTATAATTACTCAATGCAACAACTCTGCCTGCGAACATTTGTATATTAATCAAGTCTACTGGCGATATATCCATGCCCATGGACATCTTAGCTGCATCTACAATAGCTTGCGCCTTTTCAGAATCTCCTAGGATTTCAGTTAATGTCTCAAGAGATTCTTCGCTTAATGATTTGCGATCTTTGATGTATTCTGCACACTTTGTGTATAAATGGTTTTCAGGAACAATGCTGACAAGCTCTGGGAAATGGTAGGAGTACCATTCTCTGAAAATTAATAAAATTGATTTAGAATAAATTGAGGTTCAATAATTAATGAAGTCTTGCAGAGTTAAGCTTGTTTTTTACATTTACTTTTTACTGTCATATTTTTGTATGTATTATTAATGCTATATGCATTAATAAAGTATAAATAAATAATAATGATGTTTAATATCATCCATTAATATAGCGCGAGTACCAGTGCGAGAGAAGATAAACTTGATATAAAATCTTGTACCAAGGTCACTGGCATATACTATATTTTGATATTTGACCAGCATGGATAATGATGATGACACTGTGTTTGTGTATTTGTATATATTGATGCATCTTACAATGAGCCAAGTGTTCAAGTCAGTGTGAAAATATTTCAGAAGATTTATCAAGATTAATATGACTATGAAGTGCAGCCATGACATCAGCAGAATTTGCAGTAATCTATGTAATTTTTAAACATGTTGCAATATCTAAAAGTAGCACATTTAAGAATAGAATGTGCACGAGTCATATTGCATTTAATTTTGCACAACTGTTATTACCGCAAGTTCATACAGTAACACTTACGATAGATCAAAGTGTGCATGTTATAACATTATTTTCTAAACATATGTGTGTATACTGATGCTGAGATAAGACAACATGCAGATAATATATATAATAATAAATGTACATTCTTTCTAAACAAAACTAAAGCTGAAATAAAAATAACAAACAAGTAACAAAAGTTTGCAAAAAAGGGGTAAAAAAAATGGTTTTATCAGAATCTACAATATGTGCTTAAAGACTTTGGTATGCCTATAATTGTTTACTATCATTTGGACGGTATACTTGTTTACCATCTAAGTGGTATAAAAAAATCAATATAAATAATAACAAATCCATAAGACTATTTTTATTTTTAATACCACCTATTGTAGGTGGTATTAAAAATAAAAAATAAAAACTAACCTGATCCTCATTGAAAATGTATTAATATCCTTGTCCAATTGATCCAGCAATGCTATGCTCTGTATGATCATGTTGTCAACCCGATGAACATTGAATTTGACACGAGCTCGGGAGTATGAGTGTCCTAAACCGAGTTGTGCCACACTGCATGCTTTGAGCGTGAGGCCTTTGATGAGTGCATGGAAGTGGTAGCGAATACCTGTGAAGTCATATAAGCTTTTATACAGAGATATTTGTGCAATGACAGAGCAACTATACAATGTGTAACTACTTTTTTTCATATCCGAGATATAATAATAAAATGAAAAACTTGATTGAAATTAATGTACATATCAAACTAGTATGGGCAATAACAAAATGGCTGGATGAGCTTTTTTGCTGCTTTGATGTTCATAGGAAACAAATATATAAGTTGCAATATTAATTATACATCCTACACAATGTATTGGGTATTATAGGTATAGATACCTATTATTGTTTATTTTTTGAGTATTTAAAAAGTTTTATAAAAACTTACTTTTATTAAAAATACTAACACTACTTTTAAAGAATGGGTTATGTGAACTAACATGTTGTATAGTAACAGTAACTTGAAACAAGAATAAAAAGAAATATTATATAAACCTCTCAAAATCTCTGGAACAGCTCCTGTATGTGAGCAGGGTATCTCCATAGCCTCGCTGATTGCAGCTCCCAACTTGGGGTCTAATACCCCTAGAGTACATTTTCCTCTTTTCTTGCGCTTGGGCAAAGCACCCTCCAAAAATAAATTTAGGTCTTCTGGCACAATACCTATGGGAGAAATGATTCATTATCTATATACCTAAGTAGTCTTCTCATACTTTTAATTTTTGACAGTTAATATAATTATATATAATTTTTAAATTTATTTTTATTATCATTTATATTCAATGTAGGTATTCATTATAAGTAACTAATAAAATATGTAAACTTTATTTATTAGTCTTTGATAAAAGACATCCTTTAAAGTTGTGAAAAATGACCGAGCTTCATTTTCATAATTAAAAAAAAAGAACTAAACTCAAAGTAATAATTAATATTCAAATGTAATTTGTTGACTAAGATCTTATTATATAATGCCTATATCCTTACATTATATATAAATAAATCTACTAACTTTATTTATAAAGAACTAACCTTCAGAAACAGCATTTATGTTTTCCAGAGCAACAACTGCAGATTTGAATGGTTGGAAAGCGATCAATGTTACAACTGAATTGAAACGCTGTAAATCCGTCACAGACTCCTCTACTTGTGGTAGAAATGCAGCCAGTTCTTCGAATTCTGTTACACGGAACAGAGCGAAGCCCGCACTGTGCTCGTATAGAACATAGAGTTTACTCTAGAAAAGTTAATTTGTAATTTGTAAATTTTTCAAACATTGTATTAAATTGCTTCATGTACGATTTACTTACCATTTTAATGTTTTTCTATATCATGACAATTATTATTTAGAAAATTAAAAACACGTGTATTCCAATTTGTACACACCGCGCAATGTGAGAATGAAAACAAATTTCAGTTTTGAGGTTATGATAGGAATGAATGGCTAAGTTGTTCCGTTCCTTCATATTTTTTTGTTCCAAATTTGAAATTGTTGATCTAATTTATATAAGAAAACATATTACTCCTTTAATCTTATTCATCTATTTCTTATTTATTAATTAAAATATAATTGTAGTTTTATGTTAATATTTTCAATCAGATATTATGAAAATGAAATAATTCAAATAAAAGTTGCAAGTATTTTGTATAACGAAACGTTACCTAAGTTCATTGTACCACAGATAATATAATACTATGCTAGTAGTAGCGGTAGTAAATTTGTATTTTTCGTTCAAAAATCTCAATTACTTAATTTAAGTTGGCTTTATTTTTAATTAGAAACATGGCCAGAATCTTAGCATAAATAGGTACACTTAGAATAATATTTTTTGAATACTATGGATGCTTTATAAAATATTTGATTAATATATTTATGTGTGTTTACTGGAGCGTTCTTACAATATTGAAGACACAAAGGTCATGGAAACTGTATAATAATTTTACACCTAGTTACATCTACTAGCCACCGAACTAGGCTGAGCCTGCATCTCAGTGGTTAGTTAAAAAAAAAACATCATATACTGGTAGCGACTGGAGGAATTGTCAGTGATGGAAATTGGCAACCCCATTACTAGCAATAAACCCTATTAGGTCGACCTACTCGCGGTTTCCCCTGGAAACCACGCCGATTAATTTATTGTTGAATTTGTCACAATAGGCTAACTGATCTGCTTCATCCTCACATATCATCCCTCACTGGAGTCTCGTCAGTGTACACCATTAGCGGAGGAGGGGTTACCATTCCATTATCATCAATTAAAAAAACAGCATGTACTTAAAGTATTTGATGTTTCTGAACTAAATGACGCACTAACGGAAAATGTGACATTTGATTTGATTTTGAAAATCGAAAGCTTTGTGGTGCAGTGGATTGTCGTTTATATTATTTCTTGCGCTGTTTCTTTTTAAAAATATGGTGTGATTTGGAAATATTCACTTGTAATTTGTGAGACTGGAAGAATTTTTTTATAATGTATAAAAGTGCAAAATAGAAATATTAAAAATGTCTACAATAGTAATGCAACGAGATCTTGTTGTGACTCTGAAAAAGGAGACTTGTTTGAATGTAGGCATATTGAGCAAGTTGCAGCTAATGCCGACGGATTTATCGAGACTTATATTCAAGGAAAATGCTCTAGAAAAACCTACACAGAATTTGTTTAATCATTTAACTTATTATCTAGTATCCATTATAGACTCCAAAGTGAGTGTTGCATTTTCATGGCCTTTGTACGATTCGAAGACCGAAAGAACCTATAGAAATCAATTATCAGTTTTCATAAACGATTATAGCAGTAAAGGACTGCTTTCTCCAGTGATGTCATCTTATTTGGTAAATCCTGGGTGTTTTAAAGTAACTATACTTATATTTCAATTATCTCAATTAGCTGTACAGCGTGTCTTGTTAAATAAAATGAACAGAAACCGCCAAAAAGAACTCTATGATAAAATGACAGAGAAATATAAGAGAAGCAACAAAGGATTCTTGGAGAATATTGAAGTAGAAACTGAGACAATGTTGAGCAAGTTTTCAAATTATTTACTCAAAAGGAAGGCTATGGAAGAAATTGCTGGGATATTTAGGAAAAAAATTACTGAAATGGAGACAAAACTTCTTTTATTGAATGTTCAGCAATATATTGATGATTTAGTAGACAAGTATGTTGAGAATCATCCATTAGATGAATGTATGAAAACTGAAATATTAAAAATTAAAAATATTCACACACATTCTAAATACTTTGATTTGTGGTTAGATGAAGTTGATGAAATAATGAACAAATTAGAAACAAAATGGGTCAATAAAATTTTACCATTATTAGAAATATCTGAGCGGGCTAGATGTAATACAGAGGCATTGATTGCAAGGCATACTGGTGAGGCTGATAAAAACTCTTATATGATTGAATACACAAGCAGCAATGAAATCAACACTATAGAATTACAAGATCAGGTGAACAGTGAACAAAAATACATACTAAAAAACATAGTGAAAAATGATAGACTGAATTTCCCCAACTTGATTCGTGGTTTTCTTATATCCATATATTTCATGCTAAAAAATACTGAAATTGGTGACGAGATATATAAATTCAATGAGTATTTAGAAGATGGAAGTAGAAACTTCAGTGAGATTGTTTCAGCTATGAAAGTACTTTTAGAGAGAGTGATGAACGCTGAAGCAAGATTAGAGGTAATTATTATTGATGTGTTGTTTAAAAAAATCACAATAAACTGACTTTAAATAAAAAAAATCACAATGTAGACAGTTTAAAATTGAATTTGTGATGAAAAATAATTTAAGTTCTTAATCTGAAAACATAAGCTCAAGATAAAAGATATTTTATTAAAATATTTTTTTTACTAAAGTCTAACTATCATGTAACTCTGTTATTCTTTTTTACATACTAATATATTACTTTTAATTAATTTTTCTTATTTTTCAGTCATCCTCTGTGCTCTTTAGTCCATCTTTTTCAATGAAGGATGTCTCCGAAATACCACCACTCCCTGATTTGTCTGATTTGAAAGCAAATAAAGATCTTCATTGTCAAATAATATTTGATACACTAACACCATTCAGTATATCTAAACACCAATTCAACTTACATAGAAAAAACTTCAACTCATTTGCTAGACCCCAAACAAAATCATTGCTTTCAGGACCATTCCATCAACTTCCCCGAGATGACTTTTTGAAAAGCTTGATATCTTGTCGGGTAAGCTCATATGATCGGCTCAACAGTAATTTCCATAATATGTCTGTTATATCACAGAATTATAGAGGCAATGAGACAATAGCTGAATGCTCATCAGGCTTTACAAAACAACAAATTGCAAGGCTGTTGTCAACAAAGAAGTCTAGTAGTACGAAAAAATTCAAGTGTAGTGTACAAAGGCCCAACATTAATATAAAAAAAGGAGCATTATTCAATGAATCAAATGTTTCTAATGAAAATGGGTTATATCGTAGTTATTCATCTCCTAATCTCTTTGAAAATAGAGAGAAAAAATCACATTCAAAACTTGGTAAACGTAAACTATCTATCATGCAAGAAGATATGCCATCACTTTTAGAGGTGTCTGGTATAGCTATGTTAGAAAGTGACAACAGTTATGGCACACCTGACGGAAACAATATTAATAATAAGGAAAAGAGTGTCACACATTTACCTGCTATATCAATATCACCTGCACCAGAGGCAAAAGTAAACAATATTTTAAGAGAAAATAAGATAGATTTTAATGGGGAATTAACAGAAAATAGTGTCCAAACAGTATTAATAGAAGATCAGAGAAAGAGTATTGAACTGAAAGAGGAATCAAAGTCTGAAACCCCTAAAACTGATTCACAACTAATAAGAAGAACTAGTTCCTTGGAAAAGATAATAAATAGGTTTAAGAAAGTTCGAGCTAATGTAGTATCAGACACAAGTAAGAGTGATGAGTTCAAAACTATAGTTGAGGAGAAAGAAAACTTCAACTCTGTGAATGTAGATGTATTTACAGCAAATAGGATTTTATTGCCTGACCTACTAAGTCCAAGTTGTAGTATAGTAAAAAAATCTACAGAGTTTGTGGATACGTCATCTTTCGATATTGATGAAAAAGAATGTAGAAGGCCACGAGAAAGTCTCGGTATGGCGTTAGGTGTTGATAAAACATTTTTAGACCAGTTTGATTTGATAGACTAATAAATGTCTATTTGCTATAACGCCTTAACATTGTAAAATCATTATTTTGGATTGTACTAATATCAAAATGTATTGAAGTTCGTTACTACAAGAGCTTTAAGTATTTATTGTATAAATGTTAACATACCTAGAATAGTATAGTATGTAAAGAAAAAAAATGTAAAATTTTTAGACTATTTTTCTTTCTTCTAGTTCTTATGGATCAAAATCATAATTATATTTTTTTCTATAAAAAAAAAAGTATTGAGATATTATAACTTCATATATATATATATATATATATATATATATATATATATATATATATATATATATATATATATATATATATATATATATATATATATATATATATATAGGATTTATATAATACTGTTACAATCCTTAGAAATATTAATTTAGTTCACTATAAAATAACAAATTATCAGATATTAATTAAAAAAGGAAATGTAAAAAATAAAGATTTTTATTGAATCTGAACAAATAAGGAAAAAATTCGACACATTCTTTCGCACGTATAACGATTTTGAAGTGACGTGTTTATACACGTCTTTTAAAAAATTTTATATGTCGGCGTGAAAAAAATTATAAATGTAACCTTAGCTTTTAATTTAGTTACTCATTGATATGGAGATGTTTTTTTTTTATATATAAATATGATTTTGTTTTTCAGAGGATTGTAGCAGACAAGTGTAAGAGCAATGGATTCAAGATTATTATTTTCTCTTTTATAATAATCTTTTATTGTGACGATAAAATGTTTTCTCTTTCGCTCTAGAGTTGCAAATGTATTCACAAACCAAATACCTAAATAATAACATAAAAGTATGCTACTGATTGTAATTAGGTAATTTTTATTTAATGCTTGTGTTCAATTAACATAATATGTACTGGTGTTTGCAGACTGATTTTAACTATTTAGATATGAGTAATATACTTAGTTATTATATATAGTTTAGTTTCCTATTTGCTTAATGGCTTGTTAATAAAAATCTATTATTGAATTGGTTATTTTATTATTATACTTACGACACTTACGTATTGTCATCGTATGTCACGTATGCCGTTGTTTTTAGTTTCTGTATTTTTTTTTATTTTACAGGTCATTCGTATTTTTCCTTAAAAAATTACCATTTACCTGATGGAAAGGGGTAGGTAGGTGTATCAATACACTATCAGTATTAACAATTGGAGTTTAGCAAGGAGCGCTATTTAAATAGCTTTCTAATGTTACTAATGTGAAGCCGAGAAATGAGACAATGTCACGATTTTTAGGATATTGTCTTGTTCATAGTGGAAATGGCGGATGCTTTAAATTAAATATCCTATACCTATTTTTGATTTCCATTCTAGTAATATCTTGTTGCCAAACTTCACACTAGTTATAAATAAAAGTTCTTGATATAAAAAAAAGTGTTTATTAAAAATTAAATAAACTTAAGCTAAAATTTCAGCATTATCAATACAAATAACAATTTTTCCCGTTTTTATTAGCACTAATAAAGAAGCTAAATAATGTAATGATGTCTTACAATTTTGTATCTTTATCCTCCAACTTAACAATCTTTTCGGAAATTTCCCAGAACTTTTTAGCTTTGTCCATGTCGCTGGCTGCCGTCGATAATGAACTTTCTTGGCAATCCGAAAAATATTTTCCATTCACCTTATGAAGTTTCTCATCAACGGCCAACATGACTGTTGTTTGGCAACCCTTTTTGGGAGTTTTGAAGAAACCTCTGATGATCAGACCTAACCCCCAACTGAGGGGAATAGGTACGTTCCTCCAGATACCAGTATCTACTAAACCTGGATGCAGACAGTTAGCCGTGACACCAGTTCCTTCCAGTCTTCTCGCCAATTCTCTGGTGAATAAAATGTTAGCTTCCTTCGACGCGTAATATAAGTAAGCAGGTATAGTGTCTACTGGGTTGGGATTTTCCAAGTCTACTGTAGCAAGACGGTACAGGGCTGAAGCGACTACAACGATTCTAGCAGGTGTACTCTTCTTAAGTAAGTCTATCAAAAGATGCGTCAATAAAAATGGTCCATAATGGTTAGTTGCCATGGTCATTTCAATGTCATCTTCAGATCTAACTTTCTTGAATGTTTCTGCGTAGCCTGCGTTGTGGATTAGGACATCTAATCGTTCTTCACTCTTGTTGATGTCCTCAGCGAAAGTTCTGATAGACGCAAATGAACTTAAATCCAATTTTTTTACTACGACATTCGTGTTTTTTGTTTCGTCGATGATTTGTTCTGGAAAGAGAAATTAATATTATTAACTATTACAAATATTTTTTTATTTACGTTACGTTTTCAAACTGCATATTGAGGGAAGTTATGTATTTAGGCCTCCTAGATAAGTGACAAACGAATATGTTTTAAGAATCGTTTTTAATCCCCGACAAAAAATTCATAAAAATAGATCGATTCTAAAAGGATCGACCGATTTTGATGCGTGTTTTTTTTTGTTTCAAAGTTAATATAATCGAGACGTTTCTTGGTTATAATTTATGAAAATATCATCATAGTCGTAGAATACTGACAGATCGGACAAATATTACATATATATATCCGTCAGTATTTTACGACTATGACGATATGTTCAGGCGTTTGAAGACTGCCATTTTCTACTTTATGAAGGGATCACATCAACTTCCACAAGTCCAATTTTTTTAAATCGGGTGTACCGTTATTTCGATGGTATTTCCATGATATGGCGACCTTGATCTGCTGCTGCAGCATTAAGTAGTTTGCAGGAACCCCAATTCCTCAGCAACTTGCAGCATATATGGCGTAATCAGCTTGTTTAGGATCATTAGAATGGTCTCAATTGGTAAGTAATTATTATTATATCAGGCGTTAACTGTCCACTGCTGATAAGGGGGTTTATCAGTAGTTGCCACACTTGGCAGGCGGGTCCGCAACTTCAGTTAGGCATTGGTGATCTTTGACAAATAATAATCAATCAATAATAATAATCATTGAATAAGTGTTAGACAGATAATGATTGGGGTCTTTACTTTTTACACGTTCGTTTATGTATGGGGTTGTTAAATATTTATTAAGTTTATCTCGCCATCTCATTCTATTTCATGGATTCTAGTGAGAACAGTTGATAGATTTATTTGTCACTTATTTAATTAAATATCGTCTTGATTAAGGCAGTCATGTCGTCGAATGTATTTCTGATTAATAACCTACCCTATATGGATTATAGTCGTGGCTATATTTAATGTACTTTTTATTTTTTAACATATTGTTTACATCGCCGTGTGTGTTCCGGTATAGAATGGGCCACCTCTTCTTTTCTCGTGAGTGTCGTAAGAGGCAACTAAGGGACGGCGAAGGAAGGGCTGCAGCGTCCCTCTTAAAACATCTCTAAAAGCCTAATTGCGGTTGTCAACCCGCCACTGTCAAGCGTGACAACTACTGGCAAAAGTCTTCTCATGGGGAAGGCTTATGTCCAGCTGTGGACAGTTATCGGCTGAAATAATAAATAGTAATAATATTGTTTATTATATTACTAACCATGTCCTTAGTATCCATTCTACTTTTATTTTATTTTAACTTCATCTATCAATAGTCACGATACCTCAATAGTTTACCAATTGTACAAGCGTGGTTCCACATTCATTCTTTGAAAATATCATTACCTTTAATTTTCTCAGCGGCTCCTATATTTCTGCAAGCCATAATAACCCTTGCTCCTCTATTGGCCAAGTCTTTCGCTGTTTCCTTCCCAATACCACTAGTGCACCCCGTGATGATCACAGTTTTTCCAGCCATTCTGGTGTTGTCTCTGAATCTTCCGCAAGTGTACTGAGCGTAGAATCTGATGATAATAAGTAGTCCAATAACTCCGAAAATTAAAGCCACCAGGCCGAGAAGTATGAGGGCGGGGAGGACCCAAAAAATGTAGCCCGCTTTCCACGACTCTGCCACCAGCATTTCTATAAGAAAACGAACAATTCTGATCATAATATTGGAGTAGTCCACGTTACCGTAACAATTAGGTATCGAATTAAAAATAACTCAGAAAGTCATCGTTATCTTTGAATTGTTACGGTCATGGGGAGTTGGAGTGCAATTTAACTGACAAAGTTTTTGGTAACAATCAGATTAGTATTAGAGTTCTATATCGAGATAGTAAACTACTAGGTTTAGAAATTTGACAATATTTAGCATGTATTTGTAAAAAAAGTATAGCAGTATGTACCTACCTACTTACATATAAGTACATAGTTATAAAAAACCGAAATATACTCATAATATGTACCTAAATATATTTACTTACACAGATATTAACGTTAATTGAGTACGTCTTCACCCAAAGACGATTATCGAGTTATTAAACAAAGCCTTGCTATGCTAATTGCATGTATGTACTGTTAGTAATAAAATGTAATGAGGTACTTAAATTGTGGATGACAAAAGATTACAAAATCACAGTTTCACACAGGTCATTACGCGCGCAGCATAATGATTTGACTACATTAAGTAGGTAGCTAATTCTTAATCATGTTCAATTAAGTCAAGGCAAATACATACTCAAATTTGAATGGTGATGCGTTTAAATTGTTCTAATTTATTACAATATACTTTGTTTGATTGTTTTGTTACCGTTTTCATTGTAATACGAATGCAGTGCTGTAACAATAATATCAATATTCTATAATAACTTGAAAAGTAAAGACAGCTTAAACAGTAAATAAAGCATTGCTTTTTGGCATCAATCTCGTTTATGAATGATGTTCATCATGACTAGAAAGTTAATCAGTTACAAATTGACATACATTTTTGTTATAACAAGTATAGAAATTTAGGATCTGGTTCGCGACAAAAGTAGTTCACACTTTTAATAATACTGAATCTTTTGCCAAAATTCATTAGAATTTTATATTTTATTTTTATTAACACACGGAATTATTATTAAGATTTTATCCACGCTTTCTGCTTCCATTTGCATTCTCTTTTAAAACTATTACGGAGAAAGGTACATGCTTCAACGTGCCGTGTTTTTTCTAATCTTTACCACAAATTATAGAGAAAATGATTATCTATATCAGTATCTCCGTGAGACTATAAAATAAGACATTTTGAGCAATAAAATATGTGCTCCAAGTTATCGAATTAAAACTAAAAAGAGCACATAAGGGGTATCAGTATTTATATTGTATGCGACTGTCTATACTTAAAAGAAAACAATGAGTTGGAAAGTGCCAAAAGTGAAATCACCGCAAACGATGCGGTGTAGACAGCAAGTGTCATTTGCTAACTTTGAAAGCATTTCACTCAAGGTCTCGAATCTCGACTCGGGAAGTCCTCTCTTCAAATGAATTGGAAAGTTCCGAACCCACTTGTTGTCTCGAAGCGTACCACTAAAAACCGGTTTTGTCTAATTCAACATACAATGTACTTATGCATTTTACGATAGCAAGTGACAAATATTACAAATAAATAAGTATTTGATAAAAACCTTTCTACGGTTGTTAATACTAGTCATATTTTTTTATTGACGAATGTTTTCTCTTTTTATTAAGTAAATATTACTTATAAGTAAATAAATTTGACACACAAGAACCATATTTAACTCAAACATTTTTGCATCTTTCTGAAATTATGTATGTATTTATAATAGGTATTTAATGTCAAAAAGATTTTAGATAAGTATCTATTATTTAAATGAGCTTATTGAAAATTAACAGATACTATTTACTATTAGATACTACATACTTTTTAATACCTAGAGTCTTAGGTGTATCGTAACAGGTCAATAGATGAACTAAGAGCATTATCCCGTAATGGAAATGCAAAACCGCCATATAAAACCTTTGAACCCGTTTGATGAATGATGTGTTGGTGGGCCGATAATTATCCTAATGAGTATGAAATCCATAAAAGTGGGACATAAAAGTTCACCAGTTTCGAGTATTTTTGTTTTTCAGCGCTAAGGCACTAAATAATAAAAAAATATTCGACGATGGATATTTCTAGCCTATAAAAGTTTAGTTTGTTTTTTCCATTATTTTTTATTCTTCAACTCCACTTATTTCATTAAATAGAAATTTAATTAATTCTTACTTTTGTTGCTTACGTTACAGACTTAGTTAAAAAACGAACATACTTTGCCTCAGCCTTTCTTTCTTTTTTAACGAAGTATTTATATATATATGTATATATAAATAAATAGTATAGCTATATAAAACTATAATACCTATTTAATTACAACTTTCTATTTATCTTTTTAGTTGATTTTAATTTCAAATCCACAATTGTGAGAATGCCTATAAATTAGGCCGGTCTAATATAACAATACCTACAATGAAGCTACAAATAGCATAATGACCTAAAGACACTAACTTAATGATAAGATATTTACCTATTTAACTATAAGTAATACCGACACATGTTATGGTATATTATTAATAGAATACATAGGTAGTTATAATGTTTGTTGATCACATTTGGTGTAGTGTCATAGTAGTTAAAAATATGCCAGTAATCGCTAATAGATTTAGAATAATAGTAAACCTTAGATTAAAAGAGTGTCTCCATACAAATGCTTCGAGAAAAGCGGGTCAACTTTTTTTATATAATTTTCGTGATAAATAGTTGAGCGTATCCTTAATAATAACAAAATAAATATAGACGTTCTATATTTATTTTGTTTTATAATTTTTGTATCTTATTAATACGTAAAAACTCATTTTAGTTATCAAATAATTGAATATAGAGTATATAGAACACTGACAAAAAAACTAATCAGCTAATTTGACAATTAGACGACAAAGTGTTGACCCGTTTTTGAAACTCAATGCTCAATCTACGAGTATAATTATGATCTAAGTAGATACGGAACGTATGGCATTTCTAAAATGGCACTAAATATAATGGTTGGTATTTCGAGTCAGACATCTAGAGGTAGAGTTAAATTAAAGGAGTGAAAATTCACTCTTGCTTTACTGAGCTCAATAATCTTAAAATAATTAATTACACGCATCTACATTCGCAAATAATTTTGCATCTACTCGGTTTGGTCTAAATCTAACATGTTAATCTCAGTTTTTATTCTGTTCTCTATGTTGTTGGTACATTCCATTTTAATTAAACATTAGCTTTATTACCAAAAGCACATACCTTCGATACGGTAATTATTCTATTTACTTATATAAAGCTTTGATTTATTTTTAATTACACACAAAATATTTTAATTAATTTTCTAATTTTTACATTATTAATAATAATGTCAGTTACAAATAATACGAAGGACAGAGTATAATAATATATTTGGTATTTGAATATAGGTATTAATTAATTTAGGTATTAAAATTATTATAGGTATTATTGAATGTATACTAATGTATCTATATTAAAATATTATATGAACTTATTCATCACCTAAGGTGAAAGATATAAGGTGATTCACCTTATATCTTACTTAAATTATAAATTTATAATTCTATATCTACCTTTTGAAAGGCTGTTATCATCTATTGTATTATGTCTACTTGTAAAATGTGAAAGCGTACAAATCCGTTTTTTTTTTATTTCTTAGAGACTCCGTAATCGTTTAAAGAGTAACGTTTTATTATTGTAACACCATAATTTAATTACATTCAATTTTTAAACCCAGAAAAAGATTGTTAACTAATTTTAAAGTTTTTATCTATTTAATATTTATTTTTAAGTGGTTATAGGTAAATTTTATTTTTGAAGGAATTTCAAAATTTTATATTTATTCTGTATTTAACTGATTTTTCTGTATTTTAATAATTTTTACTTACCGGTAAATTTTAGGAACTACACACAAATCACTGCGCTAACACGCGCATCAACTTTCGTGAACGTGGAACAACTGATTTGGTGGTTGGAATGGATTGGAGAGTTGAATCAGTTGAATGTTAACATCTTCTTGTCGAGCTTTAGCAGTTGTTTTTATACAATTAATTTACCGTGGAATATTCGACCTTTTGCGTCTGGGAATAAAGTTTATAGAAACTGACGATATTATTTTCTCAGCTCTCCAAAGGCTTTACTTATTACTTTCGCTCGTATTAATAAGAATCTTATTTGTTAAATAATAAGATTCAACAATATTGCATTGTGTTCGATAAAAATATGATTCTCCTTTCAATCATAGTGTTAAGGTAAAATATACCTTATACGCTTAAAAATAAATATTACTTATAGATAAAAATATAATTTTGCAGTTCGGTTAATATTGACGCGTCAGCAATTTTTTTATAAAATGTAGTACATTGTCGTTAAAATGTAGACATTAAAGTGCACGTTATATTATAATTGTATATTTAAATTTAAAACAATGCCTTTGTAACATACGTAATAATTAATATATGTAATAATTTTATATCGCGGTTTCATCTTCAAAAATAAGTATTATTTCATACAGAGCCGTTATTTATGCACTATTTTTAAGATAAATACCTCACTTAAATGAAATAAATCTCTTTGACAGTAAGATATCAAAATAGTACAACCATTACGTACGGAATTCTTGAATGAATACATTATACTAAAATAAAATCCGGCAAGTAAATGGCATCGAATTTAAATGATACGCCTTTGTGTAACTTAGTAACATCAACATTGAATCCTTATAAGGTATGTAATGTAGAAGAATATGTCTCTTCTTTAAATCGTTTTGTTTCTCTGTTTCACCGTGTACATCTTATGAATCAAACAATGGTATACGATTTACGGGTTTCTTACTATTTACTGAATTCACTGTCCTAATTAAACTTTTATGTAAATATGTATACTTATTTAATTTTTTGTACTGAAGTCACAAAAATTATTATTTTTATAGCTTACGCTGACGTAGCCTTGAAATGCATTAAAATAATATACCTACTATGTGAGGACGGAACGGGTCAACAGAATAAAAGTAGCTGTTTAATCAAAATATTATACATAGATCGAATTTTTATTCTAGAAATTTTTAGTTTCTGTATTTATTCATACATAACTGACAGTCACAGTAAGTTAATTATTATTCAGATAATAGTATTAGATCCCGTTTTATTTATTATATTAATAAATGTACCTACCTATAATATGATACTTGGGCTTGGGCACCTTTGTTCCTTTCGTGTTTCTACCGTGAAGCAGTTGTTGACAGTATTTGCATGGCTGTGTTTCGATTTGAAGGATGGGATATGGGGGTACAGAGGAATAACACCTGAGCCCTCAGGAATGGCGACGCATGGGGGTATCATGGGCGAAACAGTATATTCTGTTATGTCCATGGTACTGCTCATGTTTATAGGCGACGGTTACCGCTTTCAATCAGGTGGGCCGTCAGCTTGTTTGCCATTCTAAGTTGCCTAAAAAAATATGTTATTTTGCTACTAAGCTCTAAAATCTCAATATAAAGGTATAAATTATATTCTTCTAATGTTGAGGACAAACGAAACTGTGGTACAATTAGCGATTTAATGAACTCATATGTAAGTGAATTTCTTTTATAATTATTATTATAAGAAGGCTTCGTCCAATGAGATTAAGTTCCGTTTTTTCACGTTCACGATATCTTATAAGGATATTTTTTTAAAGGAGTAACAAACGAGACGCTTTACGTTATTGGGATATGCTTGCTGAGTGAATGCATGCCAGTGTGTGTAGGTCAGGACGAAGGCAGGTTAGTTGGCCTATCGTGACGAATTCACCAGAAATTAACAAGAATCTAATAGGATATATAACTAGAAATGGGGTTATTAGTCTCTATTATTGCCATAATATTGATCGATACTTTTCTTTTTTATAAAAAAGATTATTCGATCGATCAATTCGATTGATCGATCAGTACAACTTGACTTTTTTAATACCTATTACAAATGTGACTGTGTGTGTTTGTTTGTTAGGTCTTGGCATCTTGCGATACAGATTTAGTATTTGACATAGAGATGGATATAGCAAGCTTATAAAAGTTTTAATTTTTTTTTATATAATTTTATCAGCTCCCAAAGGAGCCAGTATGAAGATAAAAATTTTATTGCTTAAGTATTAATTTTATTTTGTGCGATTCAACAAAATATTATATGGTCATGTCTAGAACGAACTAGAAAGTGAGCGTAATTAGCGTCAGCGAAAAATTCATTCGAATTAGGTATCTGTTTAAAATGTAAATAGCTTGAAACAGACTTTTTTTTAATATTTTTGTAAGTAGAAAGTTTTTGCAGAATTTTAAGTCACAATTATTAAAGTGAATATTTGGAATACTTGTTTCTTTTGTGAGTTATTTAAATGTAAGAACATGTTCAAATTAAATTCATATCATGTACTGGCAGTAGCGAATAAAAATAGATAACCACATTTGTACGGTAGTTTAAGGACACACATAATAATGTACAATAAAATAAATAAAATATACATAATAGCTAGTTATACAGATAACAAACATGTTATGTCTCTAGATATATAAAATATCCCAAGAAATATGGTCTTGTTGGGAAACTAGTTCTAAAAATTAGATAGAGCTGTAAATTTTTGTTAATAAAACGAGCACTCTCATTGTGACAAAATTAATATTAATATTATAATTAATAAAAAAAAAAATAGAAGAAAAATTTATAGAAAACCAACAAAATTTATCAATATCGATTTAGAATTCACGTTACATAAATAGACAGGAAAACAAAATACGAACGAGAATCCCCTTTTTGTCTGGATGCAGTGATAAAGTAAAAATATAGTGCGACTATTTATGATCGTATATCCTCATAATAAAGCGACTTCACAGGAACATGTCATAGAAGAAACACTTAAAATAATACTCAATATCACACTGTCTGGACAGTTTGGTAATAGCCTGTTAATTTTGTTTTTGTAGGTCTCTTTTATAAAACTCATCCAGTGGAATACGCTGTTATGGGGTTGGCAGAGCACTATTCGTAAGTGACTACCAGCCCCATAAATACTAGTCAACCTTTACACAGGTCTTCTTTGAAAGAGCATGGTTAAAAAAATTCATTCTTTTAAAAATTTTAGCTCCTGTGAAATAAAAAAATTATAACGATGCAAATAAGCATGTAGGTTTATTTTAAACGACTTGGATGTAGTGATTTATTTATGAACCGATCGAAATAAAATAAACACTTAATATTAACTGGAGCCCAACGTATTAGTGACAATTGTATTCAAATCGGTTAAGCCGTTGCTGGGATTAGCGTGCAGAAACTTACAGACATACAGATAGACAAGAATTCTAAATATCATTATTTTGAGTTCTATTGCGTTCACAAAGCCCTCCTATAATAGTTTTTCTTATATATGTTCTATGTACAGACAGTGGCAGTTACGATTTTATTATATGTATTGATAACTAAAACGTTAGCACGGCGGTTTATAAGCGACATAATAGTGAAATTGTAAAGTAAAAACGTGACAATTCATAACTTTTTTTGTGAAAGTAGGTAGCAGAAATGTGGCGCGTTTCAAAGTTTTTGTAATCAAGTGGTCGGGACGTTTATCCCAAGAATACCTAGTTATTATAAATGTGAAAGTCTGCGAAATTGTTGCTTAAATATGAGAAGATAATTAGCTGTTTGTTTGTTATTCAATCGTACACGAACGGATGAACGGATTTGGACCAAATTTGTCATACAGATATATTGTTCTAGTCGGTTCCTTTTTTAATCCTAGTACACGTTTCAAATAGAATGTTCATCGATTCATTTTAATTTAGGTGTTGATAACTAAATATTTTTATAAACTTTCGTCTTCTCAGAACTGTTTGTTTTTATTTTCTCATTTGTCATTCTTGATATATCAAGGTCAAATGTTTGAGTTTCTTTTACACTATATCATGCCTAGATAGATTTTAATCTAGTATATAATTTTAAATTGAAAAAAATACAGTGAGCTAGGAAAATATCGTAAATTTATTAATTAATAGAAGTAACTCGTGACTTTGCATGGTTAAAATTTTATCAAAATCAACTAAAGCGTACCGTGATTAAGCAATGAATATATAATAATACAAGATCGTGCTTTACAAAATAAAATCGACATCAATTGTGACAAAATCAGTTATTTAGATTTAAAAACCGATTGAAAAGATTGAACCGATTTTGATAAAAATTCTATTAGATCAATATAGATTCTATAAGATTCTTTTTTTATCTAAAACAATATTGTTTCAGGTAAAAAGAGAATTTTCTAAATCGGTTTACAGCTGATGGGTTTATGATATAACAATCATAAAAAATTATAACTGAAATGAGAACCTCCTTTTTTAAGTCAGTTGAAAATATCTGTCACACTGCCACCTGGTACGAAAGGGAAACTTTGTTTAGCAGAGCTAGCACCTCATTTTTAATGTAATATTTAGATTCAAATACCACAATTGACTATCTATTATAAGTAGAAGAATTCTTTAAGCCATAAAAATATATTTCTAAGCATTAACTACAGGCTTATATCCAAGTCGTTTACTATTGTTTACTAGTGAAACTAAACAAAGGGTTGAAAAATAACAAAAGAATTCTGCCTCTTGCAATAACCAGCTAGACATAGAGGTGTGTTTTTTTTTTCAAAATATTTATTATAAAATAAATGTTGTTATATTCGGTTAATTTAGTTTTGCATTTTATATAGGTAGGATTTATGTAATTCTAGATATCAAGTCGTATGGTCCCGACATAGTCCCGCCACCCCTTCCTTTTCTTAATAATCTAGGGATTAGCAGCAGCGTCTCTCTTAAAACATCACCAAAGCCTAACCGCGGTTGCCAACCTGCCTGCCAAACGTGTCAACTACTGATAAAACCCCCCTTATGGGGGAGGACTATGTTCAGCAGACAACAATTAATGGATGTAATAATAACAATAGACATCTTTGAGCACTTCAATAAAAAAAATATATTTATGTGATCTTTTCCTAAGCACTATAAAATACAGATATCTGGTGATATATAAACGCATTTAAAATGTCAAACTACAATAATGTCATTTATTATACACGCGAAATTCATTTTGTCAAAGTGCACTACATAAAGTAGAAAACGAACGATTAAATTTTACAAAAATAATAAACATGTCCAATTTCGAATCACCAATACCATTGTCCGAGATAGAATCCGTGTTAGCTTGGGTGGACACTTTCAAATTGTCAAGAAGTAATAAAAAAATTAATAGAGATTTCTCTGATGCTGGTATTAATATTTATTTTGCTAATTCATATATTAATGTAATAAACTTAATTTTTTATATGAATACTAGCGACTCGCCCCGGCTTCGCACAGGTACAATGTAGAACCAATATGGGGGCAGTGTAAAGTCTTTCAAACCTCCACATAATTTGTATAATTTTTTTAAATATTAAAATGTTTTTTTTTTTTTAATAGATGATAATGGAATGGTAACCCTACCTGCGCTAACGGTATACGCTAACGCATGCACATACGGCAAAGCAGTGGAGAGGGTGTCGTACAAACAATGCTATCGGGGTAAAATCGAAGTTGTAATTAATACACAACCGAATAGAAGCACGAAAATAAGATTGAAACAAAGTATTACCTAAATAAGAACACGCTCGAATAACAAAATAAGAAATAAAGATGACGAATGTGAGAAGAGATGAATGTAAAGTATAAACAAGAATAGGCAGCTTTGCCAACTTCCAGAACAATAAACTGCAATTTAATATCCGGGCCTAGCATGCTTCACAAGAGGGAGCAATAAAAAAAACGGTATATGATGGCGGAGCACCAGTGAGAGATGATAGGTGAGAATGAAACGGCAGGTCAGTTAGCCCATTCTGATGAATATACCTGGAATTTAGCACAATGGTTTTCAGGGGGAACCACATGGAGGTCGACTTGACTGGGTATATTGCTTGCAATGGGATTAGCATTATTAACAATCTTTTCGCCCCAAAAGATATTAAAATAGTTAGGTAGGGAAAGTTATCAGTTGACTTTTTTTTATATCATAAAGGTGGCACACAGGCATACATAGGTAAATGGCCACTGTAGCCTATGGATGCCTGCAACACTAGGGGTGTCATGTGCGATCTACGTGCGGTTGCCAGCCCGCATGCCAAGCGTGGCAACTACAAAACCCCCCTCATGGGGGGAAACTATGTTCAGCAGCGGACAGTTAACGGTTGATAAAATAAACGTCTTTCGTGTCTTCATATGCATATTAAATACCTATTATAATTGGAATATTAATCAAAATAAATAAAGTATGTATGGACACGACGATTACATCACTGTCATTAAGTCGGCCTGTTTAAAAATTTCTTTTAAGTTAAGGATATTAAAGAAATATAACTTGATTCTTTTTAAAAAATTGTTCACTTATAGGAGAGTTATCTAAGTCCACATTGAAATGACAGGGCAAGTAGGACTTACTTATGTAAGTCCTATTTGCCCTTCATTTTTACCCTACGTTCATACACATAATTATGAGGAACCAAATATTTTTCTTCTTATAGTGTTACAAGATTTGAGGTACCTATTTGTTGACAACAAATTCTCTTTGGGGGCAAACTAACTTGTAATGCTGTTTTTGTTAATTCTCAAATAGAAACATGTTTCCGACACCGGTTTTATGTTGAAAGTCCATGTTTATATCCGCAAAATATATTTAGTAAAATTTAAGTGGACCTTTTTGTACACAAAGATGCTATGCCAAAATTGCAAAGTTGGTACCTACAACTTAGAGGTGTAATGAACAAGGCTTCTTTAAACTATGGTAAGGCGCTTATCAAAAGCTTAGCTAAGATTTTAGTTGTGCTAATTTCTGTTTGATTGGCACTTCCAAGTGGGTAGTATTAAAGAAACCACTATAATGTGACACTAATAGTATTTTAAGTAAGTGTTTAAATCTTTGTTAATATTATTGCGCAGTTCTACTAGCTGAAATCTTGAGTGTCCACTATCCGAAATTAGTTGAAATGCACAACTATCCACCAAGAAACAGTCACGCGTTAAAATTGAACAACTGGATGACACTGAACAGAAAGGTACTGAAGAAACTAAAACTGAACCTGTGTTGCAACACGATGGAGCAGTTGGCGAACAGTGCGCCAGGAGTCATCGAGAGAGTTTTGGTTATGGGTTAGTTGCTTTTGTTTTTTTAATTATTTTGTGCAATAATTTTTCGAGACTAATTTCTAAATTTATCGTCTTATCAGTGTGTATAAAAGTTTGCGTACAAGCAATATATATATATATATATATATATATATATATATATATATATATATATATATATAATGAGCATTTAAATTAGTATTTAATTTATAAAGTGCTAATTGTCGCATTTAAATATGATTCGTAATATTTGTAAACATTTATATATATATACCTAGAAGGGAAACTTCCGGCAAGACGATTATCGGTTAAGACAAACATATGAGTAATATGTTCATAAAATCCCCAGTTGTAAATAAATGATATAATGTTAGATGAATGATCAATATTTATAAACATAACATTTTAAATATCTATAAAACTGTGTTGTCTGTAGACTGATTCATATATTTATAAGCGACGGATGGATACCACTTTCTAGATTGACCACATATATTCTTTAAGTAAATGCTTGCTGCCAAAAGTGTCGATTCTATATTAGGGTTAGTGGAAGGTGTAAGTATAACTCATACATACATATAAATGAGTTTCATGATTACTCGTATATAGTGGGGTCGATTTATAGGCGCCGTTTACTACCTACAAGTATCTCTATAATTAAAACTTTAATTTGATATCACATCGTAATCTTTATTCTAAGGTAGGTCCTTATAAATATATATTATAAACTACTTTTCTAAAAGATTGAAACATATTAAAAACTTAGTTTATGGTTCTCCATATAACAATAATTTCACGGAATCATCGAATTAAAATATTAGGTTTCTTAACCTAAATTTATAGAAATGGTGCTTTTGAATTGACTCCACTGTTACCGATTTTCGGGTTCACATACTGTTTATGACAACTCGTAATTCTTTATAGTATAGTATTGTAACAGAATATTTAATAGCGGTTATATAGAAAGGTACAACCGCTATAACATATATAATATATATATATAATCGTATAGTAAGCGCACAGTCTCGGGCATTGGACACTCGCTACAAATTTTTACTCTCATTTAGTTCAATTTTCTATATTATATGTATCACAAGCGCAACTACTTTCACTACAGTTTATATCGACGTAACTTTTTTATGTTATGTGTGTGGGAGATTGCGATGTCTGTAGGCACTTATATTACATAATAAGAAATAGGTCCATATTACACTACAATAAATATATTTTAATTCTTCCGAAACATATAGATGATAATAATGAGATGTCTCATAGACATATTAGATTGAAAATATTTTAATTATGAGTGTGCTATCGTTTTTCTATAACTAGATTTCTTTTTTAAATTGTTTTCTCCGAAAAAACATGACAGTTTTAACCGTTACAAAATTAATATGGAATCAACATGTTGCGAGAGTAAATCAAGCGAACAAACAAGCTAGTAAAAATAAATATTTGATATTTCTACATTCAGAATCAACAGATCAATTGAGTTACTTCCTTTATTATGTTTATTGCATTTTTGAATTTTATTTCAAAGATTCTTTGTGTTAAATGTCGGAAGAAAGATTATTAGGAGAAATATAATATAAATATTACATTTGAAGACAAATACGGGTCGTCTACTGCTGAATAGGAATACTTATAGCTGCAGCAATGAGTGAGATTATAAAGAATATTATAATTTCATAGTGATTTTCGATTGAGCGCTTTCTTAGAACACCAGGTTCAGTTTACGTATAGCGTAGTATATATGATAATTCGAATAAATTCGAACAGGAATAAATTGCTGAAATACTTTGTATTATAATCTAATAATGTGACTTTAGTTATAATATATATTTTTTTTAATATTTCTTAATTCAATTCATTTATAATCGTATTCACTGATATTACTCACAACTAAGGTTACATGTATATTTCCATAACTAATAACGTAACTTTTAAAATATTTGTGTTCTAGTATTATTTAATTCCTTAAAATTGTTTACTTTATTTCATACTGTATAATTATGTTAAAGCAAATGCTGTGAATACCTTGTAAAGGCGTGTGCATAAATATTGTATTGTATTTAAAGTTTGTTATATGTTTAGGTTACAATGCAATATGCTGTTGGTGTCCCATGTAAATAAATAAATAATAACGAGATTTCACGTAATGCCCTATTATGAGACGAGATTTCTTTAAGAGTTAAAATAAAATTATTATCATTCAATCTTGTAGTTCGTGATAAAATCCGTCGTGACGAAGACGCCAATAAGAGTACTAAGGATGCTGAGCAGAACATGTCGAGTGGTGGCAGTTATTACGAGGCCTGTGGAGATGATGGTAATGACAACGATCTTTACTAATTAGTGCATATTACAAGTGTTACTGTTTTGTGTACTGTTTTCATTACATTAAATATTGAATTAGTTTAGGTAAGTAGCCATGATAGTCTAAGAATAAATGTATCTACTAGAGTTTGTGGTATGAACAGTATATATAAAAGTCTAAGATCTCTCGTATTCGATATCTAAGAATATATAAAACGAGAACCTCATGAAAGTCGAAACCGTGAAGAAGAGGAAATATCTCGACTTGGCTCACGAGGTGATCGAAACATGGAGGAAGGGGGAGGGGGTGTGACGCCCATCGTTCTTATTCAAATTTTTTTGTCGGTGAACGGTCTTATCCCAACCAGTGTAGAAAAACACCTCAAATGGTTGGAATTCCGAGATGGCTCACTCCCGGGAAAGATGCAGAAAGTGGCGGTTTCTCTTCCCGGGGCCAGAACTCAGGCCGACTGTTCTTTCGCCGGGGTTAGTTTGCCACCTCCTCCATCCTGACATGTGAATTGTGTTTGAAAATAATAATAATAAATTCTTTAACCAAATTATTATGACTCATATAATTTTTATTCAAACTATTGCAATTATATTACAATAATAAACAGAATACAAAAAACAATATCAACGTAACCTATTTTTTTCTGTATATTAGTTAGCATGTGAATTGTACTAAAATTATCCAAATACTGGCAGTCTGGACGGTCTGTAAATATCGTTAGGAAAGTGTTAGAACTGACCTGAACCCTATGCGTCAGAGATGTACATCATTTTTGCATAGTAGCGTAGAAACAACCAACATGTGCTTAGGCGAATATTCCCGATGTACTTACTACAAAATCAGGTCATCGCCAACAGCATCCTAAACGCATTATTGTACTGGTCTTCACATTGTACAGAAGACTGTGAGTCCTGGCATATTTTTCATATAATATATACTAAGCAGCTTTGTCAACGACCAGTCGATACACTCAGCAGCACCACGTCGTCCGCGTAGTAATATTATTGAGACAAACTCTGTCAATATGACAGCCGATTTGCGTGCTGCTGAGCTCATCGATCAGTGCGTTCACATACAGGTTTAAATACTTAGGCGAGTTCAGTCCTCCTTGCCTTACCTCACACTCCATCCAAAATGGATTTGAATAGATGTTCGATAATCATACCACATTGAGCTGATTTTTTTACCAGTACTTAATTATATCTTTTATTCATTATTCATTATTATTCATTGGGCATCCCAGTATTATATAATCGCAGAATTATTTCATGGGATTTTATCAAATATCGCGCATACACAAGGTTCGTGTAAAATTTCTTTGATAGGTTTTATAAAGTTTTGACGTACGACCTCTCATTTTTTCGTAGAAAGAAAATCACATATACTCGTAAGTAGGGTTTGTACCTGCATGATCTCTTTTTATAGTGTAAACCACCAAATTTGTTTAGCGTAATAATAATCGCCAATATTTACACGTTATTAAATTGTTTTTAGAACACATTCTTATAGTACCAGTCAAGACTAGGGTAAATGGCATATTGGAAACAGTCCAGCAGAAAGTGGTGAGTTATGAGTCATACCAAGCAATAAAAGAAGAACTCAAGGATGCGAAGGACTCTGTTGAATTGCTCAAACAGAAGGTACCTATGTTATTAATTTATATTCGTGTCATACAGCTCAGAATTAATTTACCACAAATTTTAATTGTTATGTTATAGGAAAATTACCTTTTCTTTATTCTTTATTCTTTATTGTATACAAAACATACTGGTAATTACAATTCATTATAAACATAATGTACAAAGGCGAGCTTATCTCTAATAAGAGATTTCTTCCAGCAAAACCTTTCCATGTTAATGTGTTATTTTATAAATAAAAACCTTTTGTATTCAACCCGAATCAATCATTTAAAAATAGGGATAATCCAAGAATATTTATAGGCGCGGGTTCAAACCTCACATGATTATTAATTTTGCAAATACAATATACTTTCACTAGTAAAGAAAGTGATAAGAAATATTCTAGAATATTCCGGAATTTCCAAAAAAGGAACAATATAAATGGATATCGAACAGAGGTAATTGAGAGGTAATTTTAGGGACAATACTGCGTGCAAATGTATAAAAAAGACAAAGTACTTCTAGCTGTTGAGTTAGTATGAGAGACTAAAGCTTTATTGTTTATGGCATATTTCTTTAAGAAAAATAAAAAAACAAATGCTTATGAAAAAATATGGGAATCTTCTGTTAGTGAAATTGAATGTTTCTACTACTACTACTAAATTTACTTTTACTAGTTTATGTTATTGGAATATATTGATTGATTAGGTTAAAAAGTAGCCTAAGTATGCAATTTTCTGTTTCAAGTAATATTTATATGTCAAATATCGTGATAATTTGTTGGGTCGTTAAATTGTTTAAAGGTAACAAACAACCGGACTTTCAAATATTAGTAAGAATTTTTAACACGGAAGTTTACTTTGAAGAAATAAGTTATTTTCATATTTTTCTTTATAGGTCGAACATTTAGACAACTTATTAAAATTAAAAGAAGAAAGAATAGACGAATTACAAAAACAACTTGATAGAAAACAGGCAAGGCGCAAAGAAGTAGAAGCTTTTCAAAACAGCCTTGCTGTACCTTTTGAAACCATACCTTCTCCTATAATTAATGGAATTGAACCAAATACACCCACTAGGACTAATTCAATGAAAACTATTGAAGGTAATCCTAAAATAGTAAAAGAAGAGTCTAAAATACCTATTTTAAAAACAGAATCTCTTAAATCTTTCTCGAAACCTAGCATTATTGAAGTATCAGTAACTGATGTAACAAAACAGGAGGTTGATCTAGAAAGAATTAAATCTGATGTTTTTAAAGAAGTAGAAATAGTAGAAGAAATAATAGAAAGACTTCAAGATGCTGAGGAGTTTAAAGATAGTGAACAAGAGGGTACCATCACTATAGAGGATACCATACAAAAAGAAATCAAAGAAATTAACAATCCTATGGATAAAGTACAAAATATGATATAGCTCACTAAGGATCTAGGCCATTAAATTACGTAATAATGATGGTTAACATATTTATTTTTACTATGTATGATAGTAGTCCGATAAAATGTGATAAATTTTGATGCTTTATAAAGTTTTATAATAAATGGTCTTTGTAAATTAGTATTGAAAGTCATTATTAATTCGATGTTTTTAATAGGTTTTAGTTTGTTATGTATGATTTAGAAAATAAAAATAGACGAAAAACAAGAATGTTTATTTTTAGCATAGTGTGTTGGCTTGAAAAATGTCGCATAAGCTTGGATGTTTCTTTAAAATTTTTTTAATTGATTGAAGTCTGGATTTGCTAAAGTCTTCTTTCGTTTTAGTTGTTCTGAAAAGAATTTATTTCAGTTTCAGAGAGAATAACCAACGAAAAGTACATTATGGCAAAAATGATTTAAGCAGCAGAAAATTTAAACACAAACTTAGAATAAAAATATATATAAAAATATAGGATATACTCGTAATAGAAAAACTAACACAGTATTATTTCCTTGACCAATTACTTGAAATCTATTGAACTCAATTCCACTATCGTAGAAGCATTCTTTTTTGATGTTATCCAATTCCTGCTTCACTGAAATTAAGTTTTCCACTGAAAAATAAAGTGCATGCAATAAAGATTATTATAATTTTGTAATGAGTCATATAGCCATAACAGGGTCATTTTTCATTCGAGTAATTCTCATAAATATCAGAATTACTGTTATAATACGACGATATTATTACAGGATCTTGAGCTGTTACTAAAATCGTGAGAAATGGTGTTATTGAAGAAACAAAAAAGTTTTAATAAAATTAATAAATAGATAACAAAGCAATATTTTTTTCTTTCTGTATATTTGTTTCGGCATCACGCAAAAACTACTCGACCAAATTGCATTCGGATTAAATTTTCGAATGGTGTTTCCTGTAGGCGTAATTTAAAATCTGGTATATGTTTTATGTTGGCATTATCTAAAAATGGTTTATTTAATTGATTTTTCTGCTGCTGAAATCCATGCTCATGAAATAACGAGCAAAAAGCCTGTAAATAAAAACTTACATCTAAATATTGCAGATGTGCTTGATGCAGGAGTAGGGCTAGGTGTCCTGCAAGTGCATGGTGGGAGAGACATCGAAATATTAGAAGTCTGAATTGCCACTCCCTCCACACTGGGTGTCCATTCAGCTAGTGGATACTCATCCAAGATGGATACTTCTTTCTCTTTTGTTTTCTTTTCAGATATTCGTTGTCTTAGAATTTCAAGTTGTTCTGAAAATTACATTCCATCAGTTTCATTCATTTATCAAAAAAATTTTAAAAATCTTTGACGGTATCAAGTAAGCGTGGCAACTACTGGCAAAACACGTCAAGACGGAGGCATATGTTCAAAATTTTTCATATGCTCCTATAAATATACTCATCATATCTGATGTAGGTATTAACAGTGTATCCTAAGTTTTTTTTTATACAACTTAGAATGGCGAACAAGCTGACGGCCCACCTGATGGAAAGTGGTAACCGTCGCCTATAGACATGAGCAGTACCATGGAAATAACAGAGTATACTGTTTCGGTCATGATATCCCCCATGTGTTGCCATTCCTGAGGACTCGGGTGTTATTCTTCTGTACCCTGTAAATTCACGTCATATCCCACCCTTCAAACCGAAACACAGCCATGCAAACACAACTGCCTCACGGTAGAAACACAAATGGGACAGAGGTATCCAAGCAAACGACTTTTGTACAAAGTCTCCCTCTGGTCTGGTCAGGTAAGGAAGTACTCACAATACTATAGTTGACATGTTCGAGTACTGTCAATGTTGTTTACATTGATGGTAATATGCTGTTTACTTTTTTGAAGAGTTTTTTACCTGGTGTGCAAACTTCATAATCGTCATAGGTCTGCTCAAAGTATGTGAAGGGGTTAGCCCTCATGTATGGCGGCAGAGTCCTAATGAATGAGTCTACTTGCATGCGCTGACATTTTTCCATTGGACATACCTGAATATATCAGATTTGTTGTTTATCAGTTGATATTTTTTATATGTCTTGGAATGAAGCTCTCTTAATGAGACAGATTGGTAGGGTATTATTTCGAATATACCACTTGAGGACAAATTGACCCTTTTCTTTATTTATCAATGGCATCACATCATATAAGATGTAACTACAACTGTATAATGGCGAGCAATGTATGAATTTGTATATAGACGGTTTTAATTTTCCGTGATGATATCGCAAATGTAAATCACGTAAACGCGTCTTAATATCTCTATATTATTATATTATGTACAACATATTTTAGTTTCCTATTAGGTATATCGTTACATAATTTTTTTACGTTGTCGTGCGTACTACGATAAACTATAAAAGTAAAAAATATTGCTTATAGACACGAACAGCAATGGATATCACAGAGTACATTATGTTGTTTATAATACTCCACATACATTGCAATTTTTTTCTAATTTGCGAGTACTGTAGTGCGTCCGTACCTAGTATTATCATACCCTCTTTCCTATTTTCTAATTGACTTACAGCCAAGTAAGCATTGTTGCTTGATGGTATAAATACAAACAGAACTAAGGTAGAAGTAGCCACCGATCCAGATAACTTTTTAAAAACTTTCTTATTGATAAATCTCTTTTTAAAATAGGGAGATTGTCAGCTTATGTTTTTAGGAGATGGAATAATATTTAAAAAGAAAAACTACTAGTATTTTCAGATTCGGTCACAATCAATGAATGTTATTTCTTATTTTATTTATAAAGATGAATCTAGATATGATTCTCCGAATATGATACACCAAAATATAAAAGTGGATGAAGAAAGAAAGAAATATGGTAAGGTATATGCCACTGACTCCTTGCCTATCCAAGGGATTTGAGAAACGGCTATTTACCTTTTCATAGTTAATTTTGTGATCGCGATCTGGCACGTGACTTCCTATAACTTGTAAACTGTCGTTGTGTATACTCCTAGAGAACAATAATATTTATAAGTAAATCCGGTATATATTTCTCTTTTCTTTGAACTTTTGGATTTTGGATAATTAAAAAAATAAATAGATACCACCACAAGACGAATTATAGAACGTTATTTAGTTATACATTAAGTAGAGCTTGTAGATACTAGACAACTTATCATCATCATTATATCAGCCCTTAATGGTCCACTGTTGAACATAAGCCTCCACCTTCGGGGGTTTTGCCAGTAGTTGCCACGCTTGGCAATCGCAATTAGGCTTTAGGAATGTTTAAGAGGGACGCTGCTGCCCATCCCTCGTCCTTCCTTAGTCGCCTCTAACGACACCCGCGGGAAAGAAAAGGGTGGCCCATTCTATGCCGGGATCTACACGGTTGCCATGTTTCGTACTATATCACTTGTTTTAGGGTATTTCTTATTAAATTTTTTTGTATTTAACAATATCTTACAATGTCTTATTATAAACACTTTTTTAATATTAGAGAGATTAAGATAATACCCAAGAGCTGACAGTGATTCGTCTTCTTCCTCTTCGTCGGTTGAGTTCACCTTTCTATATAGAAAAAAAAAATATATATATATATATATATATATATATATATATATATATATATATATATATATATATATATATATATATATATATATATATACAAGGGTGGGCTTATCTCTAAAAGATATCTCTTCTAGCCAACCCAATGCAGTTAGAGAGAAAATAATTATTAAAATATTATTACTAACTAAATAAGTAGACTATCTAGTTACTTCAGAAAACTATTGTCCTTGTATCTTGAATAGTGATGGTTATCATTTAGACACCTACATAGTAACGTGTATTATAGTTACACTACTAAGGTTTTTACCTATTAAAAAACATTTACATGTACATTTATATTATATATAAAAAATAGGAATATTGATTGAGATGGAAATATTAGATGATATGCTAAAATATAAAAGAGTCTCTTAAAAAACGGATTATGAATACTGTATTAACTACATAAAGAGACATATGTTATATACCTAATATTTTATATACTTATAACTTTAAATATAATAAACTTTGTATTATTATAATATTATGATTACGTACGTTGACGTAATTACTTACTAATTACCTAATTTATTATTCATTAGCGTATCATTTTTGTCAATAGTTCTCATTTAGTCATTAACTATCTATTAACTATACTAGCAATTTAGCATTCCTTTATTGGTTTTGGACATAAGTACTAGTTCGATGTAAAATGAATTAGTTGTTATTTTATACTCTAATGTGAAACACCTATTGACAATATTTTTTTTTTTTAAATAAGTTTTTTATTCGCTATGTATTACCTACGAACTTAGCGCTTACTAAACTAGCCAAATTCAAAGTGGCTTTTCCTGTGACGTGTGTTGTTGTTTGGTGAAAAAGTGCTTAGTGAGCTGGCATAATGTAAGCAATCGTTGAGAGTAGAACAATCTCTTTTCGGTTGGTCGCGAATTCGATTTTATGGATTATATTGTTCCTGTTTTCGGTGTAATCGCACAGATGGTGTTGGTGTGATGATGCCATTTAAATCGTAGCGGTAGAAATATGGACCAATTCATCAAAGTGAAAGAGAAATTACACGTATAGGTATGTATCATTATTTTTTATATTACTATATTTTTTATTATTTACTTAAGTTCTGGATCTGTTTTCGCCACCTCCTCAGATGGCTCGTTATCACAGCTTTCAATCATGGATGTCTGTTAATAAAATATATGTTTAGTATGTTCTTGAAATGCTATTTATTTTTAATAAGTACTTTATCCAGAGCGATCTTGTCCCGAACTAAATGGACCTTGTATTATTGGTATTAGATAACTTATAGAATTATTATTTTTTGTAAATAAAAACTGTGTATGCATGTATGTATCAGTCGTTAACTGTCTACTGCTGAACATAAGTTCTCAATCAAGGTTTTGCTGTAGTTGTCACGATTGATAGGTGGATTGGCAACCGCATTTAGGCTTTTAGTGATATTTAAAGAGGAACAATGTCCCCATTTTTTTTATCATAAGTTTCTTTAATTGCCTTTTACGACACCCACGCGAAAAGAATGGGTAGCCTATTCTATGCCGGGACCACAAACATAGTCATGAATGCAAATATTTCTATTATTCGGGTTCGAACTAGCGACCATCGGAAGGTGAGGCATTGTGTTAAACCGTTACACCAACAAACATGATCAGCCATGGGTAATACTATTTGGTAGTTAAAAAATTTAGCTTGTATGTGATAGGTATTTTATTTTATACCAAGAATTAATCTTACATTGTATAATACAAATAATACTTTACCTTTCTTTGTCCAATGTTCAGAACAACTTTGTTGTTATTAGTATGACGATGTTTTTCACGCTGTCAAAATATATATATTTTATAATAATATACGAGTACATAGTTAGTTACACATACATGTCATCATCATGATATCAGCTGTTAATTGTCCACTGCTGAACATAGGCTTGGAGGGTTTGCCAGTAGTTGCAACGCTTGGCAGTTAGGCTTTGGTGATGTTTTAAGAGTAACGCTGCTTCCCATCACTCAGCCATTAAGTTCCCTTTGTCGCTTTTTACGACATCCACGGGAAAGGAATGGGTGGCATTCTATGTCGGGACCACACGGGATAAAATGCATCTACTCGTACCTATATATACAAATTTAAATTTAAAAAACCTAGAAAGTACAATATTGCTTGAAAAAGTTAATAAAATTCAACAAAACAAATTATTCAAAATGCCTTTGATTAACCCACTAGAAATTATTTATAGTCTTGAAAATAGATATCTATTTATTTATTTTATTTATATATGTATAGATTTAACATAAAAAATTAAATTTTGATAGTCATGTAATATAGGCGTATAATAATATTATGAATATTATGTATTACGTATAATATGTTGAAAACACAGCTGAAAACTCCGCTTGTGCCCTGGGGTAGGTATCAGACAATTCTGGATATAGCACGCACGACCCACCTGTTCGTCTCTTAAATTCGCCTATTCCGATGATTTGCTCCTTTGATGTTATATATATTTGTATATATCCCTGTTTATCTATATCCCAACAATATATATTTGATTTATTGTAAAAACATATCTATTGCAAAAAATTGCAGGATTCTTGACTAATCATTAATATCATCGTACCTTCATTGTATAAATAGAAAAAGTTGGCCCGTTTTTCTCGAAGCATTTTTTTGGAGACACTATATAATCTAAGTATTATACATATAAACAAATATTTAATAACCAGTTTAGTAGTAGAGGCAATCTCCATAGAGTCTCTGGCGCCCAGTAGTGTCGCTTTCGTCACAGGCTCGGTCACGTTGGATGTACTAGTATATAAATAATCACGTGTCAGAATATACATGATGAAGATGTTAAAATATTGAAGATGGAATATTGTAAAAATGTTTAGATGTTCAGATGTTTGTATATCAATCAAAATTGAACGGTTGAAATTTTTCGTACATAGAAAAACAGAGTATTGTTACATGGACTCCAATTAATGTGGACAAAGTCGCGGGATTTAGCTAGTATTTTTGGACCTTTTATATTATGTAATTCGATATAGTGAGCATACGGTTCGTATAATACGTTCTAGAGTTCTGATGTGTATAATCAAATCACTGTATCTTTGAAAAACTCATTTCGTATAAGGGTCATTCCATTTGAAATCGTCTAATCGGCAAAGCTGACCCATTTTAGATTTTAGTGTAACTTTGAGGGACTCTTCTCTAGGGTTCCTAAGAATGAAATTTACACGAATTTGATTTTTATAAGCGCTTGATTCCGCGCATTTAAATAAAATCTTCAAAATATCGATTTTTTTTAGTTTAATTATCTTTTCCTCAAAGTTTTTTCTTTTTGAAGATTATTCCATTATTGAACCGTAATTCTTAGGTGAATAGATAGTAGTTTAAGTATACCAAATAATAATTTGCTCAATAAATACCTACCATTAGCGACAGCGTGCTGAAAATGAGTGTTTTTTAGTCATTTTTCGTGAATTTTAAGGGACTCTAGTGTCTTAACTGTTTGGAGTTAACAACTTCTGGTCGGCAGGAATTAAGTACACATATCATAGATAAAATTCAGCCATTGATCGACTTGAGCCGCACACTCTTTATGGAAGATAACTTTGTTTGAAGTTTTGAAATTTTGAAAAATCGCATTATTCAGCCTATAAAATGAATGTGTCTACTGCGAGATAAAATTCTGAACTTCTCAGAATCTTTTGTTCTAACCTTCAACTTTGGACGACTGTATCGCTTGTTTTGTTATTTTAATGTTTAGTGCATGTCCCAGCCGTTTTTTGACAGCAAAAATCACGTATTTTTTTTATTTTTACTGATATTATTGATTCTGATATATGTGAAGAAAGCGATTTATCATCTGAAATTAATTTTAAACAATGGGTTTCTACTGATCGTTGCAATTTAATAACTGTAGTCAAGACCGTCGATGATTTCAAAGATGACTTGAAGATACAATTGACAGGGTTAAAATCTCATCATTTTATTTCAAAAAAACAATCTGAGTACTTGAAAAATTTAAAAGACTATTCAGAGTGTATAGCATTAGTTGATTTCTCTGAAAATTATTCATTCATGGTGCAAGATGAAGTACAAGCTTTTCATTGGACAAATAATCAAGCTACTCTACATCCTTTTGTGATTTATTTTAAAGAAGACGGAGTGCTGAAGGTAAAAACTTTATGCGTGATAAGTGATTATCTTACTCACAATACAGTATTATTTTACGCGTTTCAAAAAATTTTTCTTGATTATGTCAAAAACAGCCATTCGGAGTTTAAAAAAATTTATTACTTTAGTGATGGAGCAGCTGCTCAATACAAGAATAAGAAAAACTTTATAAATATATGTCATCATGAAGCAGACTTTGGACTACAGGTAGAGTGGCATTTCTTTGCCATTTCTCATGGAAAAAGTCCATGTGATGGAGCAGATGGTACAATCAAAAGGTACGTGAGAAAAGCAAGCTTGCAGCGAACTACAGATCATCATATTTTGACTCCAGTAGCCATGTATGATTTTTGTTCTAATAAAATTTCTGGCATTAAATTCTTTTATGTATCAAGCCAAGACGTGGAAGCTGCTGAAACGTTCTTATCTGAACGATTTATAAATATAAATACAATTAAAAATACGAGATGATATCATAGTTTTATACCAATTTCTCAAAATCAACTGGAAGCGCGGAGATACTCGGCTTCCGATAATTTTGATATTGTTAATATTGTAAGACCAAAACGTCAATTGTTGAATAAAAAAATAATTTTCCAGTTAAATTTGTTTACAGTAACTGTCTTTTCCAGTAACTATTACTTCTGAAGATAATTTTATACTTAATATATCCATAATTCGATTGAATCTGTAAAAATCTTTTCACATTCATATTTATTTTTGTTCATAATTTATTTCAAAACGTCTAGTAATAAACTGTAAAGATAAAAGTACCTGTGGATCAATAAAAAGGTAAGACATGATATTTATAAGTGGAAAGAAATAAAAAAAAAAACTAAATTTATAATGATTATAATATAAAAAAAATTTACGTGATTTTTGCTGTCAAAAAACAGCTGGAACATGCACTAAACATTAAAATAACAAAACAAGCAATGCAGTCGTCCAAAGTTGAAGGTTAGAACAAAAGATTCTGAGAAGTTCAGAATTTTATCTCGCAGTAGACACATTCATTTTATAGGCTGAATAATGCGATTTTTCAAAATTTCAAAACTTCAAACAAAGTTATCTTCCATAAAGAGTGGGCGGCTCAAGTCGATCAATGGCTGAATTTTCTCTATGATATGTGTACTTAATTCCTGCCGACCAGAAGTTGTTAACTCCAAACAGTTAAGACACTAGAGTCCCTTAAAATTCACGAAAAATGACTAAAAAACACTCATTTTCAGCACGCTGTCGCTAATGGTAGGTATTTATTGAGCAAATTATTATTTGGTATACTTAAACTACTATCTATTCACGTAAGAATTACGGTTCAATAATGGAATAATCTTCAAAAAGAAAAAACTTTGAGGAAAAGATAATTAAACTAAAAAAAATCGATATTTTGAAGATTTTATTTAAATGCGCGGAATCAAGCGCTTATAAAAATCAAATTCGTGTAAATTTCATTCTTAGGAACCCTAGAGAAGAGTCCCTCAAAGTTACACTAAAATCTAAAATGGGTCGGCAACAATTTTTTTTATTTTTAGACGATTTTAAATGGAATGACTCATAATTCAAATAAAATAAGCTGTTTTTCTTTCTAAATTAAAATGAGATTTTTAATGAACGGCAAATGAAGCATATATTGCACTATGTGTGATTTTAGTAAAACAATCATCATTTTTTATAGTTACTGACGAAAACTTGTTACGGTGGAGTAATTTGATAAAAATAATTATAATTCTATAATAACTACATACTGAATCAAGTTATAGGGTATTACTGTAATAAAATATGTTGGAGATTTATATAATACTTTATTTAGTTGTATGTGTGTACGCATTTGTATATGTCTCTCTCTTTCTGTGTATGCATGTGCGTCTCTGTGTCTGTGTCTTTCGAATGAAAAAAAATCACGGAAAAGGAGACCTTTATGCATCTCACTAAAACAAATGCTAACTGGCAGGTACAATCTATCGGGAGCGTGCTTCAAGTTGTAATGAGATTTTACGGGATTATAACTCATTATATAAATTTTTATTACTTCGTTATATTAATTTGAAAACGAATTTGAGAGTTTATGACATGTTTGTCGATCAAGTGCAGATAGGTTTTTGTTATTTGCTGCGAAATTTGCCTTCAGTACTGAAACGAATGCTTTGTCTTTTCTATATCCTAAAATGTGTAAAAAAAATATCTTGTAGACTTAAATTTTTTTTTTTTCATTTCAAGATATTGTGATGGCGAGAAGATGTTGGAATAGTTTTAAAACAGTTTTGTATCTATTCATGTGTCTCGATAAAAAATCGTGTTGACTCTATCAATTGGCTTCAGCACTGGTGCCAAATATCTATTCTTAGATATCCAGGTATCTTTTTCAATAAAAACAATACATACAACAAAATATAGGACAAGAAAGGATTTTTTTGTTTTAGTCACTTCTGTAGCAACACTATTTTTATAACTCTTTTTTTCATTGATATAATTTCTGCATTTTCTTGGGCGGCAAAGAATAAAGTAACAATCTATTAAGTCGACTGGTTTGTTTGTTGTTGTACACAAATAACAGAGCATTCTGTTTGTTACAAGATGTATCTAACTATATCTAAAAATATCTGCTGATAGTTAATGCCATTTCTTTCAATTTACAATGTACTGTTAATACTTCAAGGTTGTGTCAACTAAAATAGATTTTTCTCACAAATATCAAAAAGTTCTTTTTCCTTATCGCAAACCATAGCACGAAAAGCCCTGCTGCTGATCAGGGCTACATTTCTCCATTGGATCCTGATCTAGGTCTTTAGCTCCAATAGTTACAAGTAATTACTCACAGTAAATTCTTCTAAATCCATATGTTTCCAGGTTTTTATGGATTATAGATTCACTCAAAGTATGAAAAGGACTTATGTCGCACCTACAGGTCTCGGTATTCTGTGTGATTAACTTACTAAGTTGCTCAGTATTATGATTTTGTCGGGTTTTTTCTTAATTAAACTAATTGATTCATATTGGACGATATTACCCTTGTATTACTTTGTATGACAATATTATTTTCGGCAGCATTTACTGACAATTTATTACTAACTACACATAACGTATTTTTTGCTAAGCATATAATTCGCGAGCAATGTTAATAAGGAAACTAAATTAAATTGTGCATCAATTAACTGATGATACATTTAATGTTTGTATATGACTTTATACTCAAGCAATATTCGTATTTATTTATCTCGCTCACATTTACGAATAACGCGTAATGCTAACGCTAACACGGCAAGGCACTGTATGGTTTTAGTTGCAATTTAAATTTAACGTATTTTCCCATCTTGAGCCTTGCGTGTATATACAAACAGTGTCATATTTCAAAGATGTATTTGCTTCATTTACGCTTTTATTTTAATAAAAGTGGATGAGGTTATTTGAAGAAGCTTTCAAAAATGGATTGATTCCTATTACGACAAAATACTGTAATTTGCAGTGTATTGACTCTACACGGCAGAGTTAATTTCATATTTGCGACCAATGCTGATTTATGAATATTGTTGCTTGTTACACAGTGCTATCTAGTCCTAAAACAGTAGTCCTTGGATCTCTCTTTGCATCAAACTCGACGTTGGATGACGGGGAGAAACCACCACCGACCATCCCGCGTTGTAAGAGCTCTATGCCGGAAGTTAAATTCACGCAAAGATCAGTGCGTAGAGCACTTCTCTCCCTTGAAATCCATAAGTCGAGTGGGTCCGATGGCATTCCTCCAATTGTGCTTAGGACGTGCGCACCAGAGTTGGCTCCGGTTCTTACGCGTCTTTTTCGGCTCTGTTACTCATCAGGTATAGTCCCAAAGTTTTGGAAGACTGCTTTGGTGCATCCGATCCCTAAAAAAGGAGACCGCTCAGATCCAGCTAACTATAGGCCCATAGCTATCACTTCCTTATTCTCGAAAGTCATGGAATTAGTTATTAACTATCAACTGCTCCGGTACCTAGAGGATCGCTAGCTGATCTCAGATCGCCAGTACGGCTTTCGGCGGGGACGCTCGGCTGGTGATCTCTTAGTTTATTTAACACATCGATGGGCGGTGGCAATCGAGAATAAGGGAGAGGCCTTAGCTGTTAGTCTGGATATTGCGAAAGCCTTTGATCGGGTGTGGCATAGGGCACTAATCTCAAAACTACCTTCATTTGGGTTGCCTGCGAGATTGTGCAGTTGGGTCGCCAGTTTTCTCAAGGAACGTAGCATTAAGGTCGTAGTCGACGGAGCATGCTCTGACTTAAAACCTGTGAATGCTGGTGTCCCGCAAGGCTGTGTACTATCTCCGACACTGTTTCTTCTGCATATCAATGATATGTTACAGATCAGTGATATCCATTGTTATGCAGACGACAGTACAGGAGATGCATTATATACCGGTCATGCAAAGATCTCGCGGGCACATACCGATGAGCTCCGGAACAGACTTGTGTCTGAAATCGAAACTTCACTCGATAAAGTTTCGATCTGGGGTGAACGCAATCTTGTTCACTTTAACCCTAAGAAGACACAAGTCTGCGCGTTTACCGCAAAAAAGACACCGTTTGTCGTATCTCCTCACTTTCAGGGCACTTCCCTCGATAATAAGTCGAGTCTGGGGATTCTTGGCGTCGATATATCTAGCGACGTCCAGTTTTGCGGTCATTTGGAGGAAAAAACTAAGATAGCTTCCAAAAAGTTGGGGGTACTCAATAGGGTGAGACGGTATTTCACGCCAGAAAACCGCCTGAAATTATATAAAGCTCAAGTGAGGCCACACATGGAATACTGTTCTCACCTGTGGGCAGGAGCGCCACAGTACCAACTCCTTCCGTTAGACCGCATTCAAAGTCGGGCAGCTCGAATTGTTGACGATCGGCGTCTTACTGTCCGGCTCGACCCACTGAGACTGCGTAGAGATGTTGCATCTCTGTGCATCTTCTACCGAATTTATCACGGGGAGTGCTCTGAAGAATTGTTCGGATTGATACCTGCTGCAGATTTTCACCATCGTACAACCCGCCATAAACTAAAATTTCATCCCAACCATCTGGACGAGTGGCGGTCCTCCACCGTGCGTTTTTCAAGGCACTTTCTCCCACGCACAACCACTCTTTGGAATCAACTTCCAGCAGCAGTATTTCCGAACCGATACGACAACATAACCTTCAAGAAAAGAGCATATTCCTTTTTAAAAGGCCGGCAGCACACCTGCAATGCCGTAGGTGTTGTGGGTGACCATGGGCGGCGGTAGTCACTTACCATCAGGTGAGCCGCATGCTCGTTTGCCCCCTGTGTTGTAAAAAAAAAAAAGTACAAACTCTATTCTGTAGGTATTATCAGTACAAGACAATTGACAGACCTCTACATTACCGACGAATTTCGAGAGAACACAAATATAATAAGATAGTTAAAAGTATAATTATAAGATCTTACCCAATATCTATACTTATAATTAATCTGTAGAGAGGTCAATTCTGTACATGAAATATATTTCCAAAATAACTATCAGGATAAATGTCATTGTCATTTTTACATTTTAAAAAGTGGCCATTAAGGCTGCATATGCGACGGAAGCTTGAAAATGGAGTAACTTCTCCCGTTTTTCCAACATTTCCCTTTACTGCTCTGCTCCTATTGATCGTAGCGTGATGAAAAGTATACTATAACCTGCCCGGGAGTATGACGAATAATTGTACCAAGTTTCGTTAAAATACGTCGAGTAGTTTTTGTTTCTATAACGAACATACAGACAAAAATTTTACTGATTGCATTTTTGGCATCAGTGTCGATCACTAATCTCCCCCTGATAGTTATTTTGGAAATATATTTCATGTACAGAATTGACCTCTCTACAGAGTTATTATAAGTATAGAAGATTAATAACGACTTAAATATCGTACACTTTATCAGTGGCATTTTCTTATTTCCAACAAACTAGTTATGCATATTACAAACATTTAATTCGTTTTAGAAACTTAATAACGTTCGATAACAATGTAAATAGAGGAAGCTTTAATGGACAATGATCAAATGACCTTCCTAACTTCTAAAGACAATAAATGGTAAACAAAATATTCATAAATAAAGATTTTATTATACGCACAATGGCCCAAATGAGAGGCTAAGTGCGGAAAATGGAGTCCCTTTCACATTCACACATTCACATGTACTCTTAGCTTTCTCAAATTGATAGTTACATTTTTATTCGTTTTTAAAATAAGTTAATTGTGCTGCCCTCCTAATATGGTAGGTAGATGTAGGAAACAATAAACAATAATATGTCACAATGCGACTCACACGATCACCCGCCCGGACGTCACCCCGAGGAGTAGCCAGAGAATATATATATACAGATATTTGTCATAATTTATTCGCAAGTAATTCAATTTAATTTCTTAGTTAATTAAATTTATTTATTTAAGTTCCTGAAATAATGTTAATACCGAAATCGCTTTTCTTTGAAACCACCATCTTATAAACTACCATTGTAAATTATACCATACTTTTGAAATTATTTGCTTATTATATTTGTTATATTAATTTTTATAACCTCATACTATTTGGCAACTTGCTTGTCATCATCTTCCTACCCTTATCCCAATCATTTGGGGTCGGCGTAATATGATTTTATCCATATTACAAAAAGATTTGGTTTTTAGTTTTACGATCGGCCACCTGCCTGACGTCAACCCTCTTTGGGAACGCTTTTGTTGGTGGTTTCCGCCACCTACGGTATGGGGGAAAGGATTGAGGAAAAAAGGAAGGGAACGTTGGTAATACGTAAAGGACATTGATGAATGAGAGGGATTTTATCTGGGAAAGGAAAGGGCAGAAAGAAAGGGGAAGACACTGCAGTTGCGGAAAGGACTGGGACACTGCAGCGGCTCGGGAGGCCGGGGTCGCATACCCGTATGCCCTTATTCTAGAATCGGACAGATTTCTAGAAAAAAACACAGCTGACAACTAGTTTGTATTTATAAAAATTTTTATTCTATATAGTTTAAATTTTGTTTATAAATGCAACAGCTAATTTTTTTTGCTCATTGTTCTTAGTTGAATTCTGTATTAGCTAACAATATCATAAAAAAAGACTATTTAAAAATGCTTAAAATTAAGTTTATTTTAATACAAATCTGATAATAAATAGATTTCTATTTATTATGTGGAATTCAGCACGATGATTTCCAGGGGGACCACGTGGAGGTCGACCTGACAGGGTATATTGCTAGCAATGGGATTGGTAGTCCGCATTACTAACAATCCCTTTCCCCTCCTATCACAAAGAGATTACCAGTACATTGTCGGTATTAATATTTTTTTTTACAATACAGGTAAGTCGCATGTAATTTTAACGATTATTAAGTATGGTAAATATTACTTACATAATTTTTAATATGGACCCCATGTTACCACGAATATCAACACTAGTCATTCGGCGTGTCGTAATAGACTGTAATTAAAATAATTTATTTTAATAAATTACATTTAATTAGGTTCAATTTAGTTAATTAGGTAATTCAATTAGGAACATATTTTTATAGGTGTATTAGGTCATATTGAGACACGTAAACAACAGACATTCATTTTCTGAAAAAAAAATGCAGTTTTATGTAACTTGCTGTAATAAACGATGCACTTGATGAAAAGTAGTAACTTTTCTCACTAGATACGAATACTACTATAGACATCACAGAGTACGAGTGGAACAAGGTTGTTTAAAGATGAAAATGGAAAAGGACCAGCCCTATCGGTTGGAATAGAGGAAATCAATGTATTCTTTGACTACTTTTGTATATACAGTCTTCTCTTTATGTTTAAATGATTTTTTTTTATATGTAACTTAAACGGTTTTACTAATTGTGTTTGATGTCGTCTTAATCGTGATAATGTTATGTACAGACTATATGCTTACCATAAATTGTGAATAATTGTAAAGTTTGGCAGCTGGGATTATTGTAATACGGTTATGTCTCTCGCTTACTTCAATATACTCGTATTGTATCTACTAACCGTGTTCGATACTCGTTCCTGAGTTTGCACAGCTTGACACTCCCACTTGCCAGCCTCTGAGAGCCTTTTCACATAATCGTCTTTTATTACATCAGCATTTGGGCATGATGCCATGACGTACATATCGTTGAAGGCTAAAGGATTAAGAGCATCACAAGTCTATTATTAAACTATTAAAAGAAATAAAAATTTAAATCCTTAGGGATTAAGGTTACTATTAGCAGTGTAATTAGACGTAACTATTTGTTGATAGTTGCTGATGTGAATGCGGCCATAAGAATAAATAGTCCTTATTCGTATGACGTATCACATAATATGTCTACATTTATCTGATCATATTATATTAGAATCCGACATGTAGGTTATTACTCGGATTAATTTGATTTGTTAGTGGTATTTTCATTATCGGAGATTTACATTTGTTTTGATTACTCAGGGCTTTAACTCCAACAAGAAGTAATACTCATAGTCATAAATGAAAGTGTTAAAATTGCTTGCTACTGCTTTATACTTGTTGGGCACAGTGGACAAGAGCTTATGTAAAGGGAATTGTATCACGGATAAAATTACCATCATCTGTGTAGGTATTAAGGGTTGGTAACTTTACCGTATTCCTTCCACTTTTTAGGGGCAGTCTTGGTAGCTTTCACAGCTCTGAGTACCTCTCGTCTCCGCGGTGGCTGAAAATCAGCCATGTCCCCAAACATGACAAATGGTCGACAATCATCGTCCAATCGTCCCCACCATGTTTTGTTGTCATGTGGTTCTGAAATAATGATTTACATTCATCATCTTCATATTAGCCCCTAACTGTCCATTGCTGAACATAGGTCTTCCCTTTGGGGAGTTTTGCCAATAATTGCCACGCTTAGTACCGGAGTCGGCAACTGCAGTTAGGTTTTGGTGACGTTTTAAGAGGGATGCTATTCGTTATCCTTAGATAATTAAGTCGCTTTTTATGATACCCATGGTAAAGTTTGTAATAGGTACAATAAAAAATACTTAACTTGATTAGAAAATTCTTTCTCCACTAGAAAGTTATGTTATCAGCAACTAATATAGGGGTTTATATACATATTATATATTTCAAAAAATACGAAATTTACTTATGCTGCCGTACGAACCGACCTTTTTATTATTATTGCTTTTTTTTTAAGTTCAAGCATTCATAAAACCGGATGAATAATTCTTAAAATTAAATAACTACCAATTACTTTATCCGTGTTATTTGATTGATCTTCATCTTCATAAGTACAAGGGTCTTCATCAGAATTGTCTATCACTGGTGTTTTAGTCTCCAGTAGATGTGGCAGGTCAAAGAAGTACTGGTTCGATTCCGGCGTTTTACCTCCATAGTGATAAACGTAGGATTGAAACTGGTTGAAAATATTATTAGTCAGAGACTTTTATATAGTACTTTCGTTATTTTCTTTAAGTAAAGGTTGAAGTCTCACAATTTAATACATAATAAAACTTAACATTATTCATTTGCTTATACATATATATATTATTACTAGCTGACCCGGCAAACATTGTTCTGCCATATAAATTAGGAATTGGGATACCCTATTTACCTAGAGGTATGAAATATACTTTACGAACTATCTCATATCTACAAAATATCATAAAAAAATCATAAAAATCGGTCGAGCCGTTTCGGAAGAGCGCGACCACAAACAACATGACACAAGATTTTTATATATATAGAATTATTATTATATAATATATGTTTGTACATATATTTATTGACAATTTCTCTATGTTTATTTTCTTATTATTCTATTTACTTCGTATTTACACTAAGTTCTTTTTTTTCTTGGACCTTTCCTGCGCTGGATTAACCGCTAATCATTTTTTCTCTCATTGCACTGGATTGGCTGGAAGAGATATCTTTCAGAAATAAGCTCACCCTTTCTAACAAGTTGTTAAATTAATCGTTGTATATTTGATATTATACCTGTGTGTGATAATAATGATGAAGAGTCAGAATTAGGTCAGTCGGTACATCGTGACAAATTCGTCAGGTATTAACTACGATGGTTGCCAGGGGGACTAAAAAGGTATTTAAATGAAATGGCAAATAAGCTGATGGTTTTCTTGATGGAAAGTGGTAACCCTCACTTATAGATAAGCGGTAGGCATCATGAACATTACATAATACTCTGTGATGTGTTCTCAATTTTACTGATAACCTCATTGACTATTTTCTTCATCTTTTCCCGCCATTCGTGGTCAACCCTCGCGGCAGTCTTGTATCCTCTAGACAGATTCAGGATCAGAGATTGGCCTTCTTTCAGTATCTCTTGTAATGCACGAATGTAGTTTGTATATTCTGGATATTATTAATATCATAATTGGAGCTAATTATTCAGAAAATAACCATCTCTTGTATGTAGACCATCACATTAGAAGTGAGTGTTTTCTGCATAACTAGTTAAAATTAGTAGACAAGTACCTACCTATTTAATTAAATTTAATAGTTGGCGGCTGTCTTTTGTCTGCTCTACGTATTTGTATCTATAGATATTAATTTTCTGGCAGGCGTCAGCCGACCATAAATATATATCTACTTAGCTTCATATTTTAATTGATCGAAAATGGTAACGTACCCTGTTAAAAACACTATAAACATAATGAAGCAAGGAAACTAAGGAAATAATTACATATATTTCTTTAGTAAGATACTCTATCTATGACTCTATGCAGATAGATGTTGTAATCAAAGTTCGCTTTCATCATTTAAGTAACTGATTAGTTGATTAGCATTATTTTGTTTAATTCCGCTATCATAATTATTTGTGCTATTGCAAATATATTTATAATTCTAATCAACTAAACAGTAATATGAAATTTCACAAAATAATACCTAGTTCAATAAAATATTGAAGTAATGTTTTGGTAATAATTACTTGGTTAGTACTCTGAACGTAAAAGATGGACACTATTTAAAAGCAATATATTAAATTTAAAGATTGTTATTTTAGATTCATATGTGTTTTATATATTTTTTTACACTAACAACTTGTTTGTTACAACTGGTGTTTATTTATTGGCTGGCTTGGCGAGACTAATATGAGCAAAAATATGATATTGTTAAAATGGAGGTCTAAATGACCTATTGTAATGGAAGTTTAAAACCATATGAAAATTTCAACTTAAACATTTAATTGTTAGAAAATATCGAATGATAGTTTTTCGTTGAAACTAATTTGACCTTTATGAATGTCAAGTGTAAAAAAGAGATAACACAGGTCTGTATAAAAGGCCTTTGTAAAAGGCCGGCACACCTGCAATGCCGCTGATGTTGTGGGTGATCATGGGCGGTGGTAGTCACTTGCCATCAGGTGAGCCACATGCTCGTTTGCCCCCTGTGTTGTAAAAAAAAATCTGTAAGGGGTAGTTGCTGTTTTCTTCTTTTTTTAAAACCACCAATAGCGACGAAATATAAATTTTTGAATTCAATATTTTATAGGCTTTTGTTCTTTTTGTTACCAGTAATATTTTTTTTGTGTGGAATGGAGGATTGAGCAAAAAATATAAGAGCTAGTTTTGAGAACTTCGTCGTTTACTTTAAGTTGTGCTTGCCTTCAATAAGACTCAATTTCTCAAGTTTACTTTTCCTGCGTTCGGAACACATCACGAACATTAAACCAGCAAAATTTTTGCATTCCAGTTGGGTCTGTAGCGCTTTTATTTTTTCTTGTCTTTCTCTATATGCTTCTCGTAGCATATACGATGAACGAATTTGTTCATTCCTATAAAAATACAGTGTTGGTAAAGATTTAACTGCATTAATAACAAAATACACACCATATTATTTACTAATGGCAACGCAAGAGAAGCTCTATGAGCGACACAGTATGATCTGTGATGTTCATGGTGCAAGGCAATGGTTGTCACTGGTTCCATTAGGTGAGCCATCGGCTTGTTTGGACTTCTAAGTATCATAAAAAAAAAAAACAATAAACATTAATGTTTGGCATAAACTTTCCATTCGGCATTTGTCCTCTATTACTGTTATAGTGAATTTTATACTAATGCACGTGGCAAACACAAGGTTTTGCTGAACATAAAAATGTTCAGTGATGTTGAACATAAATGTGCATCAAATATGCATCTAGAGGTGAACTTATCATTATTAGAAGAATTACGTTCCCGGAAACACGTCGGTATCAAACCTCATTATGTTATTTTAGTGTCGGTTATGGTTCGCCAATAGGAACTTAGGACTTTTGTATAGGGTTTTTATATCGGGTTAGTTTTAAAAGATTAAACTATAATAATACATACCTACTACTGGCTATTTTCTACTAACCATGGTGATTATGAGGATGAATAATGATATTTTTACATTGTTAGTAAATGGTGGTTAAACTTAAAATTCAAAAGTGCGAAATTAGTAACCAAACAATAGACGCACCAGAACAATGGACGCATTTTATCAATGGTTAAAACATTTAATATTATTATGGTAATTTCAAGTAAAGTACTGGGATCAGAGGAAATAATAGTAATATTATAATTTTTTAATTTTGGTTGTACTACGTAGAAATAAGTATTAGACAAATTAATAAATAAAAGTAATTCGATCTTCTAGGATTTTTTCAGACTTATAAGAATCAAATAAAATTTTAACTTACATACGAGTAGGTACTCGTGTAACTTCATAAAACACATGTATCTATACCGATTTTTAAACTTACTGTAATATGTAATCAAATTTTTCTTTTAAAGAATTCATTTCTTTTTTCAAATGTCGTTGAAATTCGGCACGTAACTGTTGTTCTTTTTGATCTATCAGCTTTTCCAAGTTTTCTGTATTGATTTTCCCATTTAAACTATTTAAAGTTTCTTTATATGTGCAGTCGCCACATGGATCCTTATAAGTGTTATTTTTTGTTATTATTTTTGATGTAGCATCAATATTAAAAGAAGAAACTTTTAGAGAACATTGCTCTTCCCGTATGACTTCTAAACATTCTGCATTATTCACCTCTGTCTGTTCGTGACTTGAATTTTGAGACATCTAAAAAAATATTATATGTAAGCGAAAGACTTTATGCATTTTCATGCAATTTTTTTTCTTAATGTAGTGTAAATTATAACGTAATAAATAATAACTACAATTCTCTACAATTAGAATCTATTATTTACATATTCTACAAAGAAAATAATTGCTTAAACAAGACAGATTGAATACAAACAAGGAGACATGTATGTTCAGGAACACTTTTTTTCAATTGAAACACACATTAGGTATTTGCCTTTTTATTGCCTGGTTTAAAACTATTATTATTTACATTTCTAAGAAGCAAAGTACCGGTTGAAATCATTCAATAGTAAAAATCTGGACTTGGTGTTTATTGTTTCATTGTTAATACAGGTATCTACCTGTATTGAACATTTAACAATGAACTACTAAACAAAACAATTATAAAAGTACCGACAGGGTAAGAAGTGGTGGGAGAAAACATCCCTTTCGTTATTCATTTGGAATATTACTTTAGTCAGTCTTTGTCTTTCGTTGCCTAAGGTAACATGATAAAGCAATGTGCGCACAAGTTTTTATTTTTGCAAACAGACTTAAAAATGTGTGATACGGACCTAAACAAGGCCTTTCGTGTGTAATATCTTAACGTCAGGTTTGACGTTCAGAATTTTTGTTTATGGTAACTAATGACAGTTCTTTAGTCGGAATTTCAGCTATCGTGAAGTTCGTAACATGTGATGTTTCATAGGAGTATTTTTTGGAAAAAAAACAATTTTATGCAGTTGTGTTGTGTTTAAAAGTGAAAAAAACAGAAATCCTGAATATATTGTGCGTTGTGAATTGTGAAATGACCTTATGTTTACCGCAATAAACATTATATGGATAAAGCCGTCACTTGAGGTTGTAAAGGTTAGTGCTTTTTTCGTCTGTTGTTTGTCTTAAAATAGATTCCTGTGCGGGTCGCAATGATATTACAGATTTGTTTGTATAACGACTTCATGTGACTTCAATTTTTTCATGGGACCTTGAACTAGAAAATTGAATGAACCTTATTTCGCTATCAAGGTTAGGTGGCGCGGGCAAAAATGTCATTACACTGTTATTTATTTTCATTATATTTAATTGAAATATAAGTAATTAATAATTACATGTAAGTTGCTATATGTAATTATAATATATTTGTGTTGAAACTGATTTTGCAGTAGAAATGTTTGGTCACCAAACATAACCTAAAAGTGCACATTATTTGCTGCACTTTTTTCGCAACAGAACAGAAGTCAAGTAATTGAAAAACCGTTATCTGTATCAAGTTTGCGTCCGACTGAGCCCGGTTGATATATCGGTCAATTTTTTTACGTTATTTGTGTAAAATCACGTGATTTACGAATTGTTTTCACACCATTTTGACAGTTCAAGAACATGTTAAGAAAGTATTTTGGTTCTTATCTCGATAGTAACAGAGGTGCGGAGATTTTCACAAATTTTATGATAAAGAAATATAATCTTTTTATTTAAATGAGATAATCTATTTACTGTAGAATATTAGACATACATAATTAATTTAGTGACCACAAAATTAAATTTCACGCATGTAAGAATAATTACAATAGGTAAATATAATTTTGATAGTTCTCAATTGAAATTTTGTATTTAAAATGTTGGCACTAATTTATAAAAGAATTTATGAGAAGAAAGTTTTCTGAAAAAGGAAATTGAATTATATCTTTTGTTTAAGTTGGCTTGAGTTATGTTTTAATGCTTAAATAATTGAATGGGTGTGAATAAATGTATGTCCTATATTATATATAGGATTATTAATATGAAAAAAGTTGCAAATAAACTATAACTAGAGGCTTATAAAATAGGATATTTGCTATTACTTAGTAATTTTTATTATTATTGGTAATTCGTACAGGTATATATTTTCAAGGTGCCTATTCTATATTATAATTTGTATCAGTTTTGGCCGTTTCACACTTTGTAGGCAGATTGGAAACCACAGATAAGATTCAGAGATATTCTAAGAGGGATGCTGCTGCCTATCCCTCTTCCTTCCGTTAGTCTCCTTTTACAACACCCAAGGGTAAGGAAGGGGTATCATATTCTATTCTGAGACCACATGGCCATTTACTATGAATATTATAGTATTATTAATTTTAAATGTTTTAATTCTTAAATTAAAAGTACCAATATAAGAGACTAGTTTTTATTTACAATATATGCATATCTGTTATGCACATTTCCTATTTATAATAATTTGCATATATTATATCTAATATCTATAACAATATCTAACTCTGCTCTACTAGTGTTAATTAATCCGATCAGTAACTCTAATATTCTTTCAGTTAAAACAAAAGAGACCAATCCAATGAGCACCCAAGATTTTCATCATTAGAGAAAACTTAAGAAGATAATTTTAAAACCAAAACTTACCACCTCATTATCTTAAGGATATTAAAATAAATCGGACTGAATAATTAATTTTTTTTTATTTGGAGTAGGTATATTAGTTTTATATTAATTGATATACTTCAAATTAAATAAGCTTAAAGTTGAGGAAGGGATTGTTATTATTGGGGTCTAACATTACGATTGCTAGTAATATTTCTTATTAGGTCGACCTCTATTTGGTTCCCCTCTGGAAATTTTCATGGATAATTCTTGAATTTGTTATGATGACCTGACTCGCTTTCATCCTCACCTATCATCTCTCACTTTTGTCCTGCCAGTGTATAATGATAGTGCAGGTGAAGTTACCATTCCATTATAACCCATTTAAACTTCCTAAACTTGATAGAGAGGATGCTTTTAAAATTAAGTCCGCTTTGTATACATACCTTGTATTAAAGAATAAACAGATAAAATGAATATAAAGAAGTGTATATTTCCATCGGAATAAATTCATATAATATACATTATACATTGTGTTTTCAACTTTAGTCAACAACATAATATCTAATGATATATGTAAAGAAATTCAGACTTATCTGTAATTAAGTTTTTATATAACTATTTATATAATTATTTTGTTATAGATTTGAGATAATTATGTAAATGCTTATATAAAAATTATGTAAGTTTAATATCAGTAAATTAATTGAATCAATATTTTCACTTATGTAGAATACCTATGAAACTTTTTTTGGTTTAAGTGTTAAGTTACTTTTGCAAGTAAAGATGACCTTCCATTAATATTATTATATGGAAATTGAACATCACTGCTTGATTGAATTACTTAATTTCTGATAATTACTATGTCTTATCATGTATAGATAACACTAACAACAATACCTTATGTTGTTGTTGTATCTTCCAGTGTTGATCTTTATACTCTGGGAACTTATTTTCTTATTAATAATATGAAATAGTAATTAATTTTTTTTTTGTAAGTTTTATGTTTAATTTATATTCATGTCATAAAGACATTTGGACAGATGTTTTTAACATTAAATATTAATATGCTTTCTCTCATGGTCATGTGGCCAGTGTTAATATGATATTCAGTTTAAAATATTTTAACTCTTAAGGCCAAAACATTTTTTATTTACAAGTTTTGGTATTAAAGATACAGATTTAAGAGCTAGTACTTAATGTTAGGTATTAGTTTTTTTTATTAAATTTCTGACCTATTTGTGATAGATAAGATTCAGTATACTCTTTATATTTTTTTCTGATTGCTACAAGTTATTTATTATTCCCTAACTAAATATACTGTCAACAATGGTGTGTGTTAACTTTCCTGTAAGTGAGTTAGTGACCAAATAGTCAACTTGGACATCAGATTGCTTAAAACAGGTATACTAACATAATGCAACATGGAAGGGTACAAGTGTTAAAGATTTCACACTTAATGTTTTTACTGAAACCTTTTGCAAACATAATCTGTTTAGTGACCAAAATCTTTTCTATCTATTAGCTATCATTCCATTGATTTCTTTAGTGGGTAAATCAGAGAGAGAGATTATTTGTCCCAAATATCTGGACTCTTCTATATATTAGAATGGTTGATTATTGATTTTTATTTCATGGGTTGATTTTGATAATTTGTTCCTTGTGTTTGAGTTCAGTGACAATACAACTTTCCCACTTTCTTTGTTTAGATCTTGTATAGTTTTTTTGAGTTTGAGGAAGTTTTCTTCAATCATGACTATACTGTCAGCAAATAATAAATGATGCAGTCTTTTTCTATCTACATTTAGTCCAAATGCATCGTAGTCTAATTTTCGGAATATGTTTTTGAGCACTGCAGAAAATAGATCGGGAGACAGTGGGTCACCTTGCCTGACATCTCTCAATTGAGAACAGTTTTTAGTGTTTTCATTTGTATTATATAGTTTTTTTTTTTGATACTAGTTTAAGATACTTCAATTTAAATCCCTAAATGTATAAATCAGTTTGTTCCTTTATTTTCTGTTATCTCTGGAGCCTTTTACAGCTCAACCAATGAAACTTGGTACCCATGGTATTTGAAAAAGGCTACTTTTTATCCTAATCAACTATTAATGGTTGAACATGGAAAAGTGAAATATGGAATTCTATGTTTTCAATTATATGTTAGAATTTTTATTTAATTAAGTCATAATGAGACTTGTAATTTTTCAGTGTACAACTGCTGATTTAAATATATTGTTTTTCAAAGAATTTCTAAATAACTATTTTTATTTTGTACAAACTTTGTTAATCTGAATTATTATTGACATCTAAAATTTATCTGTAATTCACTGTTGGTGTTGTGACTTCTTGATGAAACATCATTTAATCAATTTACAATATTATTCAAAATAGTTGTACTTTGTTTCACTGTTTTTATTAACTGATTTTCTTATTTATATAGGCAACCAGTCTGCTCACAGCTTTATTTCCAAGTGTATTTATAAAAATTAAATTATAATTTAAATAAAATATATTGTTTCAGATATGGATTCACATATACTAAATATGTACCACCAGGCACCATATCGTACAATTGGACATAAGATAATGCGCTCCACTAGTAACTCTGTCTCTTCAGAAAGCAGTTGTAATCAGAACAGTCCAGAGTACATACAAATGCAGCAATCAGAATATAGGGAACAATATGAAGATGAAAGTAGTGAGCCTCAGGATTGGTGCATAAATAGTAATCAAGAAGTAAGTATTTGCAAATGTGTGCCTAGTTCCAGGTGATACATGTGGTCCACCTATACATACATATTTTATTTACGATATAAAAAATATGATATTTATAATGCCTAGAATTAACATATACAGACTATTTGTAACAGGATGTCATTTCTACACTAAAATAAATTATAATTACAATGATTTAAATTTATCTCCATAATTTGTTATTATTAAGAATTTTTAATTTTAGGTAAATACAACACAATCAAGTCATGACACTAGCTCTGACGAGGCAGAGGATGTTGAGGAAAATATTGGAATAGTTGAAGTTCCTTATAACTACCATCCTTCAGAATATCACATGCATGTATCTGATGAAGAGAATATCGAGGTCTCCTCTCTTGTGGAAGGAGCTGATTATGATATCATTCAAGTATATGCTGTAGACCCAAATTTAGATCTAGAAGCTTCATCGGATGAAGAGGAAAGTGCATATCAAGCTGTAAATGAAACGGAGGAAGAAAGTTCTATTGTAGAAAATAATAAATATAGATGTCCTAATGATTATGGTCATCAAGAAGACAGACCTGAGACACTACACGATGGCTTAAATTTAAGCTTAGATACCCCAGTGGTTTCAAATGTCGATGAATATTTCGTGAACCCTAAAGAAATACTAGATGAGTCGTTTGTCAAAGATGTTGACGAATATTTTATAAAGAATTCCGAATCTGAACCTAAAACTACAGCAAATGTGGATGATTTCTTCATTAAAAATAATAATTCTGAAGAAACTTCTACGAATTTTCATATAGAAAAGCAAGTTCCTAATGTTGATGACTTTTTTGTGATGGACACAGGAAAAGTCGATCAGCAAAATGATAATGTTACAGATCCAAATGCTGATATCTCAATAAATGAATCAGATTTAGATGTTCTTCCCCACATCGAGGATATTAAAAAATATCTGCTGGAAGATACACCATGTTCTAAACTTAAGAATATGCAAAGATCATGCTCTGTTCCACATTCTCCCATGAATATTTGTATGGATATTGTAGACGCAAAAACTAGCTTGTCATTCGAAGATTTGAATTTGGATTTATCAGATTTGTCATTTGATAATGAAAAAGATAAAAGCTATGATAGTGTAAATAAAGGCGACGAAATTCCATGCACTCTTACTGATGAGGATGTAAATAGTTTTCTTATCACTAATAAAACAGAGTCTACTACTAATCTTGCAAAAAATGAAGATGACTTTAGTTATCAGGACATGGAAATAGAACATCCAATAGAATCTTCGATACAGAGTTTACCTGAAAATCAAAATAGAAATCATAAACCTATGCAACATCCCAAACCAGCAGTTTTGGATTATTGTATAGAAAAACCTACAATTAAAAAGGAATTTACTAGTGATACAAAGACTGAATTGGATGTTTTTGTGGATGTTGAATCATGTAATGATGCTGTTATACCAGTTTTAGAGGCAAACAACTTAAACTCTTTATTGGAGCAATTTGAGGCTACAGAGAAATTAAATACGAAGAAGAGATCAACATTAAAAGCAGAGCAGCAGAAAATAAAAAGTTCTAACAAAAATAGTTTGACAAATGGCATGCGATTACAGGATGCGGGAGTTCAACTGAATAAAACAAAGATGCAGCAAATTTTGGTAAGTAGTCTTTTATATCTTTTATTTAATTTGTTTCTCAGATCCAGATAAAGAGTATATTCAATCCAACAACATTATTACAGATGCCGACGCCAATAAATTCAAGTGGCAGTAAATCGCAGAGTTCTCTCCGATCTGATCATGACTACTGCTCGTCCAAAAAGCGGAATAGTGTGCATAATGTGAAAAAAGGACAAAGCCTACTTAAGCCTGAAGTGTTGTCGAGTAATAGCAGAATAATAAATTCTAGACATAGGTCGTGTAAAAATAAAAAAGTGGTGTACCATTTAAGCAGTGATGATGAAAGCGAGAAGTGTAATAATAATTCTAAGGCCAAAAAAATGTTAAAAAGTGACAATAGTGATGTAAAAAAGAAATGTAATAATAAACAATCTGTTCAACCGTTAACATTGACAATTAATCGTAAAAAACTTTCGCCATCTCATAGTATTGACAATGATGGTTGTATTAAGAGTAACAATTCTGTGATGAACAAAAGTGCTTGTAAAGCGAGTGATAATTCTTATAGTCAAAATTCTAATGGTAGTATTAAGTTAACTATTAAAAATAAATCTGAAGTTATTCTCAACTGTGATTATAAAGACTCTCAGAAAGATTATAACAATACTGATAAATCTAAATCTAGTAGTGTGAATGATAAAACTTCGAACTGTGTCGTAAATAAGTCTATAAAAGAATTAGATTCTAACAAAAATAAAACCGCATATAGTAACGTGACTGTTAAAGAGGAACCCCGTCCGAAAGACAAGGAAGAGAATTTCTACACAACTTTATTTAGTAATAAACAGGATGTTCAGATTCCACAGCCAATGCAATTGAAGGGGGAAAAAAGGCTATTTGAAGAGGAATTGCAGAGGATATCTGAGGTTTCAATAAAGAAAGATCTGGAACAACCAACAAAGAAAAAGAAATTGAATCTTCAGGAGTATAAGATGAGGAGAGTTAATTCGAACAATAGTTCAGCAACAGTGAGTCCAGAAGCGATTTTTCCTGATACACCAAATTTATTAATAGACAAGAATAAAACAGTTATAAATCAAACCACATCAATGCCGAATAAAACAATACAGCTAAAAGAAATTGCACCCAAAGATGTATTTGATCCAATTAGAGAAGCTTCAAGAAAAATTCTTATGAATACAAAGAAGCAGAAAGCCGAAGCAATAAGAAAAAGAGATGAGCATATAGTTATGAGCAAGATTCCCAAAGTGGAAAATTTAGAACTTCAGCCATTAATAAGTGATGCTGAAATGATGAAAATTGTAGGTATGACTCCAGCTGAAAAATTGCCAATACCAATTGCACCTGAGAAACCACAAATATTTTCTGATTATGAGGAAATTATTATGGTTAGTGTTGGTACAAATACAGATGAAAGTATATTCAAGAAATTTGATCGTAATGGAGAAGCTGTAAAGAGAAAAGTTGAATTACCACCAAATGATACAAAATCTTTAATTAATTTTAAAATAAAAAAATCTGACCCTATCCTTAAACAAAATGTATTTGATACAGTAAAGAGAGACAGAAGGAGTCCAGTGGATGTCAAAAAACATGCCGAGCCAAAAATTGATAAAAAGCGATATAAAGACATAACTGAAGCATTGAAAAGCGTTGAAAAACATGTTGATACGAAAATATCTAGTAATTCATTATTTGCTAGCATACAAGATGTGGTTATGAAGAAGGCACCAGAAGAAAAAGAAACCAAACGGTCTAAATCATATTCTCCTACAGAAAGAAAAGCCAAAATAGAATATACTAAAACATATATTAAAACAATGGTAGTTCGAGATTATGATATTAAGGCAGAACATGGAGAAGATAAAGTTATATTACATTTGGAGAAGAATAGAAATAAACCTCCCGCAAAAAATATCGTAGTGCAAACAGATATGATAACAGATTTTTCAGACTTGTCAACATTGACAGCTATGATGTCAATATCCACAAATAAACCTAATAGTAGAAAGAGAAAAGACAGTGATATGTCAATGTCGAGTGAGGGCAGTCCAGTCAGGGATAAAGAATTTAAATCGACGAGTCCGAAACAGCGACTAGAGTCAAAAGTTGAAACCAGGATTGACAAAAAACCAGAAGTAAGGGGAATAAAGTGTCCAATATCAAAAGAGAAGCGTTCAAGATCTAAAGACCGTTACGATTCAAAATATCGACGCAAATCACGGTCATTATCTCGCAGTCGTGGAAGACGAAGATCTTACAGTAGAAGTCGATCACGATCACGTGGCCGGTACAGACGGCATAGACACTCTGACTCTCCATATAAAAGGAAACGTCGTTCTCGATCACCATATCGCCGGAGATCGTCTTCTAAACGAAGAGACCACAAAAGACTGTCACGTTCACCCATGAAATGCAATGTATCTTCTCCATCTAGAAGTCCGGTATCTAAAAAACCTAAATTAAGTCCTAATTTTACAACTAATGGTGTTGACAAAAAATCTAATCAAATTATAAAGTCTGTGACTCCTCCTATAAGAAAACCAACAGTGTCTGAAAGTTCTGATTCGTCTACTAGGTGAGTTTTGTTTATGCATGTGAAAATGTTTTTTAATTAATAATATCATGTAGTTTTCTATTTGGTGTGAAGATACTATATCTACATATTTTTGGATTAGTTTACATTGAAGAAATAATTAAGTGTACATTAATTTAAAAATATGTCTTTTGAGTTTCAAGTAGTATTGTATCTCACTCATAGATTAAATTAATCAGATGAAAAATATATTAGGATACTTAAGATTAACCTGGATGAAAATAAATGGGATAATAAATTTTATAGTTTAATTTATATGAAAATTGATAGATTTGCAAAAGAATATTACTTTGTATTTAGAAATAATTGTAGTTCTTTATTTAGATCTAAAGGATAATATATTGTTTAAAACATATTTTAACTGCATCTTATCACTCGTAGTTATTTTTTTGCATTTTTTTTTTGTGTTATTTCCGTGACTGACTTAAGGCAGAAGTCCAGTCCATTTATTAAAAAAAAAATTATGCCTATATGTTTATTGCGTTATGACTGATGGTATATTTGATTAAATTACATTATTAAATGAACCATAATGGTATTGCAGTTCTTCATCATCATCATCATCGTCGTCGTCGTCGTCGTCTTCGTCATCGACGACATCTAGCTCTGACGCCTCGCGTAAGTCGAATCGATCTTCGTGTAGCCCGTACAAACGAGAGGGACTGTTCCAGAAGAAGGATTATAGAAGTTACAGTTCCGAAGACAGGTTAGTTTCATTTTATTTTCATTCTATATTTCGTCAGCTTCATTTATGTATCATTGTATGTATGTCTAGAAGCTTTAAGTTCTAATTGATGATTAAGTTTCTCATACTTATTTTTAAATTAAAAAAATATATCAAATGCTTTAGCTTCTGCACAGTGAGTCGTCCTTCTGTAAGCCACTTTAGAGGCCTGTTATATTTATTATTACGTATTTGTAATAAAATAGAAACAAATTATCTAAGTTTCATACAGACTATATAGAAAAATTTGTTAAGATTTAGTGTTCTAATGAAGATAAATTTCAAAACTGGCCGATCGTTACGCTTCTTGGCGTCGTTATAGGTCTTAGTCTAAAGCGTTATCGTTACTAATAAAATATTAGATAGTGTTTGTTTATTATTTGGCTTGAGTTGTACTTGTATTGAAATTTAGTATAGTAGTATTTACATGTAATATTTGAGATCGAGAATATCCTGGTCAGTCAATATATCTCAGTCTCGCGGATGAAGGAACATATAAAGCCTATGTTTAACAGTGGACAGTTAACGACTGATATATTAATAATAGTAATATTACAAAAAGTATACAGAATTATCCATTATTGGACATATATTTTGATGTTAAACACAAATACAAGTTGAAAGGATATTCTTTAGTCGCTGCACTTAAATGCTATGGCATTATGTTTCAGGTATTGTAAGTGCGGCTTTGCCTATATAAACTAAATGAACGTACTAGTCTTTCATTTTAAACGTCCAAATCTTTGAGTTTAGTTTATACCCTTATATGTATTGTCCTAAATGGGGTGTGTGGTTAAGTAAAGCGGAAATTGATACTGATGAAGACTAATTTCTATATTTTTAAATCACTATCTTATAATACATAAATGTTATGAAATAAATATTTTTCATTTTCATAAATTAATAAATATAGCTTAATATTGTATCTTATAAATAATATTATAGAACTAATCAACATATTTGTATCATAACAGAGAAAGCAACACGCCCGTAGAAGAGAGACGGATAGTGTTTGTGGGCAAGTTAGAGAAGGACATTACTAAGATGACACTTAGAGGGTTGTTTTCAAAGTTTGGGCCCGTGATGGAGGTGCGCCTGCACAGTAAGGAAGATGGGTGAGTTTCCTTTCATTATATTGTGTGTTTTAGAACATTGTAAAACTGTAATACTTTAAAATCACACCGGTAGCAAAAGCTTAGCATAGCAATATTGATAACATATTTAATGACTATATAAATTGCAAGTACATTATGTTATAATTGACACCGTTATTATATTGGAAACTATTGTGAAGTGTTGTATTTAATTTTAGTTGTGTTTCTCGCCCATTCTTCTCAGCTAAAATTGCATTTCGCATAGGTGGTTTAAAACATGGTCTAAATAATAAGGATAAAGACCTTATCTATCAAATGCCACTTGAAAAATAGCATTTTCAATGGCTTCAACATCTTACAGGACCCGATACGGTTTTGTGACGTACTCGCGGGCACGAGACGCGTGGGCGGCAGTGGAAGCGGCCGCTAGCTTCCCGCAATATGACGTTGGTTTCGGCGGTCGCCGCGCCTTCTGTCGGCACACCTACGCAGACTTAGGTCAGTTGCCGCGTTCGTGTTGAGTCATAGATGTGACAATGCAGTTGATTATGAAGTGTCATCTTTTAATTAATCTATAACTATACTGGACAAAACTGTAATTTTAATATAATTTGAGTCATAATTATTTAAAGTTTGATTTATGTAGGTCCATAAAATAATAGGTTCCTATCATTTTAAATTTTTCGCTGTTGTTTTCTAAACGTGTTTCAAGTCTATATTGTGTTATTTATATTAACATTTTTTTTTCAGATGGCTTGGAAGCCAAATACACGGAAAGCGCATTCCATGGTCAGGCAGCTGTTTCAACACGTCGCACCAACGACCAGTCCTTTGAGGAAATGCTGCTAGAAATGAAAAAGACATTAAGTCAAAGGAAAAACGAGAAGAAACGCCACGACGAGCCTAAACCTTGACGATTACTCCACACTAGCCACATTTTAAATAAATTCGCGTCGGCCATTTTGACAATGATTAAACTTGTGCAAATGGCCGCACACGTGGGGTGAGTGCAATGACTTTAAACACGTGTCAGTTGACAGCGCGTTGTGCAATTCGGAAAAGACAATGAATTCATGATATTTTGCTCACACTGTACCTATTTCTATAGTTAAATTATAGTACACTTTCGTTCCTTAGTTTAGTTTTTTACCTCACTGTAAATAGTAGTTATAGATGTGTATTATTTATGTTTCGTACATAGTTCTTATGTATAACTTTTAATAATACTACCTCTTATGTTTTGTCAGTTGTTATATTTGGTAATAAAATGTTGATTGACCCCAAACACGAAACCCATGAAAATTGTAGGCATATATATACATATACTAGTTTCAATAGTAACTGGCTTTTGTTTTATATGTTGTGTTGAATACTAAAATTTACTATTATATATATAAATAAATGCTACACATTTTCACGATAAATAAAAACAGGTATAATTTGGGGTCAAACAAACAAAAATATTTGTTGAGACGTTTTGTAAAAAGTGATAATTAAATCAGTCAAATACATTAATTTTTGTAATTATAATTGGTGCTTACTTTCTTACTCATTTAGTCTATATTTTTTTTATACTCATAAAATATAAGCAAGAAAGTTCGTGCTTTTAAGTTACAAAATTATTATAAAAATATTTTAGTCTTGTACTGCATGAATTACGACTCTTTTATTATTTCTTCTTAAGTAGCGATATATTTGTATGCATTACACTTGTAACTTTTTTTAGTACAAATTTGCACCTAATGTTGGATTTTTGACTTTTAACAGTATCTCGATCCTTTGAACTTTACAAATATTAAAATACCCCAATTCTCAAAATAATTCATTTTAAAGTAGCTCATTAGTAGACAGTACTATACCTACTTTTAAATATAAGGTATAAGTGTTGTCAAGAGAGTTTTTAAAATAATTAATAATGGCAAATAAGCTGAATAATTGATAAAAAAGCGGATAAATTGATAGATAATAGCATTTATTGCTTACACTTAAAAACAGTATTGTTCTACTAGTGAAACTGAACATTTTTCCTAGAGATGACAAAACGTTTAAAGCTTCTAATACTAACTTAACAGCTGGACATGTCAAGTTCGTTATGGAAGGGTATTTTTCCGTTTGACAACTCCCGTCTTCTTGGGGCTAAATTAAGAATATATAATGAGAAAGACGTAAACAAAGATTTCATATTCTTTCTGCACAACTTTTTAAGTTTAAAATGAAAGGAAATAAATCCAACGGTCAAACATTTGGTATTTCGAAATTAAAATCAAATATTCACTAGTATACCAACACATTACTGTCCTATACACACATTTAGGCACAGTCGTGTTTAAAACATTTTCGATAATACTCTATAGTGGCATTCGAGCATTCTTTATTTGAATAATTGTATCATACAACACCTAACTCTTGATATTTCCTACTGAGATTATGTAAATTTCAAATCAAAATGCAACCTAATATGCGCCAATAGATATCTCACTCTTCGTTTTCGTTACATTCCGGCTGATAGTAAATGACTACCGATACCAAATGTCACGTGCTTATTACTTCATCCTTTGATGTAAGCCGAGGTGCAATTTATATATCAGTTGGGGAGATTTGAGATATTCAAGCAAGAAACTTCGCTATAATATACTTAGGCGGCTAATATTTCATATTTACTTTTAGCACGATTTTAATTCATTTCGTAAAGAAATTATGTGAAACAATAGAAGTCTACACAATTTAACAGACTGTAGTCTTATTAAGTGAAGGGTAACATAAACTATATGGACTTAGTTCAAAATCTTAAGAGTAAAATCGGCCGTTATAGCCTCTTCGAGAACAATTTATAGTGTAGAGTAGATATAATCGTACAGAATGCACTTAGTATATGATCGCGTCGTAGCCTTGCATTCAATATGCAAGGAACAAAAGGACTTTCGCACTTTGAGTCTATTTGAAAATACAGGGTAATAACATTTTCCCTAGTGCAGTGTTTTTCAAAGTCGCGACCTCCTGGGGAATTCCCGCGCATCTACAAGGGGGTTGCGGAAGGTCGCGAAGTCGTTATAAATAACGTTCAAACAGTTATTTTTTCTATTCATAAACTGTTTATTAAATGGCATTTATTGTCAGTACCTATGCTAACATAAATTAACAAAATTAAAAAAATAACCACGATCACATTAACGTGAAGTGTGCATCTGTTTTTCGTTAATCAATTTCTTTCATCGCGGATTCTATGAAAACAAATAAAAATCTACTTATTTGGTATTTATAATGTAATAAAATACATACAGGTCTGGAACCGCGGAGGGTACGGATCGCAAAATATTTTTACCTACTAAGGGGGTCCGGCCGTGAAAAAGTTTGAAAAACACTGCTCTAATGTGTACAATTAAAAAAATTGTTTTGTCGCACGTTTTGTTTACTCTCATTTTAGAACTATCAATATTGCTTTTTTGATAATTATCTTTTAGTAACTTATTAAATAAATTAATTCGTTTTGGAAACTTCTGCCAAGACAAATCATTGACTTTATAGTATAAATATATTACACTTTATTTTGGCATCTTTTAATCAATATGAAGGCCAAAAGTACAAAACAGTTTGTAATATTTGCTGAATTGCTTGCCTCGGTCGGTACCATACGATGCTTGCCGCATCAGCAGTAAGTTAAACGTTTTCTAGAATAGCGATTGGATGATGATATTGTTGTTATAATATACTTCCCGGCACGTTGCTTTACGTGCGTTTTTGTTTCGTACGATTATGCCTACGCTGCGACTTACGTGCGAAGTGGCTTAGTAATAATTTGTAATGCAATATGCATCGAGTCAATGATTACTATTATGTTACCAATTGATTTTTATAGTTTTATATATAAATATGTTACTGTAAATACTTTGGTTTATAAGTAAAAGTTTAAAATGATTCTCTTGTTTTGTTTAAGTTTTTTTTTTTCAATTTCGTTACTACCATAAAATTACAGACTTATTTTTTTTAATAAATGAATTCATCAATCTTTTAATAAACAGAAACGATTACTACGTATATTATGGAACAAAGAGGAAATAGAATTTAAAAAAAGAACATGACTGTTTCAAAATTTCGATGCCAAAGAGATTTCGATATTGATAATCATGGGAATAAACTGAACATGTTTTACTTAGACGTATTATATAATTTATCCCTTGGGGATAATATTACCATCATCATGCAACTACGGCAATATTATAATAATTAAAATCGTATCAAATTAAAAAAAAGGTCGATATAAATAAATAAATAGATTATATAACTAAAATTATGTACAACTACAGATATTGAAATGTAATCGTTGTCTTGTTTTATATGAAATTCCATTTTATATGAATTTTTTAAATTTGTAATATTAAAAAAATACTTTATAGGTAAAAATAAAAATAGTATAAAATTACATGTTTATATAAACGTATATGGCAAAAAAGATTTTTATAAACTACGTATCTGGTCAGTCATGTTGTTGATGGATATTAATTCGATTGTATCAAATTAATTCGATTGTTAAGGAAATTGGCAAATAAGTTTAGCAACATAACTACATAATATGCGCAATAACAATCTTACGTACCTATCATTATCATAGACAATTAGCATCTATAGTTTTGTTCAAGCCATTCGCCGCACTTAATGATAAATATGTTCAGCTCTTAATTACTGGCTGGCAACGGTGATTGCAAAAACAATTAATTTTATTAAAAAAAAAAAAACTTCCATTGAGATTGTAAGTGCCAAAAGTAACCGTTCCTATTCTTTGTTATGTCTATTATCTAATCATTTAGCTGGTAGATCTAAAATACAAATTTTTAGATTTTGCTACCATTTATATATTTATATATATAAAACCCAATTCTTATTCCCATACAGATAATACACTCAAAATTACCCTGAATAAAAAAGTAACCGCGAAACATGATGGGATTGGAATTATCATTATAATCTTACCAATTCTTATTTCTGTGATGTCAAATTCTTGACGTAAATATAGGTCTCCTTAAATTCTGTCTTTTTTTTTTATAAAATCTGTAAGAACATTACATTAGGACTACAATTGCCATTTTCTTGTTAAAAATGAACGAATAAAAATTGCACATCACAGTTTTTTTTTTAAATATATATATTAGTGCTTGCAAGCTTATTACACTCCTTTCGCGATTTTCTGATATCACAAACTGACCGTACTTGGATGCAATCTATTAATGTTCGTCCAATCTTGCATGCAACTTTTCTCAAAAATACTTTTTTTACCCAATCGTGATATTTATATGTGGTATGGATATATAAATCAACATGCAGTGCTTTGGTACATTTTTATACTGGTACCTACTGTCAATGGAAATATACGAATCTACAGAGCTAATATGGATGTACATAGCCATGTATGGAAATATTGCGATTCAGTAATGAAGTTAATAACTTGATTTCGCGAACACTACTATTTCTTGAAATTAATGTATTATTAATGATGAAGAATTATTGGACATTGAATAAGTCGACGCAAGACATTCTCAGTATATTATTTAATAAAGTGTAATTTGTATAAATGCACAAATTATACCAATTATTCAGGTTTACTGTTCATGAACAACTTCAACGCAGACACAGCTTTCGTAATCTAATAATTAACATATTAAATATGTTAATTATTATTCTCATTTCATGTGATTAACGATTAACCTATTTAAAGTCTATCAGTTGATTTAATTTTGTTTTAGTTCCAAAATTGGGAAATAAAATCTGTGTTTAAAGTACTTTTTATATAATGTATACGATTATTTATTATTTCTAAGTGAAAATGTAAGTAAAATATCTATAAAAAAGAAGTCAGTTTTAAAAATAGATTACAGTAGGTCGTAACAAGACTTTTATCCAACTCGCTAATGTAAATTAACCGTTTTGTAAAGTGACATTATTACCGGTTGTCCTTCACAGAGTGGTCTTCTAAAACTGTTATTTTAGATTTTTTTTGTTGTTTCATTTATTTTAAATAAATCAATTTAAATTTACTGAAATGAGTAAAATTTTTTAGAAGTTATATGTTTTTAATATGACAAATTTGGTTTTATCCATTTCTCAAATAGATTTCACATCCATTATTATTCGTAATATTACCATGTAATTCTACAAACAACCAATCAAGGGCTTTAAACATTTTAGTCTTGTAAAATCGATCGTGTGTAGGAGCCCTTACTTTAGTAGATATTTGTAATAGTAAGTAATTTTATTATTTCACTCATTTCCAGTATGATCGAGCGCCTAGTCAGTGTTACTAGATATTTTGTTATATCTTGTGATTGTATTTATTTAATTTAAACATATTTATATTACGTTTTATAAACTTTTAAGTCCATTTTGTTATTGTCAGCATTAAATGCGGTCCAGTAGAGAACTTAATGAAATAGTTAACGTAATCGATTTAGAAAGGTTGTTATTATTTTTGCTGGACCTCAATTTTATTAGTAATTTTAGAATTATTAGATCAAAAGCCGTTCCCAATAACCTGTTCGTTTTTATCTTAGATATATTAAGATATTCAGTGTATTCTGTGTTGCTCATTGTTTTAATATTACATTGTTATTACAACATTAATGTTGCAATAACAATGTAATATTAAAACACTCATGTCTATAGGTGATAGTTACCACTTTTTATCAAGTGGTCCGTTACCTTCGCTGCCATTCTAAATTGCTTAAATATGTTTTTATGTCCACCGCTCATGATGTATTTGTTATCATTCTTGAGTTCTAATATCTTATACCTATCTCCTGTGTTATTTATTGTTTACTAAATATGTAGTATTATGCACACGTTATTGTTTATTTAAATAGGCTAATAATATGTGTAATAATAATAATTATGAGCCACTTCTCCATTTTGATTGCGAATAATTGTTGAGCGCGTTTATAAAACTGACTGATATTAATTTGTAAGAAATATTAGAAAAAAAAAGGATATTGGGAACGGTATTAAATGTATGGACTTTGACATTAGTTTTAGTATTCTTTGATTAAGAATTGGCAGTTCTTTTTGTAATTTCTGAAAATAGGCAGCTGTCATATTTGGGGTTTTTATTCAATTTAACACATAAACATTTTAAATCTTTACATAAATACATTATATTGTTTTATTATATAAACCATACATTAGAGAATAGAACAATATTTTTATGATTGATGTTTTAATTTGAAATGCTAAATCAAAAGCAATAAATAAGGCTTTTAAATAAGTGATTAACGTATTCTTTTCTTTCTTGACAAATTTACACAAAACATTTTAATTTTTGTTTAATATGTAATAATTTGTAAGTAACAACAAGTTTTTAGAGATATATCGCATTGTAGATACCCAGTAGAAGTAATGTTGTTTTTTGATTCGGTGATAAGCAAAAGTAGCTAATACTTACCTAATTATTGTAAACTTATATTTTCTGGAAGTAGAGTAATCCAATTGATAAATAATTTGCCATGACATGTTTTGAACATGTATAATAACATTTCAAGGGGGCTAAATAAGTAGCATACTATTCCATTTCAATTATATTTACTACTACGTATATAAGAACGAGACAGCACATTTATACCAAGTTCCACTATTAAACTATGGCTGTACTGTATAAAAGTAATTTTCATTTTGCAAAATGTAAAAGATTAAATTATTTGTCACTTGTGTTCTATCACTATTAGGGCCTACGCAGATAGGACAAATCTCGACCTCTATTTTTGATTTATGTAATGTTTGAATCCGTGATAAGTAATTGGGAATTTTCTTTGCGAATATAATTCGCTTGTTTGTGCTGGCCCTAATTGTGTAACTTAAATAGACTGCTGAGTTAGATTATATATATAGTGTTTTCATACAATTGTTTCGATAAAAGCGGGTCAACATTTGCACATAATTTTGCGTGATAAATAGTTATGAGTGCTTCCTTTATAACTTCTATATTTATTTTGTCTTATAATTTCGTCATCTTTTTAATGCGTAAGTAGGTAATGAAACACCGATAAAAAAAAAAAAAAACTCGTCAGCTATTTTGACAATTAGCTGACAAAAAGTTTGACCCGTTTTTAAGACTCGACGCTCTATCTTTATAATCTAAGATTGCAGATAATGTAAAGTTGTTAGGTAGATCTATACCACCAAAAATAAAAATGCCAAGTGAATATTGGAAAATATAAATAAATACTTATGTCAAAGTAGTTATAAGTTTTAGTCAAATTATGTTATTAGATTTAGTTGAAACAGTAATCGTTCCGAGTACTGGCGATTCCTTTAAATATTTGACGTGATTGGTAATAAGTACATGAATATAATTGGATACAATTGATTTTTATGCACTTCGAAAATATAATGTTATTATCTTGCTGGCATTGGCGTATTTAAGATTTCCAGGGGAGCTGGTCCCTTAAACAGGTTCATGTGTTTTAGAATCCTCCGCTCTTAATCATGAGGTGGGTGTAAGACAATTCTGGGCTGAGCATGGCCCAAACGCTCCCTCCTTAAATACGCCTTTGCTTGCTGGCTTTAATGGAATCACTATGATCCTCTGAATCAATCATTCACTCGATACTGAATTGTTAACATAACTGAACCAGATGGAAACTTTGTTTAAACTAATATCTTTTTTACTGCCTTCACTTGCCAAGTACGAGCTAGCTAACTCGACAGCAAAAAGCGACATTTATGCAGACAGTTGCATTATTTTGAAGGGTACTACCCTTCAAAATAATGCAACTGTCTGTGTAGGAAGGCATAATACTCGACTCAGGAATGGTAACAATTGCAGTTTGTCGTTGCAGAATATGTATTTTTTTTTTATAAAATGTATTTTACATTGTATAAAAAATCTAATATTTTTTAGTATAATAATACGTAATATACAAGATCCTTCGGGTAATATGAACTAACGGGACAGTACCCTTACCAGTAGCTTATGGTTAAGACATGTGATTAACACGTGTAACGTGGAAAAATGAAAAATTCAGATATTTAACTATAAAAAATATGTGTAAATTACAAATTTCCACAAGCATGCTCTTATAGCTCTTATAGTAGCTTATTTCAGAGGATAGATAGATATGATTTCCTTATATAACAAATGACGTAGTTAAGTAATTAGTTGAATTTACTTCATTATATTTCCGGAGAGCCTCAATGGAGAAATAAAATATACTAATGAACGAATTTAACACTTACCGCTTGTAAATTAGCAATGAAATCGAATCTTATGTGCTTATAGATAGAGATTGGAATTGTAAGAAGTGCGCAAAGTACATATTGAAGTCCAATTATTTAGTATTGATAGCGTTTAGTACATACATTTATATATAACAGCGAAAATGTTTTATACATAATGTTGTTGAGAATAAAGTATTTTGAACATAACAGTTTTATTATTTTATGATTTCAAAGTCTGCGACCGGATTAGCCATTATATATTTTATTGGATTGATTAGGTATATATAGATAAAACATATGCCTACTTAACTTCCCAAATTAAAATAGCTTTAAAAAATACTAAGAATCAGTGCCCCGCTCTCCCAACGAAAGGAGTAAAAGGGCACCAACCTGAGACTTATTAAAAATAGTTTCAAATATTTCTCAGAAAATGAGTTGTGGCTTTTCTTGAAAGTAATTAACGATCATTAGTAGACATGCGTAACATTGCACTACGTCGCGCAGTTACTCAAACTCACTTTTTCAAAATGAGTTCACGTACAGCGCAGTATCGGGATATTTTTGAAGAAAAGTGAAATAACCTTTAGACTTAGAGAACTGTGGGTAATAGTTCTAAACTCTGTAGAAAGTATGTAAATGCAATAAAATATAAGAGTAAGAAAAGTGGATTTTTCATCCATTTTGTGGGACATGGGAGAATATGGAGTAAAGCGATACAAGTGCAGTTTTGAGTTAATGAGCTAGCGCAGTTGGGTGTGCCTGAGATACTGAGTTCATGCAAGAAAAATTGGCGAGTTACCTAGCTAATCATTAGGTCCCTAGTCCCGATTTATATAATTTAAAAACTTTCCCCGAAAGGAGGAAACGATCATTGAAGGCTGACAGTGGACCATCACCGCTCATCACATGCTCAGAGTACCGCGCAACATCTCATCACGGTTTGTGCGCCTTTACATATTGCGAATTTCTGGATGAAGAACTTACTATAGAAATGATCATATGAAGTAAGGTCTTGCCAAAGATTTACATTGCAAGTCAAGTCATTCTCTGAACTAGAAAATGTTTTAAACTTAACAAAGACATCTAGTGGTGCATATAATACAAGGGTTTTCAAAGATATTGATTTTATAATAGTCGAGTATTATAATGTTCATGATTACGTAACATTTCATTAAAATCAAAATAAAAATAAATTTTAATTATTACACCCTTAATCTGTTAACCACAATATTTTAAACGTCAAATTTATATCTAATAATACATATTACCTGTGATACTACATACTGATTTTAATTTTCTAAAAATGTATTTACTGCCATCTAGTGATATTTTGTTATATTAAAAATAATCCCTCTATTTATTCCGGCAACTTGCTATTAATATTCTCGGCTTTACAAAAACTTTCATAGAGGGCGCACTGCAAACATATCTACATTAAAATTGAACAAAAATATTGCCAGCATCTCTAAAATACCTACAAATAAATTAGTGTGATATTCATGCTAGACTGCCGTGATAGCCATTTTAGAAGCTCGGTTCCGCTATTATAGAACCAAGTTTTTGCGACTAGATTAGGCACTATTGTTTGATGGTATTACCTACGATGTCACAAATATAAATGTGAGAATGACCTTTCTATCCTTATCTATAATAGCAAGGTATTATTTTCAAGCTCTACAAACACGTTATCATTTTAGGGTCAGGATAAATGACTTAAAATGTTAAAAAAAAAATTTATTTGCCAACGACTAAATCTTAAGTAACAAATCAAAAAATAAAAATAACTTATTTGTATATGTAGGACATTTTTTGTCATTTATGCATGTTCAAGCAAATTGGAAGGTGTTTACGTATAAATTAAAAAAAAAAAAAAAAGAAAATATATGTGATTCGGTATAATGAATATAATATATTTTAATATTGGATGCAAAAAATATTGGATCAAAAGATTTAAACGCGATCTGCTTAACCCCGTTTAAATCTTTTAATTTTAGAAGCAATTTATGGTGGCGTTCTTTGAAACGGTTGCAATCCTATTACCATAGACTTAGTATATTGTATATAAATTATTTTAGACTCATTTTATAGACCCCAGATCTTGTAAAATAGGGTAAACTTAAAAATTACGTTGGAACACTTGATACGACATCACGAAATGAGCTTGTGAACATTATATTCAAAGAAAAGAGGAGAATAGGGAGACTAAGACATAGATTAGGCATATTACGTAAAAATTTCGCGTGCCATATCAAGAGTTACAGAGGTTCGCTGAAAATGTAAACGGTTTGAGTTCCACTAACAAAACCAACCCATACAGAATAATCTTACAACTATATGCTGAAGCGAAATCCTTGCCATCAATTTTAATCTATATTGTTATAGATAGATAGATACTCTTTATTGTTTCCTCTAAAAGATAACAATTTGTTACAAGATTGTTATTTATTTATATAAAAATTTGGGCCCATGTTCATTTCTAATATGTACTTACGTATTGTAAGTATATTTTATTCATATCTAGTTCGTTTAATTAGTTGCCTTATTCATTAAAGTGTAGTCTGGTTATTACAAAGAACTTATTGAATTAGTTTGAGCCAGAACACTGAAGATTCTATACGGTATGACCTTAAAACCGCTTTTAAGATAACATAAAGTTACTCACCCTACAGTGTAGTTTAGATGCTTGAATTCTTATTTTTAAAGCTCAGTTTATACCCATCAACTATTCAAGAGGGTAAATAAAGCGAAACATTAAGTACCCTTGAGTTACCCTTCTACCCTAAGGCGCAAGCATAGCTAAATTAGTGTGGTAGCCTCCAGCGTTTCCGTAGCGGCCCCGCTGCGACCGTGGTGCCGCCTGTCTACGCGTGGTTTAATGACTAATTTGCAGCTAATTGGTCTTGTAGGAATTCTAGAGTATTTTGTCTTTTATCCAACTGCCAACGAAAAAACAATAATGTTTTGGGAATTATTTTTTATAAATGGAAAGTCATTAGATTTGTCTATTGTAACAGTGCTCTCGTATACATGGTATAAAATAAATATACCAGTGAAACAACAGTTTTACCAAAGGAATATGGATCAAAAAGTAAAAAAAAAATGTGTCTTAGGTACATATTTACATGGCGCGTTCCTAATTTTTAAGTCAGTATGAGAGGTTCTAAATCATAAAATTGAATGAATCATATATATAAAAATTGCTTTTGTCGTTTTTAAATTTATGATTCAAGAAGATTATTCATCATCGTCTACATATCAGTAATCTATTGTCCTCTACTGAACATAGGCCCCCCAAAAATAGGGGTTTGCCAGTAGTTGCCACAGCAGACGGATTGGCAACCACAGTTAGGTTTTAGTGATGTTCTAAGAGGGACACTGTTGCCCATCCCTCGACCATTAAGTTTACATAATTTTATGACAACCACGGAAAAGGAAAGGGTGGCGTATTCTATACCGGGACCACATAGTGATATTACGAATACAACAAAGAATATGTATTTACTATTATTTTATTTATTTATAATTTCATTGCACCAACATTAGGTACAGGATTTGTTGAAAAATTTTTAATGATTATTATTATATATTTTTCTTAATTTGATATTAACTTTGATTTCATACAACATAAACTAGTCGACTAGCTTTCTATCTTAACCAATGTGTCTAGATTCTAAGCAAAATGAGATTTTGCAGATGATTAAAACGGGATATTTTTAATTTTCTACAGAAACTAGCAAATGAACCTTTCACCTGGACGAAGCTGCGGGATACAAGTAGTTTGAAATGAATCTGTTGAGAAACAACCTAAAATCAACGTCGTATCTACCTAGGTAAGTAGTATTTTTTTTTTATTTCTTGTAATTATTTAGTGCATATTATACATATTACCTATATGTACTCTTCGATATGATACCTATAGCCACCTTTCACCATAGCACCGTTTACCATCGATAGGGAATCAATCCATCCTTACTCCTTAGAACCAGAATGGTCACACACAGTGCGCTTTCAGAAGAGCTTCCTCCCGTGAACATTCAGGTTGAGGAATGATCTTTCTGCTGAGGCTTTCCGTAGAGACTACAGCATGGGGTTCTTAAAAAACGCGTATTAAGATTTCTTAAGGGTCAATAACACGCACATGGCATTCCTAATGCTATAGGCGTCCTAGACTACGTTATTCCCGATCACTATCAGACTGAATATATAACAGACAGAATATATAATTGGTTACCTAATAATATAAGGATCTTGGTTTTTTTTATACAACTTACAATGGTAAACAAGCTGACGGCCTACCTGATGGAAAGTGGTAACCGTCGTCTATAGACATGAGCAGTACCATGGACATAACAGAGTATACTGTTTCGTCCATGATACCCCCTATGCGTTGCCATTCCTGAGGACTCGGGTGTTATTATTGATGTTAGACATTTTTAAAACAATTATATAATTGGCTTAATCTTAAATTATTTTACAGTATAGAGGAATATCTGAATCAATATAGCGATTACCACTAATATATTAAAATAGTATATGTATGTAAATATTTATTAATTTTTTTTTAATTATGTTAATGTTTATTGTGTATTTATCTCAATTGCTTAAATAATAATACTATTATTACTATAATAATGAACATTTGATTTAAAACCTCATGATAATTACTTTGGACTTACCGATGTTATGTACAAAATGTCCAAGTTTTTTTGCATACCAGTATTTTGGTGAAACATGTAACTCGAACCATATACAATTGAATAAATAAATTCAATAGTAAATGTTTATTGCACATAAAAAAATCTAGTAAATTATGATTCATGATATTTTTACTAATTTTTATTAATTTTGAAATAGTAACTACATGATGAAAAAGTAGTTAAAAATGTACAGTACTATGGATATCAGAACATATACTGTAACATGAACAGAAATGGCAACACATGGAGTATTGTCATTTCTTAGAACTAACGCGTATTATAGGTACCATCGTATTTAGTAATTTCACTGCCATATCTCGCCACTGAAACCGAAATATAATTGTACAAGTACAGCTTTGCAGTAAAATTACGATAGGGACAAAAGTACCTATGTAGAGTTGCGCAGTCTTCGGTTAAAATACCTCTTCTTTATCGATGATCAAGGCTTTAAATTTTTTTTAAATAAAATACAACCCATGTTACTGGTTAATAAAATCTAACTTTCTAAAAATGAAATATTTTTTAAATATTTTTTAAATTTAAATATTTTTTAAGTTTATCCATTACAAACAAAAAGATATATATATTTTCCTTTTTTATATTATTAGTTTAGTAAAATAAGTATCTATAGTCTTTTCTTGGAATCGATACAGTTATTAATGTTCCTATTTTCGAGCATAATTATTTAGTTTTAGTTCCATTAAGTTGATGGAATTTGATTTGATAGCAGGACTGTATGTACTCACAAATAGGTATATATACCTACTATAAAATCAATTTGTGCAAAAATTTTGGGAGTGAATTATTCTCTCTATTTTTATTTCTAATCAAATTACAATAAAATATATTACTTATTAATAAAATATATTGATAGTATTGGTAAAATAATTTGGGCGTGATTAAGAACTGTAAAATAAATAAAGAGAATACGATATCTTAATCTATTGTAAACCGGTTTTAATGGTAATCTTTTAAATAGAAAGAGTTTATTACCGAATTGTTCTCATAGTAAATTCATTAATATAGATAGATAGATACTCTTTATTGTTTCGTTCAAAAGATTACAATAGTAAACTTATTATAATATTAACATTGGTTTACTTTTTTTTATCTTAAATTATTAAGTAAATGCATTTAACTATTAATTATTTTGAAATAGTTTGTATTTATTAACCTTACAAATGGTGAAGTAAAATAAATAAACAATTATGCCAACGACTGTAATAACCCTGACTGTTCTCTGTAAAACGTAATAACTGATAAACTAATTTTACATTGTTTTAATACTGACATATTGTAAATCATCATAGCAAATGAATTTTACTACAAACCTAAAAAATAAGACATAATATCACGGGTTGGCGGAGCTTAATTAGCCACAGACAAATTTAACATAAAACCACGCGAAAATAGTTGCACCGATTCACTGCCTAAGTACACACTTAATTGCGTTAACCTGCTATCTTCTCCTACCCCTATCGATTATTTACCCTTACCGTAACATTTGCTATTATCTAGTACCTTAATTCAAAGGAATAAAATCTATTTTCCCTCCATAAATTTCAGATAAGTTAGTATTTTTGTGTGAAAGAGACAAGTATAGGGGTGAACGGTTGGCTAGCCGAATAAGGGGTGGTTCTAAAGAATAGTGCCGCCCCAATGTTTAAGGGTAGCTGCCAGTCCGTTCATAAGCTCTGAGTAGGCCGAGCGCTGAGGAACCGCGCGTTACATGCGCGACGGTAACGCATAGACTCATTTTTGGAAGTGTAGTGTTGTGATGACGGATACCTATTATGTACTGTGTATGTGATAGATCTTCGGGACAAATTTATATATTTATATATTATCAGGTATGTATTTATAATGTTTAGTTTTATTTTTTTATATTACCAAAATTGGCAACTACTATAGGCTAGCTGATGGAAAATACAGGTAACCGTCGCATTTAGATTATGAACAATACTGAGCTGCTTATACTTGTTTTTTTTTAAGACTAAGGACTTAAAATTACATAAAAATTACCATCATTTAATTATAAATAAAGTTGACAGAAATATATATATATATATATATATATATATATATATATATATATATATATATATATATGTATATGTATATATATGTATATATATATATCTGTATATATATATATATATATATATATATATATACAGACTATTATATACAGCATTATTAAATATTTCGTAGCTACGTTCTGTTCAGCGACTCGACTTGTCGCATTTTATTTTAGCGTATTGGAATGAAATTATGAACTAGATGGGAGCGAGATAGGATTGTTAACGGTGTTTACTATGACCTGGTGCTGGTTTTAGGTTTCTGATTCAAATATTATTTTAAATTTATATATTTAAATATAATTTTGAGACAAGATAAAGTAAACTAGGTCATGTAAACTAGACTTTCATTCATTCTTTTCAACAAAGAATTATCTTACTGTTTATCTAGATAGATAATGTGTTCTACCCATAGAAAAAGGATTACTGCATTTCTTCATTCATTTATAACTTACCATGTTCCACTGCTGGGTAAACGCCTTCTTCAATTGCTTTCACCTTCTATGTAACTTTCATTGTAAATTTGTAGAAACAAAGAATTGTTAGTAATGTGTAAGTTAGTTCTCATCTCTCTAGTTAGTTCTATTTAGCTCTAGCTCGGCTGTGAGTACTGTTTGCGTACATTGCGAGGATCTCAATCGCGAAGGAGGGCCTCATCGATGATCCGCTATCATCATAAAAACCACGACCACTCTGTCAAGAGTGTACGACTGAAGAGAGAGAGAGAGAGGGTTCTTATCATTAATAATATTAACTGAATTGACTTCATACTCATCGTTTCCTCCTATACTGCTCCGTCATTGTATACCGTTAACATTCCACCATTTACATAAAAAAAAAATACTTGTAAAACTACAAGGACAACTAACTATGAATGAAATTACCCATTACTGGTCTAATTTCTTTCATTACAAATATAAGAACATTTTCATTCAAGTAAACTTAATTACAAGTATTTTTGAATAATCATTTTATGATACTATATCGAGTGATTTGATCTTATCGATGATTTTACAATACTAAATCTACGTGATGAAGGTTAATGTCCACCTCTATGCTGTTCTTAGATTTTTACTTCAGCTTCTTTAACAAAGAAATGAGCTTGCATTTGACAGTATATTGTGTTAAAGCAATACCATCAATAACGTTAAAAAGGACGTTTTTGATGAAACATAATGAGGTTTATTTTCTGTAAACGATCAATAAAATTGTCATATTCTTATTTCGAAGTGCCTATTCAGCGAGTATAAATTAAATAAGCAATAAAATAAAAAAAAATACCTTATAATTTGGTGAGAGATCGCAGAGAGTACACGCCGTTTAGATTCTCGGTCGGTACATAACACATTGCTTAAATAAAATTTAGTTTTAAATTGGTCGCATCTATTTTGGATAATAATCTTTTAATTGTGTCTCGGCGATATAAATGATAAAAAAACTGACAGCGCACTTACGAGTAAAAAAGTAGCTAGTACCTACATAATTACTTACTGAGTATATATATATATATATATATATATATATATATATATATGATATTTTTCCTTTTGATTTTCCTAAACTAGTTGTTATCTTGCAGAAGTCCATTAATTAGTTATTTGAATAGAATTATTTGATTCATTTCGCTATCATTTTTTGTTTTATTAATTATAATAATTATAAATTAATTTTTACAGTACTTTTTTTTGTTGATTATTATTTTATTTTATGTCCACTATTGGGTAATTGTAATTATTATCGGTATGCTACGGTAGAGTTCTGAAGACTCGCCTGACTAACTTACCTACAATATTTTCACCATTTACCAGTAGATAATAATAATATGTCTATAGGCGACGGTTATCACTTTCCATCAGGTGGGCCGTTAACTTACTTGCCATTCTAAGTTACATAAAAAAATAAATACACAGGTTTTTTTATTTACCGTTAGAGGTAAATAAAAAAGGCAATAATAATAACATAAATAGAATAAATAGCTTTATGTACATAATACTGAAAAGGCAATATTTAGCTACAGAGTATTTACAATGATGATATTGTATTAGTGTTTGTACATAGAAAATTTCAAACACAAACTTTTTATTAAATACTAATGAAAAATATTGAAAATTGAAGTTTTTTATATTACGTAATATTACGTTACGCTCCAATAATGTATATTATGTCATCTCACACATATATTTAAGTATGTGTAAGTTATACAGTGTACAGCGAAAGCCAGAACTATTATACTGGCTTATACTGCTGAGAAAAGGCCTCTTCTTATGGCTGGTTTTATTTAGAGTTTTCCTTGTTCTGCAGTGGTGTAACTTCATGTTCCATGTCATTTACCCCAGTCTTATATCGTCACTACTTGAAAATTTCTCCATCCGTTAAGATTGCATAGGCATTAAATTACCTCAGACATTTAGTGTTTTGGTCTGAAGGTTCGTTTCAGTGCAAATCTTTGAATCTCTGAATCTTTAGAAGTGATATCACATGAGCAACTATACAAAACTGTCATGTTATAAATCTTTGATATTTGTGTTGTTTGTTCTTCATTATATGAGATGATAACCTGTTAGGTTAGGGGGAAAATGGATTATTAGTTAAAGAGTAACGACCACATTGCTAGAAATAGACATTATCAGGTCGACCTTCACGAAGTTGCTCCTGAAAACCATAGTAGTTAATTCTTTATATTAATCATGATAGGCCATGTGGCCCGCATTTATCTTCACCCCTCACCAGTGCCCTACTAGCGTATACCGATAGCGTAGGTAGAGTAAACATTTTATCATTATCCACCAAAAAGAAAAAAAAAATTGTCTGGGCCCCCTGCAAATTTTCATGAATTCGTGACGATGTGCCAACTAATCGAATTTAACCTGCATGTTTCTCTTTAACTTCGCCAGCGTACCTATGTACATACCAGGCGGGGCCTGCGCTGTTGGTATATTTACCAAAATTTCTTTAAAAAATTATATGCAGCGATTATAATTTTTTATCAATTAATAGATCTATACAATTTGTTACGTGTTTAGGTACCATTTTTTAAATTAATAATTCGCTCAATTTAAACTCAAACATCATAATTGACCCCTTCATTATTTATACACATATACGTCTATATCCCATGTGTTTAAAGTTGAAAGCTCACAGGCAAGTAATTAATTAACCCGGCCGATTTGTCGACCGCTTTTAATTTCCAAATGACGTTTTATAGCGGTCGCCGTAAACATTACAAAGTCAAATTTTAATAACCCTTTTTGAGTGCAACTAAGATGCGCTTTGACGTTCCTTTGGATTTTATTTACACCGTAAAGAGCGGAAAATGTATTATTTACATAAAACTGCAAGGTTTTGGTTAATTACAACGACTACTATTTTAAAAAAGCATATAACATGATATATAAGACCTTTTTCTCGGAACAGATTGTATTATGTATGGTACAAATAATTTAAAATTTGTAGACAGCTATTATTTTAATCTAATACGAATGAGAATACAAACACTGATAAGTATTCCATTTCTCTCTACATTTCAGATAATTTCGAACCGAAGTTTTTATTTATTTACGTAATGAACTATTTAGATTAATTTAAATAAACGCAAGTGAAACATATTTTTATCTCACAATAAAATTGTTTCATAAATATCAAGTACTAATAACAAATAAGGGATACAAATGAGGGATGATAGGTGATGAAGAAGTTAACGTCGGTGGTTTCCAGGGCGGAGGGACCATATGAAGGTGGACCTGATAGTATCCTATTATCAGCAGTAGGGTTGTTAAATGTCATTACTAAGAATACCTTTCCCCTGGTCGGTACTGGGAGTTTTTAATCACTTGCTTACATTACGGTGTAAAAGCGTGCCGGGTTACAGTCAGTGTCGATTAGCATGCAAGGGTTAGCTTGGTTTACGTGGCCGTAAAGTTAACGGTCCGAGATGCTATCGCACTGGCCATCTGCCAGTCCTTGTCTATGGTTAGTTTCGGGTTACATTATTTTACCCCGGATTAGATACAATTAAATGTAAAGTCGGTAATACCGGTAACGCCTATATTACTATCAAATATAGATATTTAAATCTATATAGTGTCTGTTCTACGATTAAATAGGTACATTTAATGGTAGAACATGCACTATCCTTAATCTATGTATTTAATTAAAACCCTACTCTGTTAATATATATATTTTTTAATTTGATGGTAAATATCGAAAACAATGATCTAACAACATATGCCTGTCTATATGGCCAATTAAAAATATTTTATGAAGAATATTATTAGGGAATTCATCCTCATACGCTTAAACCATTTAGTCACGTACATTGTGGTTTCAAAATTTTTTTTTCCGCGAATGTTAAGGCTGTGGAATGAGCTCTCTGCTGAGGTTTTCCGTAGAGACTACAGTATGGAGATTTTAAAAAAGATATATTAGGATTTCTTCAATATCAGCAAGACGCACGTGATACTACTAGTGTTAGAGGCGTCCATAGGCTACAGTGTCCGTTTACCATCAAATGGACTGTAAGCTTGTTTGCCACCTTTGTAGTTTAAAAAAATTATAAATATATATCCAAAATTGTTTTATGATTATTTTAGAGTCACAAAAGTCTACTTAATGTTATTTTAGGAAGGTTAGGATCAAACATCTCTTTAGTCGTACACTCTTGACGGAGTGGTCGTGGTTTTTAGGATTATAGTGGATTGTCGATGAGGGTCTTCTTCGCGATTGAAGTCCTCATCTACTTCTGCTCGCAGTCGAGCAATCAAGCATAGTTTAGC